CAAGAACTAAAAGAAGTAAAAAAATAAGACAAAGACTAACCAAGAACATAAAGTCACTAAATTAAACATTCTCTTTTTGTTTTTGTTTTTGTTTTTCTTTTCTATTTTTTTTATTGCTTTTCTTTTTTTTCTAGTTTTTTTAGCGCTACTTTTCAATCATTTTGTTTTCAGCGCTCTTTTTCTTTTTATTTCTCTTTTTTACAATCCAATGACCAACAAATGCAATGCCATGTGATGAATGGCATAAAATACCTCCCACCCACACTTAAAATGTTGCACGCCTCGAGCAACCCCCACACTTAAACACAAAACTAAGATGAAACCAATGCTCAATAATTTCCAAAGTGCGGGATTACATGGTTTTACACTTAGGCTTGTAATGTGGCTAAGAAAAGAATGAGATAAAAAGGCACAAAGGGGCTAACCAAAGGGAATAAAATGCAAGGGGTGGCTATCTGGCCAAAGTGGGGAAATAAAAGAAAGAAGGCCTCTATCATATTTATGCATGCAAGTGAAAAATGTAGTTTTAAAAAGAAAAGGAGCAAGTTCTAGAGAACAAAAATCACGAGGGAAAGCACACAGGAAAGAAAGAATGGAAAAAAGATAAATTTCATTCATAAAGGCTCAAACTCTCACAAGGTTAATATCAACTCATGCAATTAGCATCATGAATTCAACTACCAAGCCAAGTATTTAACAATCAAGAACTCTACTTAATTAGAATGATCCATCAAGAACAACATATCCAAGTTCACACTATGTATAACTCAACAATTATAAGGATGAAAAGGAAAATCTACTTATTGAAAATTAAAACAGCAGACAAAACAAAATAAACTAAAATAAAGAAAAGGAAAAGGAAAAGAAATACTCTTTGTCCTCCTTAGGGAGGATAAGTGGCATCAGTGAGCTTGAGCTCTGCCTCCACAGACTGTTGTTGGGTCCCTCGTAGAAGGGCTTGAGGCGATGACTATCTACTATGGAGGTCTTCCCAGTTTTCTTATCATTCAGATTTGTTGTTGGGATAATCGTGTTTCCTTCTCCTGGAAGTAATAGTCGTTGGGCCTTTCACTAGTTGGGCATGTAATACCGCATGGGATAGGTCCATATCATAGTGGAAGGCAGCAGAATGATGAGTATATCCTGAGAATGAGTATATCTCGGATGAAGACATAATGGTTATAATCAAAATAGATATAGGTATGGTTGATATTGATTCGAAGAATATATACATACCAAGCATTAATTGGCCATGTGTGCAGCGTCAAAGACTTAAGACCCGTTATTAAACATAACAGGTTTTTGTCCCGCTGTTGGACTGGCGTGAGCTATCGAACTCACTCAAATTAATCAGGTTTGTATAAATAAAGATTTGTAATAAAGTGGGCAACCTGAATCGTCTCTCAAGGAATTTGCAAGGATCTTAATCGATCAATTAAAAACAAGAAGTAAAAAATAGGGGGGTTTGTATGACTAAAAATAGAAAGTAAAAACAAGGATTTAAAACTTAAAATTATCAATTAAAAGCAATCAACCCAAGAAGTATCAATATGAAATTAAGAAAATAAAGAAGAATAAAAGAGTAGAAGAGAGAAAACGTAAATTGCAATTGAATCTTGAAACTATAAAAACATAAACTCTCAAAACGAAAACTAAAACTAAAAGTGAATCACAAGGTCTCCTAATCATGCCTTTATATAGGCTCTACAAGTCTGACCTAGTATAAAAGGAAATAAAATATAAATAATAGATTTGGGCCTCATAAAGATTGGGTTCTCAATTACAAACTTAAATCCAATTAACTAATTAAAACTGCAGCAACTCGTGATGAACTTGGGCTTGATTTTCGACCATCCTATTGTTCGAACTGAACTTTCATGTTTTCATAACATTTGTAGCCCTCTGAGTTAGCTGCAAAACTCAACAAGAATGGGTCAATCGGACACTTGTGGAATGAGTTATGGTCAAAATACCGCAGTAACATAAATCTGGATTTTTATTACGAATTTCAAAATAAGCCCAATTAAAAACTCAACATCTAATTTAACCCAAAGACCATTATTTACACACTAAATAATCCAAAAATCACTAATCAAGATTAATAAATAAGTGTAATAAATATTAATTATCATGGACCCAACAAGTTCAAGACCTCATGTTTCTCACAACAGGTTATTTGTGGTAGTCCTTTCTACCTAACACCTTTAACACCTTAAACCCAGTACCCCACCCAACTAAACTCACAAGATATTGCCACATGTCATAATCTTATTCGTTCGTCCAACCTATTCCCTACCCCTATCCCCCATATATATCCCCTCCCCCAACACAATCAATAACTTAGTACATTCCACTTGTATACCTCTACCCCACATTATAATTTGCTTATAATCCTATGCATTATTTTGCTCGCACATTTAAAATATGAGTTCCAATTGTGAACCTTTAATGGTGGTTGTGTACTACAATAGTAAAAAATATTATGGTCTTAAAGGTCTCATTTTTGAAGGAGAATCAAGAGTGATGTGCTTTAGTCCTCGTTGTAACTACAATTCTCTTAAGAAGATAATCTATAAGAAATTGGGACTGCAAGACAACCAAATTATTTCTCATTTAACGGCTAAAATGACGTTGGTGATGGGTGATGCGAAATCGGCAAGTATACCGATCGTTCCAAGTAATAAAGTGATAAGAAAGATCGTTCCCTCGAGAATTAATGCACCAATTATTATCCTAACTAGTCCCCTTAATTTGGAAAACTCGGTTTAATTGAGAAAATAATCGCTAACTATAATTTAAAGACAGTAATAATCAACAACATTCAATAATAATCAAAAATGTAAAAGAAAATATGAGTAATAAGATTGTAAAGGAACTGCAGTCAGGATGCACTTCACATCTGATCCTCCCTTATAATTATAAATTAATTCTTATAATTAATTAATTCATTAGCTTAGACAATTCATCTTTTTCTTATTAAATAGTTGAACCCTAATGTCTTAGTGTATTCAACCCTTTAACCCAATTAAAATCCTAGTATCCTAGTAATTCCTCTTGAATCAAACATTAAGCAAATGAATTTAAGAGTCTGCAATCTATGTAAGCCTATGTCTAGATCATGCACATATTGTTATTCTACCCTTGTCAGAATTAAAACCCCAATATTTCTATTGTGAGCTCTAACCCTTAAAACCCTATAATAGAGTGATCAATTCTAAAAAGAGTATGTAAAAATTAACACAGGTAGAATAAAACTAAAGAAATTAAATTAATTATAAAAACAATTTAAAATTTAGAAAAGATTCGCATTGGATCCGTGATCCCAACTACAAAGAGAATTTAGCCAGACATACCTGACTTTAACAAACTAAAATAAAAAAAAATTCATGAAAGAACGGGAAAAGAAGAAGATGAAGAAGAAGGATCAATTGTCTTCAATCTTCAAATTCTGCGGAATTCTGATCTCCAGCGTGAGTCTCCAAGAACTCTGTTGATTTCTTGATTCTCACAATTCTTCTCAGCCAAAGATGCTTTCCTCAGGGTTTCCAGTTTCCTTTTATAAACTTTTTCTCCTTGGTTCAAATCTTAATCACATCTTTTGTTCATGATCCCTTCCAGATAACCTCTGATGCATGATTTAAAATTGTCATGTGCCTCTCGCGCTACTAGCGCGGATCTCGCGCTGATAGCGTGGGAAATATGTTTGGAGGCAGTGGCTTGGCGCTACTAGCGCGGATCTCGCGCTGATAGCGCGACTGGGCTGTGTTGAAAGTTGATGCTGGCATTGATAGTGTCAGGGCCGCGCCAGTAGCGTGGTGAATGAAAACTTGTGTTTTTCTGTCCTGCTCAATTGGCCCCCTTTTCTCGTATTTTTTCCTACTAAAATATAAGAAAATCAGTGGCAAGATACCTAATTAGTATTTATCAGTTTAATGGTAATTATGGGCCTTTTCATTCAAGATTGATTAAGATTTCTTGCTCTTTTTGGCTTAAAATCATATATATGCTGGAGGCATATCAATGAGCAATGACTTTGTGTGGAAGTTTTTTACGATGATGATGTGGCATGCATGGTAAATGCATTTCTTAGCTAGTTTCGGAGCAGATTCAACAATTTAAATGTGGAGGAAGTGGACCATGGTAAACACTCTATGCTTGAGTCGTCATTGTCTCCAATTTAGTCAATAAATATAAATAGGGAGTCATATTTTGACAATCCAGAAAGGTACGTTTTTTTTTCTCCACCTCCCCCATTTTAAAGTGAAATGACAGTCGATGAAGACAAATATGATCCTATTTAGGGCACAGATAGTGATAAGAATGAAATTGATGTATTATGCTTCTGGATAATGACTCATCGTATAAGTGATTTTGCTGCTAAATTATGCTCATCTGTCATCGAGACAAATGTAGTGATATGTCCTCAGCTTCCATCACCAAATGTTGTGGCCTATGGGTGGATACCATTAGCTAGTGGAAGGTTAGGGTACGAAATCAAAGCATTTATTTAACCTATTTGGTTTATGCATATGATTGATCTATGTGAATATGTAGGAAATAGTAATACTCCATTTTAGGCTAATAATGGACATACATATATTAATTGGGCTGGCATAGATCAAGAGAAACTTGGCATTAAGGGGGAGCACCAAGGCAACTGGCAATTAGGAAAAGAGTACATAAGAATCAAGAATTTGAATCGTGATATACAGATTGAAATAAAGCAATATTGTAAGAAGATATATATGACATGTCTTTGACACTGCGATACGTGACAAAAGCAATCTCATTGGTCCCCATAGTGAGACTTTAATTGTCCGTGACAAATTGAAAATTAATTTAAAAAAGTGGCATTTTAATATTTTGAATCCAAAATTGTGGTTGATTATTGTTTGTGAAAGGATAGTTATTACGATATAGTAAAATTATTACTTAATAGTAAAATTAAAATATTACATCACTTAAATTAAAACAAAAAAAAAATCTTGTTAAAGAATATATACAACAAAAAGGAACGCTTATTTCATCATATAGAACATCAATGGACAACAATTAGTTCTTTACCACATAAATACATAGTTGATCATATTCATAGTAGTTCATACTGAAATAGGATGCCAATGTATACGCCGTATGTAGCGTTAGGACTTAAAGGTAAATAGCTACATTTATTCCACACATACACATACTTTTCATATCCTGTTACTTTCGGCTTGGAGCCAAGCTAGCCTATGCATAATCTTCGGTAACCTGAAAAATCAAAGGAACCATATTTAATAATTGTTGGAGATATGATGTTATCCATATAGATATTAGGCTGTTGTGCAGTTGATATTAGGCTGTTGTGCAGTTGTAGATATTCTGCAGATATAGTTCACTTTGATAGTTTGTTAGTATCTAGTTTGGTAGGATACACTTTGTTACGTTTGTTTTCTGTACTTAGTTAGCTTCTGATTGTTGTGTACCTTGCCTATTAAAAGGCACTCTTGTGAATATTGAAAGTGACCTTTTGGTACCAGATTTCATCTTGGTATCAGAGCGATCCTATGTGAAAACACTTCCGCAGCGTGAGAATTTTAAATAGTGTGAAAGCTAGCCCAATAAAATATGGCAGAAGAAGGAGGCAACAGGTTGAAACCAACGAATCCAGGCTCACCTTTCTACCTAGGAAGCTCAGATAGCCCAGGGATCATACTAACAAATGTTATGCTACAAGGAGAAGCCAATTATGAAAACTGGGCAAAGCTCGTGAAAAACGCACTCAAGGCAAAGAATAAATTGGGATTCGTGACTGGTTCAGTAATGAAACCAGAGAAGGAGAGTGAAGCAGAGTGGCGTGCATGAGAGATGTGCAATTCTATGATCAACGGGTGGATACACAACAGCCTAATATCAACTGCACAACAGCCTAATATCTATATGAATAACATCATATCTCCAACAATAATCTCAACAGAATTAGGGAAGTGATCTTCTCATTAAATTTCATATAATCTCATTGTATGAAAATTTTATATTAAAAAGAGAAATAAACACAATGTTTTTTAGATTTACACAGAAGATAATTAATTCACAAAGTAAAGACATAAAGTCATGAAGAGCCTTAACTATAACTAAGTCCTGACTCATGATTAATCACATAACCGACTCAAAAAATTGAGACTTGTGAAAATATACAGAGAATAACTCGTCTCAGAACAATAATTACGGTTGGTATAAGAACAAAAAAAATATATAAAGACACATAATTCTTGAAATAAAAAAATTTACTTTATTTTTAAAATCGATCAAATATTAAACATTAATTTTGAGGTGTGGATCATCTTCATTACTCGCCTATTTAGCAATCACATTTTTTTAATTGAAGAAAGATTTAGAAAAATAATTAATTAAAAATATATTTAAGAAAAATATATTATTGTCGTATTTATAAATCACATTTCTAAATCATTTTCCAAATGCTACAAGTACCAATACACCGATAATCAACGAGTTATTGTCGTATGTCACATCAAATCAGTAATTACATAAACAGGGAGAATTTTTTTTGGGAAATATAAAAAATACTCCTTTCACACTCACTTTTATATATATCTCTTCAATAAAAATTAAATACTGAGAAAAAAGTAAAGATAATTGCTAGCAACTATTTTATTAATTATAGATGTTTCGTTTTGAATAGCAGTAGTATTCACTATTGGATGCTCCCGTGGCACAAAAAATACAAAAAAAGAGAGTAAGATCAACCAACTCAATTATCTTCTAACAAGCTCCGCATTATCTGCTAGACACTTGCACCTGACTTATCTTGTGTAAAGCTCAGTTAGTTATTCATCAGTCTATTCACAGTGTTGTACATATATATATCTGTATAGTATTGTAATTGATCTCATAATTCACTTTCTCATTCTCATCTGTAATACAACTCTTTCTTCACTCTCTTCATTTCGGGAGAGTAACCAAAGTGTTACGTTTGGACAAAAAAAATACCAGACTGCTACGTCAACAGTAAATTTTGTCAAAATGCCACGCGGCATAATTCGCTACACAATGTAGCGAAATATGCTCCGTCAGAATGCACAAAACCAAAAATGCCACATGTCAAATTTTGAGAAATTCACTATATAGGGTAGCGAATTTCTCAAAATTTAACATGTGACATTTTTGGTTCTGACGTGGCATATTTCGCTACACTGTGTAGAGAATTATGCCGCGTGGCATTTTGACAAAATTTACTGTTGGCGTGACAGTCTGGTAATATTTTTGTCCAAACGTGACAAAATGATCACTCTTCCTTGATTCCTCTCTTTTCTTTATCTTTCATTCTTGTGTCTAATACCTTACACATCTCTCCAATAACATCAATACTACAAAGAGAAAGAGAAAAAATAAAAAAAGTTGTTATTGTTTATCTTATTAAATACATATCCACCGTTGGGTGCTGCCGTGATACAAAAAAAAATATACTCAAAATTTTAATGATCCAGGACAACAAAAATCCCTTTGGAAATGGGGGGGTAATTCACTTTATTTTTTTCTTTTATTTATATTTTTATCTATGTCCCACGTTCGTGGTCCGTAGCACTAAATTTTTACTCAAACACAAGGATATGAGGTCTGCCAAGACAATGTTAAAGGATTTGCATTCGTGATAAACAGTAGATACTTTATCGTACATAAAAGAGAAGCAACTGTATGGTTTAGTAAAATACCTAGCTAAGTGCTAGACTGGGAAGGAGCATCACTGACGAGCTTGAACTCCTCCACCTCCTTGGAGTTCAACCATGCCTTTTCCAAGACCTTCGTTTCGTAAACTTTTTTCTTGCCACCATCATTTGCTTCCAAAGTGATGTAGTACAAGGTGCCAGCAACCACCTGCTTCTTTGCACTTATCACCCTCACATACTCCAGAACTGCATTCTGCATAACCATCACCAATTCAATTAACAGGGTGTGCATGGAGTGGTTCCTTCAATTTCTAATTAAAATCCAATTGAAAACCGATTTCAATTTATTTGGTTTGGTCAATTTGAATCTTTTGCACACACCTATCAATCAGACAAAAAAAAAATAGTTAAAATTAGACACACACACACACACAAAAAAACCCACCCCTAGACATAGAAAAGGAACCCAATTATTATAAACTATCCCTACTTTTTAATCTAAACTTTTATTTAAAAGGAAAAAGAAAAAACAAACACTTAAGACTGGTATATCACGTGCCAAAATCAACCAGTACCAAATTAACATAAAAAAAAGATCTAAGTTTTAACTTTTAAAATTTCACTTTCTTCCTCGAGTTTCCTCAAGAAACAACAAAATCCAAATTAAAAAGGAAAAAAATAAATTAAAAACCTGTTTTTTGTTGTGTTCTTCAACAGCAAAGCGAGCAAGATTATCGATCTCGACGCTGTTCTGGACTCCTTCCACCTCACTAACGCCTCCCAGTGTTGCCATTTCTCTTTTCTGTGTTTTTTTTTTAACTCTTTTCTTTGTTTTTCTTTGTCTACTGTATGTGTCTCTTCGATGTCAATTTATGTCGTTGCAGGAAGAAGAAGTTTAGATTGGTCAACAATGGCGCCTTTGGGGCAGATCCTGTGCATGTTTGCTTTTTTTAAATGTTTATTGATTGCCAACGTGTGACCAATCAGATATTATCCGTACGTTTTTGGGAGCATGGTCAACTATGATTTCATCGAATTACAGTAGGAGAGAAAGCAGGGATAACTTCCTCCTTTATCATGGTCGGCACGGATAGACGATCATGATTGGCTCTTTTGGTTGGTCGTTGTGATTTTTATTATTTTTTGGTACAAGGTCGTTGTGATTTTAAGTGAGCGTCCAATTGGGAACATGAGCAAGTGACATTGCAAATATTTTTAATAAATATTATTGGGAACAGTATTTTTTATTATTCTGTCACATGTTAAAGTTTGTTATAGTCAATAATTTCGTGATATTTAGATAAACTTTGACATATGACAGTAAAGTAAAAAGTATTGTTCGTATAACATTTAAATAAAAAATTTGTTAAACAATAACGCTTTGAATTGACAAGAGAAATTTAGACCTGTTAGGCCCAATAGCTCAGCCCATTAAACATCAGCAATAGTAGGAGGTTGACTCATTGGGGTGAATTTGGGCTTGGAGGTGGGTTTTGAAATATGCTATTGATAAGAATTTTGGTTCCTGTGAGCTGTGGCATCATCAGGCTGAGTCCATAGGAGTTTTGAAAAAGAAAAAGAAAAATTGCATGAAATGTGAGTACCCAATCACATCGTGCGTTCATAACCGTTAATTTGTTTATGTCAAGTGAAATCACAAATATGAGATCCATTCCCAAATTTCATATGACCACATGTCAAAATTTTGTGTTTTTTTTTTTTTAAGTGAGGTCCATGAAGAGAGAAAAAAAATATAAAATTTAACCTATCCAAATTATGTGAAATTTTAGGATCCGTTACTAGAAAAGTAATTTGATAGGATAATATTCTCCTGTTTTGAATTTGAGGCGAATTATATTATGTCATAGTATAATATAAATAAGTAAAATATAATTTTAATTATAATTTCATATATTTTTTTAAATTAATTTTTTAAACTACTACTTATACTTATTTACACATTAATTCTTATTTTGAATTATTAAAAAAAATTTAAATCATAATTTTAAATAGAATGCACAAATAACTTATAAAAATTTTGAAAATAAAAAATTTATCACACTAAATAATTTTAAAAAAAATTGAGTTTTAAATTAATTATCAATATTGATACTAGGGCTCGTTGAAGTTATAGTAGGGCCGATAACGATGGGTGGTTGTGACAACACCAACAATGATTGGTAACATTTGTGGTAGTTGACGAATGACGATGGTAGTGATGGTTAGTTGTGTGGCCCGAAATGGTGGATGGTTTCTAAAGGTGATGACCAATGGTGACGACAACCGCGATAGTGGTGTTGGCTAGTGGTGTGGTATCATATAGAACGATGGTAGCGATTCTGGCTATGATGCAATTGCGAGGATAATTAATGATAGTGGTGACTATTGATGGTGATGATGATGATGGATGGTCCCTAAAGGTGGTGGCCAATGGTGACGACAACCGCAATAGTAGTGTTGGCTAGTGGTGTGGTATCATATAGAAACGATGATAGTGGTTCTGGCTATGATGCAATTGTGAGGCTAATTACTGGGAGTGGTGGTTAGTGATGGTGATGGTGGTTTTTTCTAATGATTGGGTGTAACAATAGTCAATGTTGGTGGTGGTAACTGATAGCTTATGGTGATAACTAACTAATGGTTTGTGGCCGTAGTAACGAGTGATAGAGGTGACCAATAATGTCCATCACTAATCTAGTATAACAAAATAAAATGAGTCTATGTTAAGTTTATCATAGTGTGTTGTGTATTTATCCATCTAAATATTCCGATTTCAAGTTTTGGTTACTATCTTAAAAATTTTATGAACCAGTCTTTCAAAATATTTTTCTTTCTCGTATAATTTTATCTGAAAAAATTTCATTAAAAGTTACAGCTATTATCTATGTGAATTCATATACGAAGAGTATAGCATTTTACGTAAATATAATGGATTTTGGCGTAAACATTTGATTAAAAAATGAACAATGGTCAATTAATATGTTTTCTCTTTCACGTCTATTTTTTAATTTTAGTTAATATTTTCCTTTAGGTCTACTGATACTATTATCAGCTCAAAGCATTCAAAAAAAGAGGCAGAAACTTCCCGTCACACAGCAGCGCAAAGCTTGGAGCGCTGGTTCCCATGGCGGTTCCACCGTCGGAAACCGAAAACAGAACCATCTTGTCATTCTTCTACTCCAACTACCTCCTGAATCGAATCCGCGCTTTCTATCCCTTCTCCCCTACAAGTTTTCTCTACAGCCTCACTACTCGCTTCAGATCAACCCAACGTCGAGAATGCCTACCTCTTCCGTTACTTTTCAATTCGCTCGACTCTTCCATGTACGCTCATTTCCCCTCTTTTTCACTTCTAGAAAATCAATGACAATAAAAATAAACAAAAAATGAATTCGTGTTTAAAGACTACTTGTGATTTGATTCTCAACCTTGTTTTCGTATTTGCAGGATCTTGACTAAGGAATCTAAAGTGCATGGTGTATTGGAGGATATATTAGAGCGTGTTTTGATAAATTTGCATGGCATTCAGAAGAATCTGCAGTTTTGGCAGTCCAGAGCTGAGGTTTTGTGTTTGTCTTTTTCTTTTCGTTTTGTTTTGTTATATATATGTATAGTTCAAAGTATGTTCGTTCTGAAAAATAGTTATACTGCTTATTTGTTTATATATTCAGCGATCTGATGCTTGGAAAGCATATTTCATGGTTTTTGAGAGAGGTCCTAGGGCTTTTGTTGATGAAACAGTTAAGTTGTTGCGTGGACGTGCTGCTGAGGGTTCTTCCATACAGAATCTATGCCAATCTTCATCTGAGTATATTAATGAGAGAGTAACTGTTTTGAGTAGCTTAAGATATTCGCTCGCCACATTCTTGGCTCAGGTTTGTTTCCTTGTGTTTGAATTTGAATCATGATAGTCTTTCATAATTATATTGAATATGATTTGCTTACTCAGTTACCTCTTGTTATCAAGCTCACTTATTAATTTTTTATATATTGGGTGTTTTTGTGACACTGATGTTATTAATCTTACTATTTGTTTAAGATAAAATCTTGAATGATTACGGATATGTTATATTTATTATATCTTACCTGTTCTGTATCAATGGCTTCTTTTCCCTTGATTGGTCAAATTTTGTTTCTGGTAATTTTTCCACCCTTTTTCCGGCTCTGGCCTTGTTATTGGTGTCTTTGAGAGAATTTCTTTAGCATAGCTTTGACAGGATAGTTCAGTCAGCATAGAATTCAAGTTCTTCTGGCATATGACATGATCCTGTAAACTTAGACAATTACATATGGTGAAAAGATGCAGCATAAACTTAAGAATTCACTGGTAGAAAATTATGAATCTGGAAGAATTGCATATTGACTTAACTTTGTTAAATGCCAATATGCCATCAAGTTACAAATAGAATTTGAAACTTATTACTTACAATTTGAAACTTCATGCTCAGGTTTATATGGAAGTTGATAAAGTTGGAGAAGAGATAGTGACGGATCCAGAGAAAAAGCTCCACTCGTTGTTGATTACAATTAATGATTTGTTCTCAACATTAGAAGCTTCAATTGGACATCTACATGCAATGCGTCAGGTTTACATGAATAATGCAGTTGTTTCTCTTTGCTTTTTTTCTGTTTTCCTTTATTTATATCACTCATATCTCCACGAGCCTTGGATTGTTGAAGCAAAATTGAAGAGTAAATTTGCAACTTGTATTTAGTATGGGTGCCCATTTCCAGAATTGACCTTTTCTTCTCGGAACTGATGATTACTTTTCAGAGTGAATCTTCTGTTGATGGGAGCTATTCAATGCCCCTGCTGTTTCAGAAGCTGCCTGAAATAAATCAGGAGGGGTCCCAGTGGACAGATTGTGAAATCAGTGATGCTATCAATTCTGTTTATCAAAATTTACACAAGCTGGAATCTTACATATCTTTTCTTGTAAGAGCTTCTTCTATCTTATGTTATCTCATTAATTTTTGAAGGAGATGGATGTCCGAATTTTCACCGATTTTCATTTGGTTGTTGGAAAATTCATTGTATGGTAGAGCTCTTGTGGTGATCCTAGTCTTAGTGTCTTCGATTTATGTAGCTCAGTGAGCTCTCCAGTCTCCTGATAAGGATGGTCTTTTAATATTGAAGAAAGGGAAAAATTACTTCTGGTATAAATTACTTCTGATAATTTTTACTATTGTGGGAAAGAATAAATAGGGATCACAATCTGATCTTCATAATTATCGAACCCACTCTATTAGTATTAGCAATTTAGCATTGTTTATTTGCCTTTATGAACCCATCACTATTTTTATTTTCTTAACATTTACTTCAACAAAAAAAAACACTAAGTTCTTTAAAAAAATGGTCACAAAATAGTTATTTTCTTTTTACTATTTTTGAATCTATGTGTACTCCTATAAGCAAAGTCTCACTAGTCACCTAGATAAAAAAGTTTTTGCTGTTGAGATTTTTAAAGATGAACTAGTTATAATTTATTTTCAAATTAAAATCATTTTACTTAAAAGACTCTTTCTTAGTTGTAAAAAGTAATTTGAGATGGGATATTGAATGTAAACATCTTCCTCTGTTCGAGTAATTTGGTATTATACATTAGAATACTTATTTTTGGCTGCATTTAAGCAATAGTTCCTTCAGGATTAAATCAATAGGTAACTGTATTACTCCATGTCCATGCCCGTGGGGATTTGTCTCACCCAACCAAAGGGTATGGATATATGCTAGGAAACCCAAAAAAAAATAAAAAAAATAAAAAAAATAAAAAATAAAAAATAGACAACCTTTTTATCTTTCACACCATAGTCTTCATTCTAACATCAGGTTGAAATTTTATATGATGTACCGCAGCTTGCTAGAATGGAAGTGCAAATATTATCTCAAATATACAAATGATAGTTATGTGTAGGTGAAGTATTATGTTCGTTTTGGAAATCTATAATACTGACTATGGTTGTCCCACAGAGTTGGATCACCAAATTTTGTCTTTTGTTACTCTGTCCCTTCCTCTCCCTGCTCTCCTACTTTGATTGGTGATCCAAAGGGCCCAAAACCTGCTTTTTGAGTAGAAGTAGAATAGTAGACGTACTGTTGGACAATGTTTGGGCTGACTTTATAATTCACCCTTTTATATGTTAAACACTACTAGGAGAGCCTCTTATGCTCTCTCCTATCTCCCAACAATCTTTGGGGCTTCCTCAGTGGCTATTTGAAGTGGACAAAATTGTCTTCACTTGAGTCAATAACTAGGGCACCATATGTATTGGATTTAATCATTTATGGAGGTTCCAAAGTTGAAGAATTAATCAACTTCTTGTTTTGATAATACAGATTGATTTATAGTTGTTAGTTGGCGTATACTGGTTGATTTACTTGGTTAATTTGATAAAATTTTAAGATGAATATTATGATTGTGTTTTGTTTCAGGTTATGAAACATAGAAAGCCAAGGAAAGTAACTCAGTATTGGATTCGCTATACATGTGGTGCAGTTGGTCTGTCTGCATGTTCCATATGGCTCTTACAGCATAGTAGTTTGACAGGAAGTTCTGATCTTGATAATTGGATTCAGGAAGCGAAGGACTCAACAGTTGGCTTTTTTAAGGATCATGTAGAGCAACCGGTACATTTCTTCTTCATTATTTACTTGGGGTGCACTCTGTTTTCCTTTATTCTTTTTTCCCTGGTCCATGAGAACTTACTGTTAGACAAAATGAAGGGGACTTGAACTTAACATATCTTAATAAGATGGGATGGGAGGTGTTGCTATCATTATTCAATTTCTCAACCTCATTTTGCTCTTAAATCTTAATCTTTTGGTAATTAGCATTAACAAAGTAGCCTTCCTAAAGGACTATTTTGTATTAGCAATGAACAAATTTCTGTTTCTTGTATCTTCTCCCTCCCTCTTTGCTCCCATTTTTAAATATGTTAAAAGTGCACCCTACTGATTGAGGTTTTCTAACTAACGCAGGATGGAAGCATGAAATAAGGCTTGATACTGTCTAGTAGATAACCTAGTGTGCACTGGGTAGATAAGGTTAGAATCCACCAGAAATAAGAAGTCCTTAGAATAATTTTTAAAACTGGGAAAATGTTATTTCTTGTTTTAAATCAAGTAAGCCTAGAATAGTTCTATTATATTTAATATCCCCTAGTACTCATTATTCTATAATTGTCTTAAAGCCTCCAATTAAACTGAATAAAACCCTTCAAAGTAATCCCTATTAAAATCACAAAATAATCATAAAAATTGTATATACTATCAATACCCCTTATTCGTTCTACATGATAATTTGTATATATTCCAATGCAATCAATATCCAGATTTTGTCCATCAGAGATGAACTTTTTGAGACATTCAGGAAGAGGCATCAAGGTATCATGGACCATGAAGAGGTGCAGTTGACTTCCAACTCACTACACAGGTTATTGTTTTTTAAACATGTTGTCCTCCTTTTCCAATATTTAAATAGTAAACCTGTATACAATCTCAATGCACAAAATCTATTTTTTAACATAACTGTCTACAGTTTTGCAATATATTTTGTTAATCAAGTCACCTTAAAAATAAGAATTTATTATCACAATGGTTTTGTTACTATGGTTCTTTTGAATATAAATTGTTGTTGGTAAGAATTCTCAACCCTTTGGAATACTTTTTAAAGAAAATGAAATCATATCATTCTTATATCAAAATTGTTTTTATTCACCTTTATGCAAAAATGTAACATACTATATATGCACATCTATGTATATTTGACCAATAAGAGAAGATATAAGTGATTTAGTCATAATTTGAAAATAAAAAAATAAGTAATTTATGATAATGAGTGCTAATTTTGAAAATTTACAAGTTTCAGAAGCACCCTGGACCCTGCCCTTCAAAAACCCAGTAAACAATTAGTTATTAGAGACTAGTATCCTGAAGCTTCATGGGAATCCTGAAAGTTTGCTTCTAGGTTAATATGTAATTATGCAGATTGATGATTTTATTCATCCATACTTCATTCATAATAGAATATGCATGCATGGAAATCAATGAACCATGTCTAAAGGGTGTGAAGCCAGTGAAGGAATACTTGAAGGATTAAGACCAGGGTAACTATGCTTGTGAAACTTCACCGGGAAATTTCTGATGGGTTGCATTGAGCTGCTTTTGTGGTTTGAAAGTTGAAACTGATTCTATACAAGATTTAACTGAAAAAGAAATAGAAGAATGCATCAACTACGTGTCAGTAACAGAATTTCATGAAAATAAAATAAAATTGAGCATCTTATTGAAAGTTACACAATGAATGCAGGATGCTAATTTTTCTAATCCTAATGATTCAATTTACTCCAGTTACCTACTCTGATCAGTTTAGAATGTTTTCAAGCATCCTTTTGTACCATAAGTGGAAATGTAATTCTATATTTGTTACCAGCCAGATCTCTGTTGAAAGAATTCAGATTTGTTAGCAATGAGATACAATATGTTTGTCCTGCGGTTAGGATATTTTGGAGATAACTAGCCTTGATAATATTAATTAGTTCTTTTTATATGACCACCTGTAATGCATTGCTCCTAATCATGGATATCACTTAAAATTTGACTAACAGTAGTTAATTTACTTGGTATTGGAAGGCATGCTCGTTGCATAGGTATTGCTTTCATTTTAACTTTTTAAAACTTTCTGTACAGAATGCTACTGGCTTTCAGTGAGCAGACGAAGGGTCAGAAGTTCCCAGGGAATGCCTCAGATCAGGAAATGCTTGAGATAGTCATGGATAGGTGAGTTAGGTTTTTTTATTGTTATAATTGGATTATTTGACTTTCGAACTAGTTATATCTAAATATGTTGGTAAGATAGTAGTAAGGTAATTGTGAAATTGAATTTGAAGTGTTGAAGTAGATACATGGATTTTCCTGTGAGCAATTTTCCATTACAACTATAGGGTTGATTATATATTGGTGATAGCTTTTTTTTTTCTTCTGGATATATTACTAAAATGGATCTCCATCCCAATGACCTTCAGAGTTTATTGTGAAGGCAAGTTGGGTGTTTTTATGAAGAGCTATTGAATTGGGCATTGACATTAAATGATTGTAATGCTATCTCTTTAGCTGAGGCATTTCTGGTTTGGGGTGTGGGCTAGCTACCAGATTAAGTTAACAGTCTCTTATCGGGTGGAGATAGATGAGTTTCCATAGGCAAATAATTTTATGCAATGGGTTGTGTCTTTTGAAAGTTATCCTACTGATTTCAGATGTCCCAGTTAGAACAATATAAATTCTTTACCTGGGTTTTCAAATAAATTTTTTTCAAGTTACATTGATTGATGATATTTGAAACTCTACGTAGTCAAAAATTGGATTTTGATGGAAAAAGAGGACGATAATATACAGAAAATGTTTTTCTATGTATTAGTCCTATCTATACATTGATTGAATTTAGATTCTTTAATCTTTGTTAATAAGATTCATAGTTATCACTTTGTTTCTTGTATTATTAGTGGTTATCATAATTCAAGTGTTATAATCTAACTTTTTTCAAATATAAATGCAGATATGAGAAGGAACTCACACATCCTATTCAAAACCTGCTCAGTGGAGAGCTGGCTCGGGCTATGCTTATTCAGGTAATGTAATTCATATTATATGTAACATCTGTTTAAGTTCTTTTAACATATTTATTCACTGTTACAGGTTCAGAAGCTCAAGCTGGATATTGAGACGTGAGTTTTTCAAATCTGAAAATCATAGTGAATATTTCACATTGTTTTAGTTCCTCAAGATGATATTTTGGTCAGGGCAATGCTAGAGCTGAACCAAATTCTACGGGCAAATGAAATCAACTTCGCAATTCTTGCTGCTTTACCTGCCTTTTTTCTCTCTCTTTTACTTATCATGTTAGTACGTGGATGGTTCAAACAGGTGATTTCCCTTCTCTTGTTTGCTTTGAACAAAATCACGAACTTATGACAAAATCAAAAGTTTCCATGTTAAATTTTATCTGATATTCTGTTTTGGTTAATCAGGATACAAAAGCTGAAGGAAGAGGTAGAATTGCTCGGATTCAGAGGAGGCTACTTGTTGTAGAGGTTGAGAAAAGAATTATACAGTACCAAATTTCTGTTGAGCAAGGGTTGGTAAGAAGCTTACCTGACTGTTGATTTTACGTACTAAAAAATAAGGATGCATTTTGTACAAGAACATATATGACTGTTGATTTTGTTTAACCCTCCTCGAAATGAAAGTCTACTAGGCCACATCATTTATCATCTTGTGTCTGTGTGTGGATAGGATTATAGGAAAGGGATCCACATACTCCAAGAGTAAGTTTTGGACACTTACACTGTTTAATAACCTTTTTTAAAATACAAATTTAAGGAATCTAATCGTTGATTCATGTGATATTATCTTGATGATCATGCACACCAATTTTAGACAAATTAAACATTCATAGGTATGTAATCTTATAGTCAACATTTACAATGAGAGTTGAGATTAAAAGAATTTTCTCCCATATATATATAAAGTGAGAGTAGTGCTTACTATGAGAGGTGAAAGGAAAAAAAAGACCATTTTATCTTTCATAAATGGTTAGGCCCACTTTGGGTGGCTTGACTAGTTTGAAAATTTCACATGATTTGGTCTTAAAATCCTCCAAACAAAACACCAAGCATGATTTTCTGATTAAATTACTCACATTTCTACAAAATAATAATAATAGTACTCACGATTGATGCATCCTTTATATGTAATTTTACATAATTAGAAGTTATAAAATCATAAATTAAATTTGCAGATTGAACTTTTTCTTTATTGAAAGAAGAGCACTGTTTCCATGCCCTCATCTAATATATGTGGAATTCACTTTACCATAGTAGTATGAAGATGTCCTACTATTGGTTCATTTGCTTGTTCTCAGTGCTGCTTTGGGTTTTGTTCAACCAAACCATCCAATAGTGTTCCTTAGATGTCGAAGTTCTTGATATATGAATATGAAAAATGTTCCTCACTGTGCCTACGAAACCTGGTTGTTGCCTTTTTAATGGTTGTCTTTATTTGTTTGAAGTCTAGGGATTCACTAACTGCATTTAGTTAATTTGAATGACATGCATGATGCATGCCCCAGAACAAAGATAGAAAAGTCATGTTACTTATCCTTTACAGGAGAGAGACGCACAATGTATGTTTGGCTTGGTACTCTATAGCCTGGATCGCCTATATCGTTCCGTTAAGAGGCATGCAGAAGCTTCCGGAGAGTGGCAGTGGTTAGTTTCCATCTCTCTCTCTCAACTATAGATGAGTAGTCACTATTTCTGTTTTGTATATTTATATTTATGTCCACTTATTGTTTTAGCATTGTAAAGAACCTTGGGATATACCACCCCAAAAGCTAGCTCAAAGTGGGAGTGTCCAAGGCCTTATAAAGGCCACATTAGTTGCCCACACAATCAATGTGGGATTATATATCTCAACATGCCCCCTCACACGAGAGCCCATTGGGCTAGAAGCGTAAAATCGCATAGGCCCAATTTTTGGTTTACCTTTTGTGTTTTTTTTATTTTAATTCCACTTTAAAGTGAAAGGCGGTGAAGATCGAACTTGTGACCTTGTAGTCACTCAAGCTCTGATACCATGTAAAGAACCTTGGGATACACTACCCCAAAAGCTAACGCAAAAGGTGGGAGTGCCCAAGGCCTTATAAAGGCCACATTAGTTGCCCACACAATCAATGTGAGACTATATATCTCAACAAGCATGTGAAAAGAACTAGAGAATATTATGAATGTCGTGTTGTTGCTAAATGAGTAATATTATGAACAGTTTGCGTCAGGATATAATTGATTTGGCTAGGCCTGGCCTGCAAACTACATACAAGCTCACTGTGACATCGCGTATGGAGAGGGTCTATGACTGTTTGCTTCCGATTCTGAAACGCCGGTAGCACATTTTGGTTTACTTTTGTTCTGAATTTTAATGGTTTTCCTTGCTACTTTGAAACCCAATTTTGTTGTGGATGTCATGCATATATTCCTTATATGGATGACATTTTAAACCGTAGTAAGATCAAGGATTTGAATTATTTTATCAATTGAATTGAAATCATATTGTGAAAAGATGACATCTTCATTTGCTAGTCAAAAAAAGCACACCAGACGAGATTTTCATTTTTGTTTTGGCTACGGAAGTGAAGTGACTCAGTGGTAATTTCCATAGTGAAAGGCTGAAATAGTGAAATATATGTTCGGGGTTCCATGTTTTTCCGTCTCAAGTAACCTCATTTTTCCACTAAAGAAATCTGCTATTTTGGTCCGGCAGGGAGAGAAGTCCTCCAATACTCTTCCATTATATTAAGTATTGTTGACATTTTGCTGTGCCGTATGTACATCTATCAGTGTATCTGCAATTGAAATGTAAGAGTTGGACGACAGTTGAATCTTTCCATGAGGCATGAACCTTCAGATCATGTGGTGCATGCCTGTATCTTGCCATGCAAGCCTGGAATAGACACTCCGAAGTTGATATAAAACTTACCTTTATAGGATATGTTACGTAAGATTAGAATTTTTGTTTGACGTAGATATTATTTACATTTACATTACGTGCCCCAAGTTTTATTTGGTAGGTAGTTGAAAAGTTGTTTATACATTATATACTACGAGGCTCACCGTGGTATTGAATTGAGTTCTTAATGAACTCAAGGTATTGGATTCATGACTTTTAAGCTGCAAGCCCTAGACAAAATACTCTAGATGGCTTATAGGAATATAGTAATTCACTGTATGTTTTGGGAAGATTTATTTTATTTTATTTTATTTTGTTCAAGTTACCATGATGAAAGAAGGAAGATTAACAGAGGCATTGTCAATATGGCCTTAATAATAATAATAATAATAATTGACGATGTATTTTTTTGAGACCACAAGACTTTCTTTCTTTGCGAAGGGGTAGGGGAAGGAAAAAGAGAATAGAAAACAAATATTTACAGGTGAGGTAGGTTCACGAGAATTTTTTAGTGTAATAATTTGCATTAATTTTAAAAAAAAAAATGTTAACACCCAATTTAACATGCATTTTATGTGTAACGGTAATAAGGAATTAGAATAGTAATTATCTCTTTTTTATTATTATTCATTTTATACTATATAATTATTTATTTTCAATATCTTTTGATAATATACTGTACAAATAGTAGATACAATACAGGAAGACAACTAATTAATTGTTTTTTCCCTATATTTAGTACCCTATCAATAGCAAGTTGAAACACATAAAAATAGCCAATAATATTATTCAAATGAAAAACATAAAAATTCTTTTCCGTTAATGTAAGTAGTTGTACTTTGCGATTAACGCGAAGATTATCTGCCTTCATTAGTTGGAATTCTGAAGATTGAATTAGTTGCTTCAGATTAACGGTCTCCAACTTCTGGTTCACGACGTTTGACACGACATTTTAAAAAGTCGTTTTTCTTGTTATGAGTACAGATGGAACAAGCAACGAAAACCTGGTATTATTTATCAGTTGGTCTGATGATGTTGTTCAAATGGTTATATGCTAAGAAGCTACTCTGTCACACCAAAGCAAAAAAAACGGTTAAGTAACCAACGAACTAATAAAGGTTTATTATACTGTATTTGAGGTATCAGATCAATAAATACTCTTGTTCCATTCTTCTACTGTATTTCTTTATCGCGTTCTCTTTTTATTTGGGACACAAAGAGAAAGAGAGAGACACACCAAAATGGAAGCAGTTAACCAAACAATTTTTGATTTCGTAAGGTTAAACAAAAACGTTTCAGACCCAGACTTCAGATTTTTTGGCTATGATGTTTGCATTGATCTGCCACCCAGGGTAGCATCCGATGGCATATGGGGTCAATCTGATTTTGATGCATTGCCTTCAAAATCCACGTTGCCACTATTTGAGCTGCAAATTCTCACCATTTTCATCATCACGCAATGCTTTCATTTGGTACTTAAGCGCATGGGGCTCCCCTATTTCGTTTCACAATTAATGGTTTGTTTTTCTCCTCCTATCTTTTTAAGTTACAGAAATATAATATAAAACCATAGTTTTCATTTAACACTTTAAACTTTTGGATTAAACTGTTTCTTTTACGTGGTATCAGAGTTTAGGTATTAGAGTTTAGGTGACCAATGATCAATTTGATCTTCATTGTTCCTATTCTATTAAAATATATATATATATATATGAGGCAGGATTTTTTTACATTAGTGTAAAAATAATAAATGTTACACTTAATCTTAACAGTTGATTTTTGTAAATCTACCGCTTATAAGTTATTGGGAAATATAACCCAATCAATCTTAAATGTTTGATTGACGAAAATTAATGATTAAGATTAAATGTAAGATTTATTATTCTTACATCGATATAAGTTGATCCTCCCCTCTCTCTCTCTGTATCTATCTCTCTCTCTCTATATATATATATATTGTGTAGTGTTTTTCCCACAAATAAGAGTGCTTATGCATTATCCACCCTTGATCAATAGATCCTTGTACGAGCAAGCGTGTGTTAGAGAAATATATTATGAAACTATTAATATGTCTTTAGCTAACAGCTCAAACTTTTTACTCTTTCTAGAGTCATTTAAGAACATGACACAGGACATTGTATGATCTTAAGGAAAATGACAAGACCAAAATATTTTATTTATTTTCTTTTTTCTTTTTTCATTTGATGAAAAATTGCATGTCTCCATTTGCAGGCTGGCATTGTTTTAGGTCCGTCTATCAAGATAGAAGCATTGACCAAATACAAAAATATGTTGTTTCCTATGGGGAGTGAAGATGTATTGACCTTAATATCAGTATTTGGGTACATGTGGTTCCTGTTTCTAAATTGTGTGCAAATGGACTATAGCATGATAACAAGAACTGGTAGGAAAGCTTGGACAATCGCTCTTGCGTCATTACTGATTCCCACGTTTATTGGTCTTACCATAAGTTACAGATTCATGGATGATTGGATATCATACCTTGGACTTTATGACGGGTCAAGTCTTCCTGTGATAGTGATAAGTCACAGTAGCTGTTCTTTTCCTGTGATAGCTTCTTTACTATCTGATCTTGAAATTTTGAACTCTGAACTTGGACGCCTAGCACTTTCATCAGCTCTGGTGAGTGATGCGATTAGTACATTTGGGTCAGGATTAGGCACTTCTATTATGAGGAATTCTGTGACACAAACTTCCAAAAAGGAACAAGTCAATGGATCCCAAGTGGCTCTTTTTTCTGCACTCAAATACATGACTTTTTTAGTTGTGGTTCCTCTCATTGCACGTCCTGCAATGAGGTGGATTGTGAGAAAAACTCCAGAAGGTCGACCTGTGAGGAGATTACACTTCACCATCGTCATCATCTTGACCCTTTTGGCTGCTATGTTTGGAGGAATACTTGTTAACCAGACTGTGTTAGCTGGGGTATTGCTCGTTGGTCTTGCTGTCCCTGAAGGTCCTCCATTAGGGTCTGAGTTGGTTAAGAAGTTTGAGTTGTTCAACACATGGTTCCTTTTACCACTCTTTGTGACCAGCTGTGCCATGAAGCTTGATTTTACTGTACTAATTAATCACAGGCTGATTCTCACTCTAACTGTCACCATCATTGTCATCCATTTGCTTAAGATTCTAATCACCATTGGAATTTGCAAGTATTGCCACATGCCCATAACGGATGGTTTATGCCTTGGTCTCATGTTGAGCTGCAAAGGTGTTGTGGATTTTTGTACGCATATATTTCTACATGATGCTCTGGTAATAATCCATTCAACTCAATTCCTTCATGCATAATATCAAAATTAATTAATTTTCTTAAAAAATTTAATACCAACAAGACAAGGAGGACACTGTAATTTGATCATTCTTCATTTCTGATTCACTTGTTGAATTATTATTGCAGTTCTTGAGCAAAGAAGCAATAGCCCTGATGACTATATCTGTCTTGGTGTTGGGAAGCATGGCACATATTGGTGTGAAGGCCTTGTATGACCCTTCAAGGAAATACGCAGGATATCAGAAAAGGAACATTTTACACTTGAAACCCAACTCAGAGCTTAGGATTGTTGCATGTATCCGCAAACCAAGCCACACACATTCAATCAGGGATGCTCTTGACATTTTCTGTCCTACATCAAACAATCCATTGGTAGTTCATGTCATGCATCTCATGGAGCTTGTTGGAAGATCCTCTCCCATTTTCATCTCACACCGGCTTCAAGAAAGGGTTGGCTCAGCCCGCAACTTCTCTGAAGATGTCATTGTTACTTTTGACCTTTTTGAACATGACTATGCGGGTAATGCATCGGTGAGTACCTACACAGCCATATCCCCATTACGCTTCATGCAAGATGATGTTTGTTATCTTGCATTGGACAAACTTGCATCCATCATCATTCTTCCATTTCATATAAGATGGGCAGATGATGGTTCTGTTGAATCAGATGATGAGAACATAAGGACTCTGAATTGCAAGGTCCTGGAAAGAGCACCATGCTCAGTGGGGATTCTTGTCAATAGAGGGTCCTCTTCAAACAACGATACAGGAAAGCAAATAGCCATGATTTTCTTGGGGGGAGCAGATGATAGAGAAGCATTGTGCTTGGCTAAAAGAGCAATCAAAGAATGCACTTTTAATTTGGTTGTGTACCACTTGGTTGCAAGCACCAGTGAAGTTACAAACTGGGACTATATGCTCGATGAGGAGGTGCTGAAGGGTGTTAAGGGATATTATGGCCCCATAGAAAATGTGAAATTTGAAAAAATAACTATTGATGGCCCTTCCGAGACCACTGCTTTAGTCTCAGAAATAGCAGATCAACATGATTTCATTATAGTTGGGAGACGTAATGGGGTCAAATCACCTCAGACAGAAAAACTTGAAAGTTGGACTGAGTTTTCTGAGTTGGGTGTGATTGGAGATTTGCTTGCTTCCTCAGATAACAATACTAAAGCATCAATTTTAGTGGTGCAGCAACAACAATTGCCCAAGTCCTGAGCCTAGAGATAGAAAAAGTGTATACACATACATATACATATACATTTTTCTTGTTTGTACAGATTGTAGATCAAATATTTTATCAGCAACTATGGCTAAGAAAATTTTTATATTACATTCCTTCGTATTCCTCCTGCAATGATTCGTCCCATCATCTGAATATTAATTTATAGGGTGGAGGAGCTGCTCATCTGACTTAAGAATGATGCAATAAAAATCATATTAACGTAATGTTTTGCTTTGCAAATCACTTGAATGGGATATTGCTACTCATGATGAGTACGTGCACGTCGAAGTTCATTCAAGTTGTGTTGAGGAACTACATCGATGTTATGTGTTCATCAATTTGCGAACATTACAATATATATGGTTGGTTATCATATTATGAGTACATCTCACGGTGGATTGAATCAGCATCGACTTACATCGCAATCTATGATTTGGGCCACTAAAAAAAATGCCTATGAAATGTGCACATCACTGTGATCAAGTCATGGCTAATTCGGTACAGATATGCAAAACCAAACACAATGGAAGCTTGAATTTCAGATATACTCTTCTCTTGAACCAAGCATTACTGGCAATTTGGCAAAACAATAACTGAGAGTCTATGAGAAAACCTTGTCTTGATGGTCCAACTATCAGAAGCCAATATAGCTTTTGCTTTAATACTGAGACCGGGATGGGGGTCAATTCATACAAAAGCTTTTATATGCCATTATGTTGGCTGGTACATGCTCAGTTTAATTAAAAGCGAAAAGAAAAATGAAGAAAGAAAAACAGATCATAAAACTTTATGTTTCCTCGCTTACAAATAGAAGGGAGAGATTAAGATTAGGAGAATGGCTAAAGTGGAGTTTTTATACTGGTGTGCGCAACAGTCTAATAAAAACCAAAGAGATTCCTTCAAAAGAAGGGATGCTGAATTGTCAACTTCAAAACACACAGACGCAAATTTCCAAGGCAAATAAATTTGAAACTGTAAAAATTGGCAAATGATCATTTATCTCCCCCAAAAGGTAGCACCATATGTCATGATCATCCATCAAGTACTCGTACTAGAACACGGTTTCAAGAGAAAGACCCCCGCCAGACTGCAGCATATATTCACTAAAATACTATACTAAATGATTCAAATGTCAACTTTATCTCTCAAGATACATGAAAGGCCATCATAACTAAGAAAGCAATGCCTTTAGGTTCAAGTCCCATTTTATTTAACTTTCTAATGGACATACGCTGCATATAAAAATAACAGCTAGTAATAACTTGCTACAGTTCTTCAATCCTGCAAAGAAAAAGATTAAAGACAAATTATAACACAAGAAAATACACTAAAGAAGATATAGAGAAAAGATATTGACCTGCTTAGTTATATTACCAAGAGATAATAAAGGAAAATAGCTTGATTTGAAGACAACAATTTATTTCTTCTTCTTTTTTTTTTTTGGAAAGAAAATTTAAGACAATAATTGTTCACTAAATCTATTATCCTCAGTTTTCCAATTAAACAGAGGTTAATTTTTATAATACTTGATTCTGAAACATTCCTACGGTATTGAAAATATGCCAGACAATAACTATAGATGAATTCAAGGCCAGCCCTGGAGTAATATAATAATACTCAAATTTATAGAAGTGACAGGTTGTGTTGGTATCTAAAGTTCCACTCAAACCATGAAGTTTGAGATAGAGTAAGATATTACCACCAGAGTTTAGAGTTTATAAACTCTACTCTCAGGCACAAATGCAAGCTATAGTGAGTGCATTAGGATATACAATGCTGGGGGCTGCTACAATTATTATTAGTAGGATTAGGGCATGGCAACTTAGATACATTTACATGCTGATACCATCAAAATTTGGCCAGTTAAATATGTTTTCTAAACGAAATTTCCAGTATCAACAATGGCAATTCCTATAAAAGATACTTCCAAGCAGTTAACCTGGCAACCCATAAACATTGATATGCATGCACAAAAACAAATAAGAAAGATGACATTTTGTTATTTATGATTAATGGACAATGATTGCGCATGCAGATGGATTAACTTTACAGAACTGTAAGACTAGCAACTTTCTGGAGATCATGCAAAACATTGATAGGAAACAAGAAACAAAGATAAAGGAAGTTAATAAACCTCATCCTCATCGTCGTCGTCGTCACCACCATCTTCCTTATTTTTCTTAAGACGGGTAGTACCACCTTCTTTGCTGATAGGCAATTTCATTGCTCCAAAGGGAGTGTCAACATCAAGATTTCCTTTCATGGAGTAACCCGTGCCCCTTCCTCTAATCATGTCCCAAAGGGCAGAGCCAAAATCCTTGGGCCTGAAGGTAATTGGAAGATCAATGTAACAAATTCCGCTTTTCTCAATTTTTGCAGATTTGGTGAGTTCTGCACCTCCAATGCTAACATCACCAAGCCAGACCTCATAATCGAGTGCATTGAGGCCCAGGTCAAAATCATTCTTGTTTTCCAATTTCAAATGAAGACTTGCAACCGTCTCTTCGAAAGAGAACCTTTCAAAATGAATCTTCTCAAGATCAATATCAGGCTTGTATGGTATGGGGATTTCACCAGTTTTCTCCAAAGGTAAAGTCAGCCTTCCCAAGATAGGAACATCAAAAATGAGATCAACCTTCACCCTATAAGGAATGATGCTTCCGGGTTTAATATCAGCATATGTTTGCTTGATGTCATCATAAATCAAAGTAAGAGGAATTTTGACAGTCTCCTCTCCATGTGCATGGATGGTACCTGCATCCGGTATCAATCCGGAAACCAGTTTCCTTCCATCACTCTCAACCAAGTAATTAATGTCAATCAGAGGGATTGGCACCGGATTCGGGTTCTTTATGAGCACATCAACAACAAGGTCTGCCTTGTGAAGATTAATTGATGGAATATGAATCCCTTTAACATCTGCAGTTGGCTTCCCAAACCCAATAGCTCCCTCGATCTTCTCACCAATGTCTTGAATGAAATCTTTCACCTTCTCAATAAATCCACCTTTCTCTTCCTCTTTATCATCTCCCTTGTGCTTTTCATCCTTAGTACCTCTTTCCACCACTTCCGGGTTATCAGATGTAGACATATCTAAATTAAACAAAGGTAAATTCGTAAAGCAATTAGCTAGGGTAAGATCCAATCAATCACACAACAAATCAAAGTCAAAAGTTAACTCTCTGATTCATTTTTTGCAAGAAGAAAACACTTCGACATTCTAGATCACACGCATTAGCATTACATACAAGTATATTATTCAAAATACAAACTTTAGATCAGCATTATCCAAAAAATGCAGCAAAACTTATAATTCCATAACAGGGTAACACTTGAAAAAAAAAAAAATCTGTTTGTGTTTTTTATGCAATTTCTCACGGATTTCCCAGTAATCAAAATAGAAGATACACAGAATCATAAGGTCAATGCTTAATCAAATGACCAGATTATAAGATACCAACCAACAAAAATCCAAAATGAAGCACGGTCAAATATAGAGAAGTACCTGAGATGAGATCGGTGATCCAAAAGAAAGAGAGAGAAAGACTAACACTAACACTGTGAATAGGATTAGCACAACACAACACTACCCAACAGTAGCAAGATCAATATTTTGTAGGTGGGAAAAAAATCATAGGAAGGTTCCATTGCATCAAGGGTCAATATTTGTCACAAATACCAGAGCAAATGCCAGCCGTTGATTGACGGAGGCGCGTGTCAACCGACCAACCCACTGTCTAAAACAAGGCCCACACGGAAATGACACGTGCCCGACACCGACCGACCAATCACTTTATCCAATTTTAAACTTTATCGACGTTTACAACTAGATAAAATATAAAAATATAAAATAAAAATATGTATATTCATTTGACCTAAAATTTAATTAAATATATTGATTATCTAACTTATTTTAATTATTTTAATTATATTTAGTAAATTAGTTGAACGATAGTACTACAAAAACTTGCTTTCTTTGAAGATATGAAATTTCTTCTAACCTATAATTTCCCTTTGGGCATTTCTTGATTGAATTTCATTTTTTTTTATTAAAGAACAGTTTGAAAACCTTTTTTCACAAATGTATTCACTAAATTAGTACACTGTGCCTCGCCCACACCTAAAATAGTATCGATACTATAATCATAATAATGATATATAAAAAAAATTATGAATTTTCTACTCTTTGAAAATATCAACCACAAAAAAATGGTCACTAAATGATTTTTACCAAAATTATATAATTTTCTCCCAAGTATCTTTATTTTCGCTGACTCACTTTATCTTTAGTAAAAAAAATAAACTTCCTAGAATTGTTTTTTTTTTTTTTGTTGTTGGGAATTTACATTTTTTTTCAAAAAACAAAAATATAGTATCAATATCGCCATTTTGTTTTTAATTGTTCCACATTCAATTCAATCACTTAACAGTAACCTTCCAAATGATATTACAGTTGCAAATATTATAGCTAAAAAGCTAACAATATTATAGTAACCAGACTGCAAGCCTCTCTTTTTCAGTTTCTTAATTTTTAATTTTTTCCATATTATTTAGGTTTTTGCTGAGAATTCTTTATTTTTTTATAAACCTCCCACATTGATCTCAGCTTTAAAATCATACACTGTTGCAATGGCAGAGAGTGAGACAATGAACTAAAACTGTACATATATATAACATACAATATCTTGATCACTACATTGGATTCTTTTGAGGTAAATATAGCACTAGAAATATTACATAGTGAGGAAGATTCACATAATTCCTGTCCATAGAAAAATGCAATTACAATTCTCATAGTAATTGTCTGTCAATCGAATACAACCAATTAGCACCTCAAACACTGGATATGGCTGCCACCGATTCTATAATGTAACCTCTAAAACTTACATCAACAGTCAACACACAAAGGCAAACAAAAAAAATGCCTTGGTGCAGGTAAAACAAAATTATATAAATGGATTCAGACCACAAGGTATGAATCATTATCAATTTAACACAATAACAAGGCATATTTTACTGTTACAAACTAATAATACAAGGTAGAAAAACTCAGATAATTACAGGTTTGAGAATTAAGATTAAGGAGGCTCATCAGGTCCCTATAGGAGCTCTGTCATCTGGTCCAGCAAGCATGATCTGGCATTATATGCATTTGCAATTTAGCAATGGAAACCAAGAAGGGGGAAAAATAAAGGATGTAAAAGAGAAAAGATAAATTCTTAAATTCTAACAAATGTATGTTTCAGCATAAACCTATAAATTGTTCAGAAAGACGTACATTACAATCAAATGCAAATCTCCTTGCAAGCATGATGGCTGCATTCCTTTCTCGCTCTGATTCAAAAGCTAATACAAAAGAATGCCCTTGTTTTGGCCGCCAAAATAGTGCCTGTGCGGCGGCATTACCACCTCCTCGAACTCCACAAAGCTAAAAAAAAATAAGATTAAAGAACATTGGTTGACCAAATTCCAGTTCATCACGAAGGACGCGAGGAGGAAAATATCACAATGAACACAAAACAAATGCCTTTTCAGCACAAAAAGACAGCTTCAATACACAAGGTATCTACCACACAAAATGATATACTGCAAGAAAGTTCTTAAAACATTGTTTTTCTAATCACAATCACATATTGTACCTTATTTAGTAAAACTACAAAAGCTGAATAATGCTAGAAAGTCAAAAAACTAGATGCTGTGAACAAGAGTCATCTTGAACTAGACAGCATCCACAATTTGAAATACCTGCATTGAACTTGAATAGTATTCTTTGGCAATTGTCGCTTTTCCTTTACAGAGTTTCATCCTCATCTTTCCAACATGAAGTACATGAATAGATTCAGTTGGATGATGGGAACCATTCATCTGAGTTACAACCACCTGCAAAGTATTAAATACAACTATAATATTATTGTCAAGGAATCTGACTAGATTTGACTCCTAAACTTTTTACAGTGAAATGTGAAGAACAAAGTACAAGACAACTACAGTTTGCCAAAACTAAACATTATTCTTTTATTGAAAACTTGATTACAAGACTGTAACAACAAGCACGGAACCGTGCACACCTTGGGTCAAAATACAGCTAAACTTAACAAGGGTCACAAGTTACAAGCATCACCTATTGAAAATTTTCATTGCGTCTAATGGGGTTTGGCTGGTAAGTCGATAACCAAAAGCACCACAATATGATTTTGTTCACTAAAAAGCCTTTTTTAAGTTGGAAAATAACATGGACAAACGAGGTATAAAGTAGACATAAAAGTGATGAATGATAAGCTTATACAATACAAAATAATTGCTTCTCAATATCTCACATTGATGCTCACTTATAATTATCCTATTATGGGAGGGAGAAAAGGAAATAAATAAAAGTTAAAAGGATCGAAACAACATACATTGAATTCAGTGTCATGTTTTCGTACAAGAGCCTCTACATAGGTTCCCAAACCAGCAGCTGCATAAGAGTATAAAAGCAATTTAAGCTCAACTATTGCAAAATCAAAACATGTCTTCATCTCTTAAAATTAATAAGAAAATAACTTTATAGTTTAAATAGAAACAAATGCATAGGAGGTACGCATGTTCATGACTAAAAATTTTATGAGGATGACTCAATTGAAACCAGACCTGGATCTATTGGACCAGTGGTTGAAAGAGTGATATGCTGGCTTTCTGAAATAATATCAACTTGCAATAAGCGTCCAACATCGAAAGGTTCAGGGGCATAAACTGATTTGGTAGCTCCTGAGATATGGACAGTTGTATTAAATGATAAGCAAAGATAAAAAAGTGGAACTCGATGAAATTTGTAATAACAATCAGTGTTCAAGCACAATGCATCTTGAACAGCACAACTTACAGATTAAGCCCCACTGACTGTTAAGATTGGCTAAATTAAATGTATAATAGTCACAAGCTATGAATTAAAATAAAAAATAAAAATCAGTTGTATATACACAAAACAAGCAGTCAATTTGGACATTCATCTATAATGAAAAAACTTAACAATCAGTTCATCAGTACGTGAGGGTTTGAGTGCTGCCTGCCATATATAATTTTCTATTAAACACTAAGGAGACAAATGTCATCATCAAAATGTTATTTTCATTTTGGCAAGTGACCAATGATCAAACATGCTATACCAGAAGCAGATAATGTGTAAAATATGCAAAAGGAAAATGTCATCTACAAAAGGAATTCATCATAAAAAGTGCAAAATTTCATGTGGATGTACCTGAAATAAGTTCTTTTCTGGCACCATCAGATGATACACGATACCACTGAATTGAACACGTTGAAACTTCAGGAGCATTATCAGAGCAAGGTTGAATTTGCAAATAAGAACCTAACGTTTCAGTCCCTTCAAGTTCATATAAATGTGGAACATTTTCCCCGCCTTTCTTTGTCCTTGCTAGCTGAAAAGTAGCACAAAGAATAATCAGAGAATGAAACTTATAATAGAAGACAACCATACAATATCATAATGTCTCAATGAAGGAATATGGAATATTCACATGCTTTTCAGAATCTATTCAGTTTCTTTCTATTTTGGAGATGGCTCATCAGAAAAGATAAAGCAAATCTAAAAGAATTATAGGACCAGATGTTCTGTATTACAAATAGGAAAAAGTGTTTGTCCTTTTAAATGACACAACTTGTGTCATTTCACTCTCACAAAGAGGTGGGACCCATATTTTTATATTTTTTTGTCCACTCTCTCTCTTCCTTTATCTATCTCTTTCTCTCACTTAAAATGACACAACTTTACATTCTTTAAAATGATACACACTTTTCCCTTACAAAAAGTATTATGAAGGTATGTATGCACTGCATTATATGAAGCAGAGGCAACATAACATATCCCCCTATAGTTTGGTACTCACACTACGATTGACAAGTCATCCCCGTAGTAAACAAAACAGGCTCCGTCTATAATGTCCAAATGTGTTATATAAACACAGATCCCCACCCAACCAAAAACCAAACTTTAAAATCACATCAAATTTACTAAATATGATTAAATATACATCCTGCTTAAACAAACCAACAAGCACCAACAACTACATTAAGTCTTCCAAATAAAGTTATCAACGCTGTGAGTATATCATAGAATTGGCCTGGACACTATTCACAATTTCACATCACAACCTCTTCAACATGGCATAAGATGACAGGCATACCTCTTTTTGAAGTCGAAGATAATGTCTAGTCTTCTCTGCAAGTTGAACCCTCAATGCTCGAAGCTCATGTTCCATATCCATGACCTACAAATCAATCAACAATCAATGTTTTCATTTCCTTGAAATAACTCGATAAATATGTTAATAGTATGGAAATAAGAAGTCTACGAAAATTGAGACGGGGCACAAGTACAACATATTTTCCTCAAGAATTTCAACCACAACAAGCTCTTTATGATGAATAACAGAATTAAGAGACTGGGCACACCCAAATATACTGACAATCAGTATTGAAGAGAACCTAAAAGTATTGAAGAGAGCCTAAAAATGGGAGGGTAGGGGAACTGGAACTAAGAACAAGAAAAGACATTTGAAATAGCAACTACTAAATTTAGACAAGAGACAAAATAGGGGCAAGTATCTAATATATACCTTGCTTGGTTGATGCAGCATTTTGATTCTTCGAGCCTCTTGAACCTCCTTCATTAATTGTTCTACGTCCTAAAGGTCCCATAGAGCCAAATTTTGTTCAAATGAAAGTACTGAGTTAACATATATCTGCAGTATTTGTTTCCTCACAAAAGTGAAGAGAAAGCTAAAACACTTAAGTGGGAAGAGCTAAGAAAGCAGACAAAGGGGCAACACTAGCACAAGGGATATGACATAATAACAACGGCCAAGAAAGTAAGATGCAAAGGTAAAATGCAAGAAACCTTAAGTAGAAAAATAATTTCTTAAGCAAATTTCTCATCTTCCATTTTCCCTTGCCCTTTTCAAGATAACTAGCTGCAAATATCCACTATGTAACCTATCTCAATTTAAGTCCTCAAATCCAAACAAGTACCAATTTTTGTTCCATCATAATTTAATAAATAACTGATAAATTAGATTTTCAGGAAATGAATTGCATGAAAAATATAAGAATAATAAAACAAGTGATATTAAGTCTGAAGCATTTATCATTATGGCATAAAGAAATATCCAAATTCCCATTTTTAAAGCATGGCAAATAACAAGAAAATACCACAAACCTGCTTCCCTGAAGCTTGGGACATTCTCTCATGTTCCTGAAGTGCCTCTTCCACTCTCTGAACTGCAGCTCTGGCATCCTCTATTTCAGCACGAGCAAAAGCTCTTTCCTCATCAACAAGTTTCTTAGCATCTTCAGAAGCCTGTAAATTAATATCAATTCTGAGCAGTGGAAAAGGAAATTTCTTAATAACAGACATGCAAAGAAGATATAAACTGAGGCAAATTTATTTCATAACATAGAAGCTAATGTATTTATCGTATAATGTCTTTAATATGCAATATTCCAGTCGTTATCAGAATCATGGGCGTAATACGCTGCTCAATTTATGGCAGTGCACAATTTACACTGTCTTATGATGTCTATTCTATGGTTGAAGCAGAGTGCTTGGAAGTTTAAGGGAAATCTTTGGGCTTAAATCTGTGACAGGATAGAATAGGATTTATGACATCTATCTGGAGCACAGTACATACTTTCTTTCAGGGAATTTCTTTAGTAGACATGGGGAGGGATTATAGTTCTCTTTGATGCCAATGTTGGTTTAGTCATGTTTACTGTTGAAGCTAATAGAGAGGATACATTATTATCTTGTTGCCTTTTTCTTTCCTATTTCAAATAAAACATTTTCTATCATCAGGTAAAAGAAGATAACATCACCTGCTTAAGAAAATTTGCCAGCTTCTTCACCTCTGCCTTCTCTTGTATAAGTTCCCCTTCCCTTTGAGTCAACTGTACTGCTAGAGCTTCAACCTGAAGAATGCACAGAATAAGTTACAATTGCTTCTCTTAGAAGATCGTAAAGGCACAAATAAACTGGTTTCAGAACGAACATTCTATCAATTAAAGAAATAGAATTTTTTTAGCCAAGAGTGGAGCATTGAAAGAGTTATTAATTATTATACAAGAAAATTATCTTCTAAAAGCTTTAAACCAAATTATAAGAAAACCATCCCAAAGTTTACTCTCAAAGCCGTTCATTTGCATACACACTCCCAATTTGACTTTTATAGAGGACAAACAAGACTTTATATTTATGCTGTTAGCTTGATATGAATTATACATGACGAAATAAATATGAACATCTGTTTAAAAACATGTGAAGTATATATCTACCTTTTTATTTTTATTTTTATTTTTGTTTTAAAGAATAACTAACCATAGCTATAGCTTCCTCCACATCATCCTTGTTTCTGCCTGCCACACGCCCTTTTAAGGATTCAAGTGCATCTCTAAGCTTCTTCAAAAGAACATGTTTTTCCCATGATGCTGCTTCTCTAAGCCTAGCCTGAATTTCACAAGCATATCAAAAGCTTAGTTAAAATAAGGGACATTAGTTTCTTTGAAAACTATGTTCACTAGTTATTTTAATACAAAATATTACATGATAAAAATCACTGGATGCAAAACCCTCCAAAAGGAAGAATAATATAGCTATGAAGGGGGGGGAAAAAGTTTTAACAGAAAAGAGTATAACAGCACCTCTTCAGACAACTTAGCAGCAGCAGCCAAACCCTTCTCAAATTTATTGGCAAGGTCACGAACTGAGAGACGCTTCTGCTGTTCCAACAGTTGTCCAGTCTCACGTGCAACAACCTCCTTCACAGATAGTACTTTTGGGTCATCCTTTGTCTCCATTATCTGATTGTTAGCTCCAATTCTGTAATTAGGAAACCGACTTGAAGCAAATATCACATCAGAAGATACCGCAGGCACTGCCTCTTTTTGCATTGTATCACCAAAATCACGGGTCACCCTTGTCATTTTTTGCAAGCAATTACCTCTGCCAATCACAAAAATGCAACCTTTAGCATAGGTAATTGAGCAGATTATTATAATTTAGCATAGGAGAAAACAAAAAAAATGGAACATAAACCCAGATATGCATAAACTGAACAAAAAGTATTAAAGAATACAAACACAGAACGAGAGATATCCATACCCATTAAGCTTATAGAAGTCAAAGCAACTTCTAAGAGTTTATGAAAATGAAACAAAACCCTAAACTTACTTCTTTTCACTTTTTTTTAATTGAAGAAATGAGAGAAAAAGCCAAACAAAAAAAGACAAAAAGAAAGCTTGAACTCACAGATAATGAAAAGCTAAAAAATGAGTATCTAGGCTTGTGATTCTAGGATCAGATGCAAAGGGATTGTTCCAATTTGGTTATCCAACAACAGTGAAGAAGTGCTTTTAGATAGAGAGAGAGAGAGAGAGAGAGTATAGATGGAAAGATTGTAGCTTGCTTTTTGAAAAGGGAAGGGAAAGAGAATGGCTTGTGTTGTGCCGCCCGTGGGGTTTTGGATTTTAATGTCAACCTCATATCATATGTTGTCTTTGTGTGTGTTCATGTTCATGTTCATGTTTCATGTTCATGTTTGTTCACTTTGTTGTGTTGGCCTCTACCACGGCTAACAACAGCTTTGAATGGATCTGCATGTGACTATTTAGGGGGCGTTTGGTACAAGAGAAATTTTTATTTGTCCCGGAATCTTAATTTTCAAAAATATAATTTTTACATTCAGTTTACGATAATATTCGAAAATTTAAAATTTAGAAAAATTCAGTTTCCCGGGAATCCGGCCAAATGCCGCGTACCAAACGCCCCCTTACTGTGTTGTCATGCTTATGCTTTTAACTTAAAAATAAAAATAAAAAATGCTTCCATTCCACGGGAAGCATTTTAAGGCTTATTATTTTTAATTTTTTTTTCACCAAGAATCACAGTCGCTGTTACCAAATTTTAGGATAATTTTTTCACCTAGAATCGCAACGCAATAAATTTTTTCCTTATCAAATTTCTAACACCCTACCTCGAACTCAATCTAAATGAATTGATACACGTGCTAGCTTTAGAAAAGCCATACTTCCTATTTTTTTATTATTTACCATATTCTTTTTACTTGTTAAAATCAGGATCTATTATTTTTTATATTATAGAAGATAAAATTATTTTCTATATACATAAAAGTATTTGAGATTTCATTTTTCTATTTTTTTTTACATTAGCTTACATAAATTACACACATTTTTATATCTAGAATTTTGGGAGGGATGAGAATTGTAATTCTTTCTACTTCTAGAGATATATATAAAGGCGAAAACTTTTCTTATGTCAGACGAAATTTCCTCTCTTATGTCACTGGAATATTTTTATGTAGGTCCCTTTCTTTTAGTTAATAAAAAATAAAAATAAAAACAAATTTCTGTGAGATGACAGGAGATGATTTCTCTCCGGCAAGAGGAGAGAATCATCTTCCATATATAAAACATAAAATTTATCTTCTTAAGAAATATTAACTTCTAAAATCAAAGAGTGACAACCCTTTTTTTTAATATTTCTCTGCCATTATGTTATTCATATATATATATATATAACAAGAGCACTGAGGTTTGAATCTAGTAAATTATCCAAAATTCTTATTACTAAACATATTCTAGTGGTTTTATGCAGGACTCTTTTTAAGTCATGCACATTAGTCATACGAGACTTAATAAATCTTGCATGTTCATTGTTCACGCTTATGGGTGATAAACGAGCAGGGGCCTTTGGCTCGGCTCGTGAAGGCTTGAGCTTACATGCCTAATATTAATTGTTTGAATCAGGTTTGAACTTGTATAAAAGCTAGTTTAGTAAAAAGGCTTCATGCTCTAATTCAAAAGCTCGGCCTTGGAGCCTCTCAAGCTGACCTAGTATATTAATTTTTTTTTTTATATTTTTTATACAATTTGTAATAACCCTCTCTCTCTCAATTCATTTCACCCCTATTTTATTAGTTAAACAGACTTTTGAATGATTTCGTTCTATATTATACTGGTTGGATATACATTAAATTTATGGATATTTATGGAATTACTAGTGTTGTTGATTGTATATTTTGTTTGGATAAATTTTTGTTGTCTTATTTTTTCTAACAGGCCAAATCAGGCTTTTATTTTTTGCAAATAAGACAGGCCACAGGCCGATAATTATATTCGTAACAGGTAACAGATAACAGGCTTGGTAATGCCGACACATTTAAACACAAGCTTAACCATTTAAGACCAAAGTTCGGCTCGACTCGTTAACACCTCTATTCACGCTAACGTGTTAAGTCTTGCACCGTTAGCGTACGAGACTTATCACGTATTATGGTTAATTTGAAAAATCTTTTAAAAATGAATTAAATGAGTATTTAAAAAAAAATTGCTTGGTCAAAAATTCTCTTGTAGATTGAAAAAAATATTTCTGCAGTTACTTGCAGATAAGTTATCTGCATTTATTCCCAAAACAACGTCGTTTTGGTATTAAAATCTTAAAAAAGTATAAATATAAAGACTATTATAACCCTGAAAGAAATTAAAATTACAAAAATATCATGTTTTCCGTCCCAAAATGACGTCGTATTGAACTTATTGCAAATAAATTATCTGCAGTCAGTGACTGTAGATAATTTATCTGTAGTAATATCAGAAAAAGTGAACCCTAACTTATTTGACTTGGACTTCTTTTAAACAGAATTAACACATTCTAAGTTTTGTTGTTGTTGGCGTAAGTAGTCGAGGAAAACTTTTCAAAACTAGAAGTTTTTTTAATATAAATTAGGATTCGCCTTTTCTGCAGCAGTTACTACAGATAATTTATCTGCAGTAAGTCAATACGACGTCATTTTGGGACGAAAATTATGGTGTTTTTGTAATTTTAATTTATTTCAGAGTTATAATAGTCTTTATATTTATAATTTTTTAAGATTTCAATACCAAGACGACGTTGTTTTGGGAATAAATACATATAACTTATCTGCATTAACTGTAGAAACATTTTTCCCTATAAATTAAGGGTTCATTTTTTCTGATGTTTCTGTATATAAGTTATCTGCAGTCCAATACGACGTCATTTTGGAGCTGAAATCATGATATTTTTATAATTTTAATTTATTTTAGGGTTTTTATAGTCTTTATAATTGTAATTTTATAATCTTTTAATCTCAAAATGATGTCATTTTAGAAGTAAATGCAGATAACTTATCTGCATTAACTGCAAAAATATTTTTCTGATAAATTAAATGGGGAGAGAGCTATACTTATTTAATTTAAAAGTTTTACAATCTCTTATTACTAAATTTTAACTGTTAATTTCTGTCAATTTAATAGTTTTTTTTTTTTGAAGGTTACAAGGAATTGAGTCAATTTAATAGTTAAAATTTGTTGAAAATTAAAAATTAATTAATAAATGTGATCCAAGAAATTATAATCATTAAATTAACAAAAATTAACCATTAAGATTTGACAATAATAAATTATAGAACTTTTAGATTATAAGTATATCCTACCTAGCTTAGTAATAGTTTTTGGGCTAAACCCTACTCTGTGTACTTTAAACAATTCTAAGAAATCGAAAGCCTATTATTTAATCATTTAAAGATTTTAAAAATTCTGAAATATTATCCCAAATTTTAAATTCACTTTTAAATTCTAACTATTTTACTAAATTCTTCCATTTAATTAGAAATTAATGGAGGAATAATTAGATATATGAAAACATACCCGATCATTGCATTTGAAATATTAACAAATCATTACGGTTCATTAATATAAAAGATACATTCATTCTCAGAACGACATCATTTTGGGTTAAAAAATTAAAAAAAATATAATGAGATAAATTATTATAATCCTGAAATAAATTATAATTACAAAAATATATTGATTTCTGTCCAAAACGATGTCATTTTAGACTCAATATAAATAACTTATTTACATTCAACCTATAAAAAATATTTCTATTGCACAGAATATCCCTTATTTGGTGTTGTGTTTCTATGTAAAAAAAACCAGGGAATGGGTATTCAAGTTATTCCCAAACAGGGGGAGGGGATATGTGTGAATATTTTTAGTTTTCCATTTTTAACTCTCTTTTTTTATACAGTTTTCCATTTTCAACCTAATTATGACCGTTCATAACTAAAAAAATGTATTTAATAACAACCCTAAATTTTTTTTGGATATTCTTCTCTTCTCATATCATAAGAATTTTTTATATATATATTTTTTGGGTAAAAGAACAATCCCAAAACTTAAATCTTGAATTTATGTTGAAATTCCAAACTTATTATTTTATATGCAATATACATATTTAATTAATTTATTATTTAAATTTAAATTGAATTTAATTATTATAACATCCCGCATTAAAAAAAATCCAATAAAAAATGAAAAAAATGAAATACATGAAGGTGAGAATTTTCAGAACCTCATTTAATTCCCCAGTAATTGACTAAATATGTACTAAAACAAGTTTTGTCAACCAAAGCCCAATGATGTATGTCATTGATTTAGAGGTGACAGTTTGGTTACACTCGTGTGCGCATCATCATCATCCTAATATAACTAGTATTTCAACCAAGCTATCCTGATTCCTGAGTGTTAACTAAGAATTCAATATTAAAGGTCACATAATTAAATATAATAATAATTTTATTAAATAAAATATGTAATGAAATTATTTAAAATTAGACATATTAAAACTCATGAAATACATGAAAGTGAGAATTTTCAGAACCTAATTTAGTTCCCCAATAACTGTCTAAATGTATGTCATTGATTTAGAGGTGACAGTTTGGTTACACTCGTGTGCGCATCATCATCATCCTAATATAACTAGTATTTCAACCAAGCTATCCTGATTCCTGAGTGTTAACTAAGAATTCAATATTAAAGGTCACATAATTAAATATAATAATAATTTTATTAAATAAAATATGTAATGAAATTATTTAAAATTAGACATATTAAAACTCATGAAATACATGAAAGTGAGAATTTTCAGAACCTAATTTAGTTCCCCAATAACTGTCTAAATGTGTACTAAATTAAAGGTCACATAATTAAATATAACAATAATTTTATTATATAAAATATGTAATGAAATTATTTAACGGGGTATATTTATCTCATGATAAATAACTTTCCTACACACACAAAAAAGAGTTGGGTCTGATTATTCTTTTTTTTCTCTCCTCTTATCTGTGGATCCTATTTATAATTTTATTTCTACGACATGAAGTAACTACTTTCTTATAATATAAGAAAAGTATTTCCCTTATTTAACATATTTAGTTCCCCGATAACTGACTAAATGTGTACTAAAACAAGTTTTGTCGACCAAAGCCCATGCTCCACTCTCTTTCTCACAAACAGAAATGCATGCACCTGATCTACAAATAGTCCACTCTCTTTCCCTCACTTCTCCACTAGTCATCTACGTGACTAAATGCTAACAAAAATCCTATGACTGAAACTAATCGTATCCCACACCTTCATTGCTTCAAAAAGATTCCAATTCTCCTCACATACTACCCAAAATTCATAGTATTCCAAGTGTGTACTTCCTAGGAAGCAAGATGCATTTGCTGTACTAAGAGATGTGTGTGAAAAAGCTATCTTACCCAATTAATTACCAGCAATCTGTGGATCTTTTTCCCTTGGATTTATGGCAGACAATTTAAACATTAATCCAATTTTCAGGCAGGAATCCTCGGAAAAATAACACCAATTTCACATCAAATGAATCTGTTATTAATGATTTAATACAAGCTATAAATTTCAATGTGAAAAATAAAAATTACAAAACCCAGTTTAGAATCCATCCAAATTTTTCATTATTAACAATATAATGAACAATACACAAATCACACTCAAAATTTTATCAAATAAGTAAGAGATATAACTCTACAAATGTCAATTCATAGAACCTTAACAGAGGAAATACATTGACCAAATTCAGTGACGATCCAACGGCTGATGAAAGAATTATCCCTTTTTAAATTCTCTGTTGCACAAAAATTTTATGGAAGCTCAAAAATCAGATCAGTTAAACTCTACTCTAGAAACCAAAGTGTAAGATTTACCATAAAAAAGTGGGTTTTGACAAGACTCAATTTCATTCATATCAAATTGTTTAACAAAAGACTGATCTCGACCTGAGCTTGAGACCGGCCCACAAGCATTTTCCTAGCAATATATGTTCCAAGCTCAAACTATTGTATCACAAACCAAAAAAAAAGTAAAAAAAATTCCATAGATCATAACAGCAATGATCTCCCCCTAAACAAAACCCCATCCATAGGTTCAAATCATTGTATATAGGTAAATACAATCATCCAAAATAACAACCTAGACAAGAATCCCTTCAAGACTGTGCTGAAAAGTTTTTTGCTGGAGTAAGAAGAGCAACAGCACAACGATCTGGGCTACAGAATTTCTTGTAAACTGCCCTTAGCTTACTTTCTGGAGCATCTGAATGAAGGTTGACCATGAGTTTGGCACAATCCCTGGCAGCAATTAATAAACAAAGGTTACGTCATTGTCATGAACACATCCTAAACACACACACACACACTAGTTGTATGTCCAAACCTTAATTGTTCCTCAGAGTAGCTAGTGTAGTGCTTCAGAGTCTCTGTCCAGAAAGGGCTCCTTTCAAGGGTACATCGTCCCGCATATACAGCAGAAGCAGCAATCACCGAAGGGCAGTACAAGGTTACAGTGGGATAGTGCATCAGACTAAGTTCAGCAAGGAAAAACACCATACTTTCCATCTACATTAACAAAAAACAAAAAATCAGCAGATTGATTAGAGCATTCCACACTGCACCCCCCAGTCACACTCTGGCACTTAAAAGAAAATCTTACAACCAAACTATAAAGAAGTGTATATATATACCTCCTTATCAGAGGGAGTAGAGGCTTTGATATACCGAAGCAGGAAGACATAGGGTGTGGGAACGGTTAAATACCATTCAAGATTTCCCAAGATAGTTTTCTCCATGAGCAGAACCTGTTCTCTAACATAGGCATTGTCTGATATGCATACAAAGTCATTAACCTGCATACATAGATATGAAAATCCATATCATAAAAGTCATACATCTATATATGAAGCTATTTTACCAAAGCCGGATTCATAACTCATAAAAGAGAAAGAGTTCCACCTCTGGTGCCCAAATCTCTTCATATTTGGAGGCTATGAGCATTGAGCTGATGCCAACCAGCTGAAGTTCCTTTCTAGGTACAGTCTTCATGGACAGGAATCGGTCCACAATGTTTATAGTCAAATAGAGAGTTTCTGGCATGAGTTCAAATTTACGATGCACTTCTATCAACCAGTCCATAAGAATTGATCTCATCTTGGCATTTACATCTGGCTGTGAACCCATGTAATCATGCACACAACCATCCTCCTGTGTCATCAAAGTCATAATAATACACATTATATCTATCATAGAGAAGAGTGCTTAGGGAAAAGGAAGATATGGGAGATAAAGAAAGAACAAAGCTTAGAGACTTACTTCTGTGAGTTTGTAATATTTATAGATTTCATCAATGTACTCTACTGCTGCCAATTCATTGTCATCATCAGTTGCGTCTATGTTCTCTACCAAATCCTTTGGCTTATAAGCGAGTCCACAAGCAGCCTGAGGTTGACAAGTTTTGTTGTGAGACCACAACGATGTACCAGAGAAAAAGGGCATCCCAAAGTCCCAAAACCACATTCCAAGAGCAAGAAAACTAAAGAAGAAAATGAAAGGAATTTATAACCTTGCTTCTAGCCGTGAGGACTGAACTGAAGGCCTTGGCATTTTTCATGGCGGACCTTGCTCTTGTAGTTCTTCCTTTTACAACTTGCTTCTTCTCCTTTTTTTCCTCGCAATCCTCATCAGAGCTTATGACAATAACTTCAGGTTCTGTCGGCTTCTGAGCTTGTTCCACCTTTGTTGCAGCAATGAAATTCGCCACACTAACCCCATTAGCTGCAGCCACTACCGCGCCATTCACAAGTTCAGTGCTTGACTTCTGGATAACAATCGATGAAACAAGTTTAGAGAGATAGTCAATTTTTTCCTCGCAATCCTCATTAGACCTTATGACAATCACTTCAGGTTCTGTCGGCTTTTGAGCTTGTTCCACCTTTGTTGCAGCAATGAAATTCCCCACTCTGGCCCCATTAGCTGCAGCCACTACTGCGCCATTCACAAGTTCAGACTTCTGGAAAACAATATGTGAAACGGGTTTAGAGAGTCAGTCATTACAAGAATCCCAATAGAGGAAAGAAAACTGTTCATTCCTTTGAAAATTTAGAGAGCCAAGAAAAAGTTAAAAGGAAAGAAAAATGCACCTTGTTCTTCTCTGCTGCGGCTTGCCCATTAGCCAATAGTTGAGAACGAAAGTTCCTGTTAAAATATATATATATATATAATTAATCAAAGGAAACAGAAAAAAAAATGAGGGTGAAAAGAAAAGTATTGAGGGGGGAAAAACACCTTGTGTTGCGCTTAGACACATTAGCACCACCTGGCTCTGCTTGTTTAGCCACAAGATTGCCAATATCCTGGAGTACCCTTCTATTTCTTCCTTCTGCTGCTACATTCTTTTGCTTGTTATTCTCACCTAACAAAACGGAAAATAGAAAAAGAGTTTTAACAAAGAGGAGGGGAAAAAAAATTAGCCACTAGAATAATTTTCCGAGAAAGTTAAGTTAAACTGGTAAGATCTCAACATATCTCAAACTACAGAAAAGTTCAAATTTCAAATAGAATGAGATAGAGGGTATGTAGAGAAAAGAAAAGAAAGAAAATTGGATATCTATTCAAACAGGTAATGACGTTGAAAATGACAGAGAAAGTTTCATTATTTCATCAAATAATCAACCTTGCCAGCCAACAAGAAATCAATCAAAACCCCCCCAAAAAAATAAAATAAAAAATAAAAAATTGAATATATCCATGCATAAGCGAAATGAAAAACAAAAGAAGAAAGAAAGATGATAAAATGATACCTCTGGGTTGTTCATTCGGAACAATAGCTCTAGAAGCCATTGGTGAGTGGGATTCTTGAAAAGTAGAACTGAAAACACCGCCAATACTGGAGAACAACGACGACAGAAACACCTGGAGACGACTGTTCCGCGTCTCTCCTCCTCCTCCTTCTCCCTTGTCGGTGGTCGCCACCTCGATTTCAAGCCTTGCACTGTTTCTTTCTCTGTGTATAATGCACTGTGTGTGTATCTTTGTTTCTTTGGTGACCGCAACGTTTGGATCTTTGCAAATGTTTTATAAGACACCCTTAACCTTCAACGGTCAAATTCATTTTTCAATCCTGACCCTTGGATCTCTCCCCATCCAACGCCTACCTACAAATCTAACTCACTTCCTTTCTTGCACTTTTTTCTAGCCGTTACTCTTACTCCTTAATGCTGATTCCCTGAATTTAACCGCTCCCATCCCAGCTTTTCTTATTTTAATTTATCTCTTTCCTTTTTTTTCTTACTGAAATTTATGAGTCCCATGATCCCATCCCATTTCCAATGAAAACAATAAAATAAAAATAAAATACTGTAATTTAATGTTTGGATTGAATAGAATAAGATATTTGTTTCGTTACGTGTTTCACCACTTATAGTTTCATGATTTTATTTTAACTTTTAAAATACACTAAATATAATATATAATGTTTTATTTTATTTTTTCTTTATTGCATAATCATGCCGTCTCACTTTTTTCTTTATCATTTTTCTGCTTTTCAAAATGTATTATTTTATTTTTTTTCTCTATTCATGCAACACAAAAAATAAAATAAAATGAATGTCGTGGCCTCGTGGTTGGGCTTTTTCACCCTTTTGCCCCTTATTAATTAATTAATAACCATTTTGCCCCTGATTTGAAACTATCTACCAATCTGCCCCTCTTTAATCGACTACCTTGCATTTTTAATCGACTAAACGGTTGTTGGGAGATCTAATCGACTAAATCTCTCTACTTAATCGATTAAAATCATACTGACTTATTTTTTTTTTTGTAAAATATGAAGATTTAGTCGACTAAATAAGGAGATTTAGTCGACTAAATCTCCCAGCAGCCATTTTTTGTCTGTTTTGGCCATTTAGTCGATTAAAAATGCAAAGTAGTCGACTAAAGATGGGCAGATTGATAAATAGTTTCGAATCAGGGACAAAATGGTTATTAATTAATTAATAAGGGGTAAAAAAGTGAAAAAGCCCTCGTGGTTGAGTTTAAAATTTCTTTTGGTTTGATTTTTTAAACCCCTGTACAACAGAAACAGAAAAAAAAAAAAAAAGGGAAAGAGTTTGATGTTTTTCATATATATTTTAGAAGAAAGATAGACATAAAAAATAAAAATAAGAGAAACAGCTTTTCTTATTTTAGTTCAAAAATTCCCTGTTTTGAATCACTTATATCCCTAGACTTTTTTTTAATTATTTATTGTTATTTTCTTCATCCACTCCTTTTTTAACACTGTTAGAAATTTAACTAAATATATATACTTTATCCTTCTTAGAAGAAGAAAATAAAGTGACTAAAAAAAATAAGACCAAATATTATGAAAACTTAGAATACATAATAAAAGACTAAAAAAAAAATCAAATGTATCTAAATAAAAAAATAGAATAGGGACAAAAAATAAAAGACAAAATAAAATTAAATAGGTTAAAAATTACAACGGTGACAAAAAAAAATAAAAGAAAAGAAAACAGTGTAAATTAAAAAAAAAATATACCGAATACAAAAAAAATTAACATAAAAAAAATAGAACCAAAAGAAATAATATTTTTTTATGTTTTATCCTTGATCTATTTTATTCTTTTTATTTAGATATATTTGGTCTTTTTTATATCTATACTTTTTTTTGTTACATATCTCTATTTTATTCTCTCTTTTTTAAAAAAATTTTTTTACAAAAGTCTTTAATAAATGGGGTGGCACAAGGCTAAAAAAAATCAAAAAGTGAAAAAAATAAAATAGAAAAAAACCAAACATATCTAAATAAAAAAGAATAAAATAGATCAAGGACGAAAAGGAAAGAAATTAAATAAAAAATAAAATTAAATATATTGAAAACTCATAATTGTAATTTCTTTTTGTTCTATTTTTTATTTTAATTTTTTCGTATTAAGTATATATTTTTTCATTTTGACTATTTTTTTTTAACTTTAGTTTTTTCTGTCACTATTGTGATTCTTTTAAATATATTTAGTCTTATTTTTCTTTTATTTTTTTGTTCTTATTCTATTTTTTTATTTAGACACATTTTATCTTTTTTTTCTTCTTTTAGTCTTTTATTAAGTATTCTAAGTATTTTATAATATTTGTCTTATTTTTCTATTTTTTTATCATTTTATTTTATTCTTCTATAAGTGAATAGAAAAAAAAAGGATATAAGTGATTTAAGGCAACAACATAAGGGGTTTTTGAACTTTTCTCACTAAAATATTAAATGCGTTGAAAAAAAATAGAATCTCTTAATAAAATTTCGTTAAACATACCCACAAAACATTCAAACGTAAGGAAATTGTTTCTTGAACTTGTAGGGAAAAAAGTGACTTAAAATTCGTCTGTCAATAATTGGCGTAAAAGTCTCAAACAGAAATTGAGACAAAATAAATTAGGAATATATTTTCTTATACAATAGAAGATAAGATATCTCATGTTACACTCACAAACTTATGTGGGTCTCACTATAAAGAAAAGAGGAAAAAAATTGAAATGGATCTCACACCTTTTTGAATGTGTAGGAGAGATTTATTGTCTCCTATCACATGAGACTGATATTTTCCAAATAAATTACACGCAATATTTCAAATTTTGCTGCAGTTATATATATTTATTTTTACTTTAGACAAATGGGAAAATGAAAACAGCAAATCAAACACAAAACGAAAACTAAAGTATCGAACTAAGCTTGTTGATTTATCCTTAGGTTATGTTACTTTTTTTTCTTCAAAAAATATTTACCATTAATAACTTAGTCACAAAATTTGCAAACAGCGATGAAAAGTTATGAACACAAAATAATGTGATTAAGAAAATTAGTAAATAAGTACTTATACTCTAGTTATAGAGCTTGGTCATGACCAACTGTGAACTCTTTGCCATGATCAAGAACGCCGCAAACCACTGATCTACCTAGGTTGAGGCAGGAACACAATTTAATGTGGAACTTTGAATAAGGAATCGTGCATATGTTCATGATGGGTGGTCCAAACAAAGCCATTATATATAAGGGATCATTTTTTTTTATTTGGCTGGCAATCATCTGTGAAGTGAAAAATCTGCATGTGATAATAGCTGGATTAATGCTTTTACAAGCTATATTCTTGTGACGAGTGATTGTTGAAGCCTCAGGGCACCCCACCCCATGTACATCACATGATTTTCTCCATCCCCACCGGATAAACTCTCTTCGGCCAATTATTTATTATATATATAACTGTATACCATGTATGTAAAATAGAAAAATAGTAAGAACTAAAGAGCCAATAATTTAGAACTGTATATGCATTGTGTGAAATGATATTGTACATTAAGTAATTTTTATGATTCATTTCCATGACTCCGTTTTTTTTAAGGGTTTAATGTTTCTCACTTTCGAAATAATGTTGTTATGAGGTTGGGAGGAAAAAAATTATAATATAAATATTAATATAATCTCATAATATATTAGAATTACAAAAATATTTTTCTCTCAATCTCGAAATAATATCGTTCCTTTTAAAAAAAATTATTATTATCTCTCTTTCCAAACTGTATATCAATCTGCTCATGTTTTGACCAATTGACCAATACTTGTTCGAGTATTTTCGATTATCGTCACATACTTCGTCCATTTTAGGATACAAATGTCTACTTTCTGACAAGTTCAATAAGTTTTACATAATCTTATGTCCTTTGAAATAATGAGTCGTCATTATTTATAATTGTTAGATAATGAGAAATAGAAATAATAATTAAATAACAGTATGCATAGAAATATAATTGGTCTTACGATCATAAATCTTCAAAAGGAATACCACATAAACAATATGGAAAAATGTTTATCATTTTAAATGACACAACTTATATTATTTCTTTCTCACAAAGAGGTGAGACCTACACTTTTATTTTTTTTGTCAACTGTCTCTCCTCTTTTATTTATCTCTTTCTTAAAATAACACAACTTTACATCCTTTAAAATGACACACACTTTACCCTAAACAATAATATATACGTAAAAGTTTAGTATATTCCTGTGTCATTCCCAAAACGGCAAAACCCAACAAGAAGGCTTTTTTTTAAAAAAAATATTGACCAAATCCCCTCTGAAATTTTTCATAGCATAGATATCAAAAAGTGATGTGAAATAAAAAAAAAAATCAATTTGGACAACCAAGCTAAAAGTTATGCCCTTCTAAAATTTATACACCATTTTAGGGTATAAAGAGCTTCATATTGGACGGAAATTTTCTCAACTGTTTTGGACACGAAAACCCATATATATATGGGTTTGTGTTTTTTATGCAGTAGAAGAGAAAAAAAATATTCCTGCACACTTATCACATATGTGCTGTCACCTGTTTTGTTTTTTTTTTCCTTGTCTTTTCTGGTGGGTCCCATTTTTGATTAAGTGTGTAGGAAAACAAATTTCTTTTCCTGTGACAGAAGAGTCATATTCCACTATATATATAGTCCAAATATGTTTGTACATGATATAATAAGCATGGATTAATAAAAAATGAACCAAATTTAACAAGTCATATTGAAAATCAACAGAAAATCATGTTTTAACTCCTAGAATTGAATAAGGACTTTTCTCAATTATAAAGGACATACAAACGCCCACCCTAAGTCCATTTTTACATATACAAAACATTATAACTTAATTTGAAACAAAAATATTTATGGGTCCAAATTTAAGTTGTCCACTTCTCTAGTTTACCTGAATAAATAAGACTTGCTTACTCAAGTAACTAGTCTTATTTACTTGAATAAGTATTTGCTCGAGTAACTATACCAGTTATGCTTACAACAAGAACAAAACTTCAAAAGCATGATAATATAATTTGCTCAGAGAATATAACTTCAAAATAATAGCATGTACACAATCATGTTATTCGATTTTATGGAGTACTTGTTTTGTTTCTAACGAACTCAAGTGTTGGCATGGTATCGTAATTTATTATATAACAAATTAAAGCAAACAGTAAAGAGTTTTGCAATTAAAATCTTATTTTAAAATTTATAATCAAATGAATTTAATTTTTATTAGTCTAATTAATTAATTATTTATTTAGATAATTTTTCACTTTGTTGAACTTAAAAATAATATTTGATTTTCTTTCAGTATAGAACTCGGGTAATATTGTCATCTTTAAATGTTTTTTTCTTCATAAAGCCATTTTAGAAATAATATATTTTAATTCACTCATTTATGTTTAATTATATTCAAAATATAAAATTCAATTATTTGTGTTCCTATTTTAATTTCAAGAAACTCTTAAAATTTGTACCTGTTGATCATTATTAACTCAACTTTTTAATAAAGAATATTTAAGAAAAAAAATTTGTTTTAAAAAAGTAAATAATAATAAACAAAGGGGAATAGATATCTAATGTTATATCAAACAATTTTATCTTATACACACATAAAAAAATAAGTGGGATCTACTAAAAAGAAGAGAAAGAAAGAAAAACAGGCTACATTCACTTTTTTATGTATATATAAAATAAAATTATATATTTCGCATAAACAAATAAGGGTGATAATAAAAACTATTCTTTCATCATATTTACACTTACAAAAAGTGAAATGACAATCCCACCTTTTCAAGACGAGAATCCCACACGAACGATTTCAACCACAAGACAGATCAAGTACTTAAATGGGATAGGTACACCATGTGGTTTGTTCCTCCAACCTTTTCACACTTTCAAAACCAGTGCCATGCGAGTTCTGAGATTTTAATATTTCCTGAATTCATAAACAGCTTCCATAAATATAAGCTCCTAGTAATTCATAAGTTACTTTGATTTTGTCCGTTTTCAAGATTGGCCCCTTTTGTTTCGTATATACATAATTTTCTCGGTCGCAATTCGTGTTATATTCTGTAATGTTTGTCGGTTTCATTTTTCTAATATATGTAAACAATTAGAAAACATGTGACATATTACCTAACAAAACCCCATGCGAACAAAATCCCAAATTTGACTTAGGAATAAAAGTTAATTTGATCTTCGATCTAAATAATGGCAAAAAAATTAAAAAATTAATATTTTAATAAATAATTACGAATATATAGCTGTTTTAAAACTATTTACGAATTTATTGTACTCATTCACGTCCAAATTAGGTGCGACTATTCACACCCAAATTAGGCGTGACTCCCAAGGCATTCACGCCTAAATTAGGCGTGACTCGTCTGGTGTTGACACGTGGCACAAAAAATTAATAATTTAACCGTAAAACTTTATAAGACCATACTTTTGACTCGGGTATCCAAATGAGGTAATTCTTTTTTTGATTCCACATAACTTTTTGAGAACTACGCAATGACATCTCATTTGATATATTTTATCACTCACAAACATAATTCAAATTTGCAACAATGATACTATAAAGATGGCACCAAAGTGGATTAACTCATCTATAAATAAGATGGCACCAAATTTCCTATTAAATACAAAACGCATTCAGCTCCTATTAAATACAAAACACAATCAACTCCTATAACATTAAATTCAAAATTCAAATAACCTCCAGCAAATTTATTTGAATTGGCGACAATATGTAACCAACTCATAAAATTACAACGCAATCAGCTCCTATTAAATACAAAACACAATCAACTCCTATTAAATACAAAATGCAATCAACTTATTGAAGGTTATTTGAATTTTGAATTTTGAATTTTGAATTTAATGTTATAGTATCATTATTGGGCGTGAATGAGTGTAATATATTCGTAATTAGGTTCAAAACAGCACTACAATTATTGCAATTATTTGAATTGTGTTTGTGAGAGATAAAATATATCAAATGATATGTCATTGCGTAGATCTCGAAAAGTTATGTGGAATCAAAAAAAGAATTACCTCATTCGGATATCCGAGTCAAAAGTTATGGCTTTCCAAAGTTTTACGGTTCGTAAGTTGACTTTTTTGCCACGTGTTAACACCAGGTGATTCACGTCTAAATTAGGCGTGAATGCCTTGGGAGTCACGCTTAATTTGGGCGTGAATAGTCACGCCTAATTTGGGCGTGAATGAGTGCAATAGATTCGTAGATAGTTTCGAAACAGATATATATTCGTAATTATTCATTAAAATAGTAATATTTTAATTTTTTTGCCTCTAAATAATAACTAACATAACTCCAAAGAGTAGCTCAGTTGATAATTGAGCTTATAAAAATTTGTTTGAGTCAGGGTTCAAATTCTGCTTCAACTAAATTTTTGGAAAATTTTTGGACCAGAAGATATGTCTCTCTCCTCGAATGAGGGATTAGTGTCTTCCTTTATTCAGTGATGAAGCTCAATGCACTTGTTGTTCCAATGAGGAGGTAGCCTTCGGAACCGTACTCCGAGAACAAAATGACTGAAAGAAGTTGAATGAGAATTGTTATAAAATAAAAAATAAAAAATAGCTAACATCACATTGGTGTTTGGACATCACATTCAGGACCAACTAATCTCTACCTGCTAAATGCAAAGTCAAATCCTGGTAGTTGCATCGATTTATTGCTTTATAGAAATAATTGTTTACAATTAGAAAACTGCGCTAAAGAACAGAGACACAACAAATTCCTGAGCTACTAAAGGGGTGGCATTTTATGCCAGAGGATATGAATTGACATGAATGTCATTTTAAATGTAACCAATATATCTATTTCCCCATGTATTTTATCAAATTATCAATCTAACTAATAAAATATGTGAGTTTGGTACTTTAGAGTGAGGACAACTCAAGTTCCCTTATTTTGTTTCAGCTAAGCTTTTTAATGTGGAGTCAATGATGATTGCCCCAACCTTATATTTAATTAGTTATAATTAAGCTATAGCGTTAATTGTACAAAATCCTGTCAAGTAGGGAAAATTTTAATAGTGTTAATATGACAACATTGCTATTGAAGGCCTTGTCAGTTGCATCTAGGATGCTAGCCAACTAAAATTAAAGCAAGTTAAAACAGGATTGGCTTTTATTTATGAGAGTAAAAGTTGAATCAAGAATAATTAAGTTTAATAATTTAAAAAATAATATAATATATTATTTGTTAGTTTGTTTGAGACATTTTTATTCAAAGATTTTAATTTTTTTGGTACTAAATGAGGAAACCAATATGAATATTTAAACATGAAAAAGAGAATTTTCACGTGAAACCAATAATTATTAATGCAATCTGAATGTTTTAATTTTGTCTTCACATGAGGACTAAAATTTTTCTCCTAAACGAGCCTCTACCGTCTTTCCTTTCCCCTTGATTATTTCGAGGCTTTTTTTGGTTAAAATAGAAATGTCCAATGAGAAGTTCAGAAGAAGATAAGATATCACACCAATTATGAGTTTTACCTTTATTCCTTGATATTTTATACATGTACTCATAATGCACCGACCTACCAGTTTGGCTTCTTCCACGTGTCAACTTTCTGATAATCATGTTTTGTTGAGATTCTCTTACAGCTGAGTGAGGATGAGAGACCTGAACCCTGTTGAGATTTACCCTTGGGAACTTCTCTGACTTGGAACTTGGTTTTCCTTCCAGCTTTTACACACTCAGAGAATTTGTTCCATTATAATTTTCTTTATTTAGTTTGAAAAAATATATATATATGTAGAGAAACAGTAATACTTGTCTGACACAAATTATTGAGAGTAACATGGGACAGTGACTATTTTAGTAATTCAAAGCAAAGACAGGGTTTCATACAAAATCAGTAAACCACACACACCATAGCTGGCAGCATAAGAATCCCACATTCTCATTCTCTTGAGTCAGTCATAAAAAGCAAGTTTGCCTGCACATTCACAAACCCCAAGGAAAAATGGAACAGATAAGAAGTTCTTCACATCTTCTGTTCTCAACTCTCTCTTGTCTTCTCCTCCTTCTTTTATGTTTCTCAGGATCTGTTGAGGCTTACAAGAATTACACAGTGGGAGATTCTTTAGGCTGGTTTGACAATCTTGAGAATCCTAAAGTCAATTACCAGAAGTGGGTTGTCAATAAAGAGTTCAGCTTGGGAGATTTCCTCAGTAAGTTTCTCTCAGATACTTCATGATGTTTTTTCTGCTTACAATCCTTTTGTTTTTTGGTGTTGTCTTTGAAAGCAGTATTGAGTAGAGCTTGAGAAATTTGATTGTTAATTTTTGGGCAATTGGGGAATATGTAATCAAAACTCATATCTCCCCCATGTGTATGTAGTTTTTAAGTAACTTCTTATGGCATGAATGTTCTTGTTTCAGTTCTTAGTCTGTTCCCCAATTTGCATTGATCTTTTCTTTTTTTGGACTAAAAATATTGGATAGGAAAGACAGATCAATTTCTTGAAATAGCTTAGCACTCATCCTGTAATTTTTCAGTATGTTTTTCTTCTTTGCTTTTTCAATATATACTTGGTACGATATGATGAGGAGGAAAAAAGCTGAACTATCAAGTATTCACTATTATTTTTATTCTATAATATGTTGTAACATTTAGCATATATCTGAAAGTGGCATTAATTAGATTGGCTAAAATTTTCAACTAAACTTTGGATCATTGTCATGCAAGTGCTTGTGTTTCATTTTCTCAAGGCATATCTGCTGTTTTTGGGGTATGCTGTGGCATATACGTTAATGTTAATCAATTCAGAAAGCTATGCTTGAATTGGAAGGGTAAAGAACCAATTCAACCCAAAAGTTTAAGCTGTTGGGTGAGGCTATATTAATGATTTTATATATGTCAACACGCTCCCTCACATGAGAGTCCACTGGGCTTGAAGGGTGGACAATGCACAGGCCCACCTACCTGTGCGAACAAAGAAATTCCACTTGAAAGAAAGTGGGGGGCGGCGAGGATCGAACCCGTAACACGAGGCTCATGTAAAGAATCAATTCAACCCAAAAGCTTAAGCTGTTGGGTGAGGCTATATTAATGGTTTTATATATCTCAACAGGAATAACCTAACGGCATGCACTATTCTTGTTGGTATTTTCTGGAGTCTGCCACAACTCAAAATTACTGTTACCATTTGTCTCGTTTTAGACAGATGGAGAAAAAGGAAAAAGAAAAAGGTCGATACTCAAGATGGGGCTAGTTGACAACTGTTTATTACTTTTTTTATTATTCTTTTCTTTTGGTACAATTATTCTCTTTTGATACTCTGATTGAGTGGCCACTAGCTTTTATGTTTTTTTGTTCTATGTAAAATACTATAATGTTTTTTTAAAAAAAATTCTTGACCATTAACTTATTATTAGTAATGATTAAGCTATCATTGCATAAGAGTCATAAAATTTATATATTAAGAGAAAGAAACATTGACATGGTGTTGTTCAATGTTCATGCAGTTTTCAACACGGACAACAACCACTCTGTTGTTCAGACATACAATTTTACCACATACAAACAATGTGACTATGAAGATGCACAAGATAAGGACACAATCCAATGGTCAGCATCTGATCCGTCAAATACTCAGATACATCCTGTGTCAGTACCAGTTCCTTTGGTGAAGGAAGGGATGACATATTTCTTTTCAAGTGACTATGATGGTGAGCAATGCATGAATGGTCAACATTTCAAAATAAATGTGACTTATGGACAAGGGTTGCCTAAAAGTCTTAAAAATTCCCCAGAAGATGCTCCATCTCCTGCTAGTCCAGTTTCTGGAGACGATGATTCAGCACCAGACACAGTTGTTCCTGCCAATTTCAGCAATCCCCAGGGAGAAACTGGTGATGACACAACCAACAAGAAATCTAGTTCTGTTTCAATCACAATGCATGGACAACTTCAGAACATAATTTACGGGTCCCTTATCTTGTTAGGGATAATTTTATTGTTTTAAAGAGTCAAGAGAGACCCTTAATTTATTTCATATTATTTTTTATAGATGTTATTATTTTCTCTATTTTTTTATTAGGTGTGGGAGGGTTGAGCGATTGAATTGTGAGTTAGGGTATACCAGATATATTATTGTAAACTAAAAATAATATAGCTATTACAACCTTTATTGTTAACCTTTTTTCTAATGTTGCTGGCAACATCAAGGGTAATTGAGTTCAGTAAAGACAAAATGCACGGTGGGTAAGGAAAACATAAGATGAGACATGCAGGAAGGAGTTTGTTGGAGGTTGTCATTATTGGGATCAATAGAAGTAATTAATTGGTAATGCTTATACTCTCTCGTTTATTAGCTCTGAATAAATGTGAATTAAAAAACTGTACAAGTTACTATAATATGTTTACCTACCTGTCTATTGTGATTTTTAAATATACTTTAATGTTTCAACAGTAATTAGAAATAAGTTCTCTATATTCACTCTCAAAATGACATCATTTTGGATTAAAAAATTAAAAAATTATTATAATCCTGAAACAAATTATAATTATAAAAATACCTTGATTTCTGTTTGAAAATGACGTCGTTTTGGGCTAAATGTAGATAAATTATCTACATTGAGAGTAGAAAAAGGAAATCCTATACTAAATGTATGTTTCTATCTTTTCTCTTAGGGTGTGTTTGGTTGGAGGAAAATATTGAGATAGATAGGTAAGTGAGAAGTGGGAATATTGTAGCACCACGTTTGGTTGGGCCAGATTTCATAGTTACCTACCTAAATGACTTTCCTACCAAACCAGGAAGCATGTCTATTTTCATGGATATAGCCGGCTAAAGAATTCCTTTGAGGAAGTGGTATTGCTGAAAGGCAACCTGTTTCCCCACCTTACAATTTAACCCAAAGACCAGCGTACCCTCTCTTAGGGGGTGGAGGAGGCATACAGACACCCTGGCTTTGCATTTGTTGGAGTGGAAAACCTTGTGGAGGTGGCATTGATGGAGGCCTAGTACCCATATTGAAACCAGCCGTTGAGCCGCTGCCAACAGGTGGTGGGGGTGGGAGAGATGGCATACAGACACCCTGGCTTTGCATTTGTTGGAGTGGAAAACCTTGTGGAGGTGGCATTGATGGAGGCCTAGTACCCATATTGAAACCAGTCGTTGAGCCGCTGCCAACAGGTGGTGGGGGTGGGAGAGATGGCATTCCACCAGGAGGTGCAGGTCTAAGACCATTTGCTGCCATAGGAGGTGGAGGCGGCAATGATCCTGGCATTGAAGGAGGTGCACCAGGAGGTAGCCCTTGGGGAGGAGGTGGTGGTGGTGGTGGAGCTTGGGGTGGTGGGGGCATAGGCCTTGGTGGAACACCAGGTGCTGCTGTGCCATTGGCTGTAGAGGCAGGCTGTGGTTTGTTTGCCTCTGGTGGCTTAGATTTAAAATACAACTGCAGCTGCAACAAGTATCAATCTCGTCATCAGTAATGGATGGGTGATAGTTGCTCATCGGAAACCTCGACACATCATTTCCAAAGACACAGATTTGTCCTTTTTTTCTACAGATGAACGTTGGAAACAAACACTTTTTGCATATGGATGTTGGGAAATGATTTAGCAATCTACGGGTATATGGGTAGCAAGGCTGATTCAACTTTTTTAAAAAATAAGGGTATTTTTGTCATAACACATTTTTATCCATCTATATTTTACCAAAATCCAAACATAGATTTTACAAAAGTTACCTAATTTCTCCATTAATTTTTTTTCCAACCAAACAACTTTTTTTACATTTTCCTACCAAACTCACTTTCCAACCATTTCCCTATTAATTACATTTCTCTAGTATTCAAAAAATTTCTCTTCAACCAAAGGCCCCCTTATTGATATACTTCTAAGATTTTTTTTAGTGTGTTTTTGGTTTAGCGTTTGTCATACCTAATTCTTTTTTTGTCTATACTTAATGTGATTTTTAATATAAAAAACAAGTTTGGTAGTTTCCTATTAAAATTAATTTGTACTCCAAAGTTTCACTTGATAATTTTTTCTTTAGGATGTTAAAGTTAAACTTCAAAGACTAGATTTTAGAACTTAACTTTCCAGCTTAAATTTGTTGCCGTACAATTTTTTTTTTTTTTTTTTTGCAACTCTCCTCCTTCTCTTGTTTATATTAAAAGGTTTTATAAAACTTATGATTTTTTAGTAATTAATACATACTTAAAATTTAAGATAAACGTTTTTTTAAGATAAATCATTTCATTATTAACTTGAATTAAATTTAAAATGTTAATTTAATTTGGAAATAAATTTACAAATTTTAAGCCTAATATACACACTTTTTTCCTCTGGTCTAACATTTTTTTTTCATTATATATGAATTCATTAACATAAAAGGTAAAGTAAGAAATTAATATATTTGTGACAATGCAAATGCGATTATTCATATTTTTATATGGGGAAGGGAAGAATAATGTTACAGGAACAAAAAAAAAAATGTTCCTCCAGACATAGAGGCAAGAGAAAATGAATGATGAAAGAGAAATAACATAACCACAACATGCGGCCCCATCCTTTGAATGTATCAGCTGGACCATTTTTTTGATTCCGGTAATATTATTCTTCTATTTCTCTATTACTATTCTTCTTTGTTCTTACGAAATTTTTTGGGGGCAGAATGGCAGGTCCACGTTATTGGATGTGGAGCACATGTCACCACTCACTTGAAATTAAAATTCCAATATTATACATGTAATTTATCATTTTTGTTTGCATGATTTAAAAAAAAAATACTTTTTTTTGGGTAGAAGAGAGAGCCAAAACCCAACAAAGAAAACTAAAACTAAAACTATTGAATGACTAATCTATGAGGCTTGCCCACAGCGGCCCAATAAGCCCGGAGAAGAAGATAGATATCATGTGGAGGTTCTCCACTAATAAAATGATCTAAACCTTCACTGTTGTTAAGAATAAAATACGTCATCCAATCAACATGAAAATTGCCTTTTCTAAATGTGTATTGCAATCTAACAATCCAATTCCTTCAAAGCCATGTTTGTATACCAGATATCAGATGACCCTCACAAGCTGCTATATACACCATGATTGGTGACCACAATGATCACAGCAGAAGAATCACTTTCAATAACTATCGTCAATATCCATAACTCCAAGCAAGCTCCAAATCCCTTAGTACACCCCACAACTCAGCTTTGAAGGAACTACAAACACCAAGCTTCTAAGCAAAACCCACAATCCAATTTCCTTGATTATTTCGCATAACACCTCCACAAGAAGCTAGACCCAGGTTGCTACGCGCAGTACTATCACAATTTACCTTAACAAAATTCGCCATGGGGAATTACCAAACAATGTTTTGAACAATTGGTTTTTTTACTACACCAATACTATAAGACTCAATGCCTCATTCACCTCCTTAACAAATTTGCTAATTTGATGCTTTCTGTAAAAAAATAAGCATTGAAGAATTATCATGTACAACATCATTACGCCATTGCCATAATTTCCAGCAGGTAACAAAGAGAGTTGTCGTACAAAATTCATGGGATGTGTTCCTCTTGCCATCATCAATAAATCTATGAATCCATTCATCCAAGTTCAGAATAAAAAGCTCATCCCATAACTCGGCTGGAACAAGCTTACCCCACAAAACTTTGGTGTGTTGACAGTCCCTTAAAGCATGAATAACGCTTTACTTAAAAAAATACTTTACCCTGCTATAAGGTTGATTTGGTAAATTTAAATCTCTAGCAAATCTCATCTTTCAAAAATGGGATTAAATGATTAATGTTTCAAAATTGGGTCTATATAAAGAGAAAAGAGAAAAAAAAAATGAGCTTCATATATGTTTATATGTGTAGGAAATAAAATTATCTTTTACAACATGAAAAATAATAATCCCTTCAAGATTTGACCTAAACATTTTGATTTGAATATGAAATTGTAATGTGCCATAAGTTTTTTTTTAGCCAAGGGGCAGAGTCCTAGCAGAAACAAAAATTACAATGAGACTAAATGAGGAAGTCTACTAAAAGCTAAGTCAGCTAAAATTAAATGCCTAACCAACCCCAAGTGGGGGAAAGTGGTAGAATCAGAACCCAGCATCTTGGTAGTGATTTAGAAGATAGTTTGAAAGCCAAGCTACACACATATTGCCCTCACTATAAATGTGTTGTAGTTGAATTTGTCAATCTCTATTCAACCATGCCTGTATACTTATTATGAGATAGGATTTATGGGCAACATCACCAGTCTTTGTGAGCACCATGATTGCATATAGGGGTGTGCAAAAAAATTGGTTCACTTGCCCTGCCCTTGATCTGACCTTACTTGACGACCCGTAAATAGTTATTTTTTTTGAACTGAGTTTAAATACCGACTCACTTTATTTGGGTCAGTTTTAGACCTGACTTGTTTTAATAATGACCCATTGACCAAAACTTGACCAATACCTATTATGTGAAAACAAAATCACAATTACATTAAAAGAAAAGTTTTAACGTAAAACAATGACATCATTTGACAAAAATATTATTTTTGTCTAAACATATTTCTGTAAAAAAATTTGACGGAAAATTTTTTGTGTCAAATTTTTTTACGGAATCTAAATTTCGTCAAAATATTTCACAAAAAAACATATTTATTAAAAATTTCGACGAAATACATTTTCATCGAAATTTTTTGACGGAAAAAATTCATCAATATTCTTTGACGGAAAAAAGTTCATCAAAATTCATTGACGGAATTCAAATTTTGGCGAAATTTTTCGACGAAAACATTTTCGTTAAATTTTTTGACAAAAAAAAATTTCGTCGAAAATTTTAACGAAACACATTTCCATCGAAACTTTTTTACTAACGTCAAGTTTTTTGATAAAAAACATTTCAATCAAAATTTTCAACGGAACATATTTCTGTCAAAAAATTTCGTAAAAATTTTTGACAAAAAATATTTCGATAAAAAAATTTGTCGGAAAAAATATTCTGTCTAAATTCTTTAGAGAATCTAAATTTCGTCGAAAGTTTCGAACTAAACATTTTCCTCAAAACAATTTCTGTCAAAATTTTCGTCAGAACACATTCCCATCTAAATTTTGAACGAAAAACATTCCGTCAAAATTTTTGACGGAATTCTTTTTCCGTTTAAAACATTTGATGGAGGAAATTATTTTCGTCAAAACTTTTGACGGAAACTAAATTTCGATAGAAAATTTATTTTTGTTAAAATTTTTATTAGAGAAAAAATTTCGTCGCTTTTCGACAAAAAGTATTCCGACGAAAAAATAATTTTGTGACGAAATTTTCGTCATTTGCAACGTATAAATTTCGACGAAATTCTGTGACGAAACTAAGTCAAAAACGGGTCAGGTCAGATTTGACCTACTTCAGAAATCAAGTCAGAAGAACTTCAGATCCGACCCAGTTCTGAACTACTTCAAAAAAATCCAAACTAGGACAGACCTGACTTGGATCAAATTAAAGCGGGCCAAGTCAAAATACCTGACCTATAAAAACCAAGTTGGGTCGAGTCGGCACAAAAATCTGACCCGACCTGACTCATGCACAACCCTAATTGCATATAAGCGTGCCATAAGTTTTTAATTTATGTTAACTCGTGTTTATTTTTTAATAAATGACTTGTGTTATTTATCATAATAATTGTACTTCTTTAATAAATTCTTATTGTATTTTGGTTGTAGTTCACGAAGAGTTTATGAATTAATTATTGGGTTTCTTGCTTCTACTTTAGCTGTAGAATTTTTTTTCTATTACACTTACATAAAAGTAAGTAAATTCCACTAATATTTTATGATATAGATATTCTTATTATCAAATATTTTTATTACCAATCAACTACCACTTTAATGTAACTATATATTTCGTGAAATATATTAAAAATTCTTTTTTTTTTCTCTTTCTTCGTAAACTTTTGAGAGATTATCGGCTGAAAAGTAGATTTTTTTTTTTTTAATATGAAAAGTAGAATTTGATGATATGAGAGTGATAATATATTGGTAGTAGAAATATTTAATAATAAGAATATCCTACTTTATCTTTTATCTCTTTTTTCTTTACAATTGGACTTACTTACTTCTATATGATGTAAGTACTACATAATTTTTTTTTGCGCAGCCAAAAATTGTTTTCTTGGATGTTTAATAAAGGAGAAATTTTTTTTACCAGAAAAAAATAATTTATGGGAATATGATAAGAATTTTTTTGTTTTTTGAATAAGTTACTAAAGGTGTTTGGTACGCCAAAATTTTTCGAGAATGTTGAGGATATTGTGTGTTCATTTTCCCACAACATGGGAAAAAACAATTCCACCTTTCAATGATAATCTTCCCCAACTATTTTATAGAAAACAAAAAAAAATAAAAAATTTCAGCCATATTTTTTTTTCACCTCTTATCAAGCCAAATAATTTTTCCATCCCAAGGAATTTTATTTTTCACCCCCTAATTGACATTGTAATTCTTTGTAATTCTCTCCACAATTGAAGGCCAAGGGTGAGTTGGAGGTAAAGAGCACAGCAGGGACTAGTCCACAGCAGTCTTAAAGCGCAAGCAGCAAGCGCCCCTATATATTAATATTAATACCGTGTTTGTTCCCATTTCCTACTTTCCGCCCTATAAACAAAAGTTTGTTAGTGAAGAAAGAATCACAGAGAAACGAAAAATGGCGGACTCATCATCATCGTCGTCGTCAACAACAGCAACGAAGCTCGCTGTGAAGACCGACTTGGAGATAGAAGAACTACTGGATCGGATGCTGACCTCTTTGGCTCTCTGCGACGATTCCAAGTTGGAACCCTTGCTCTCCAAAGTTCTTCCCTTCTGCATCTCCTCCCTCTCCTCTCAATCTCTCTCCGTTCGCAACAAGGTACGCTAATTTCAACTCCGCTGTTGCTTTTCTTAGTTCTCCCTTGTAAATCGAATTCGGAAATTCATCAATGCTAGCGAAACGTTGCGCTGATTATGCTTATGTTATATTTCTGAATGAATGGATTAGGAAAGAGGAAAGATAATTTGCTTTGGCATAGTGAGATTGTGTTGCACTTGTTAGAATAATGAAGAGTTTATGCAAATGTATATAATTTTTTCGCGGTCAATTTCATCTTCTTTGCTGTAATTTGTGCTTGTGACAGGTTCTTGAGATTTTGAGTCACGTAAACAAAAGAGTGAAGCTCCAGCCTGATATTGGTTTGCCTTTGTCTGAGTTATGGAAATTGTACTCAGAATCTGGTGCTACCCCTATAATAAGGAACTTCTGCGTTGTGTATATAGAGATGGCTTTTCAGCGTGTTAATGCAAAGGTCTCTCATTCTTTATATCCTAGTTTCTATTTTTATGACAATTTTGTGGCTACAATGTCAGTTTTGATGCTGGTAATTCCTTTTTCAGCATTTGGTTAAATTCTCAGAAGTAAGTTATGTTTCATTATCAGATAGACAAAATTGATCAGTAGTTTCAATCAACTGTATCTAAATTATCAAATTATATATTATTTGTTTTCCATTATGGAATGCTTATCATGGAACTTGTGGAGACAATCTAATGCCCCGTGAATTTGGAATAGGAAAAGGAAGATTTGGCACCTATTCTCTTGGAGAACATCGCAAAACTTCCTCCCCAACACCAGGAAATTATACTTAGAATCATTGTTAAGGTATCAAACATTCTGAGTCTTTCCATTATTATATATCTTAAATATTCTATACCACTTCAATTGATGCTTTTCATTAATTTGAGTTTGTAAGTGTGACTATGAGGCCAAAGTAAGGTATTGACTTTGGCCATTTCATCCCTCCCTTGCTCAGTGACTTTATGATTTCCCTTTTTCTTTTATCTGTAATATGTTCTGTAAAACATTTTGCAGTGGTTACACGCTCCTTCTCTATGATGCTTATATTTACATGTAGCTCACCTTTTACATATCCTTTTTATGCAGTGGCCTGGCTTTTTTGTAGCTTAATGGCTAAAGATAAAAATTTGCTCTTAAAAATTATGCTAAAACTAGGCTAAAGTTGTTTGGTGTTTGACCAATATTTTTTCATGTCTGCAAACTGTTTGCCGAAAACTGGGCCCAAAAAATGTGAGTTATCTTTGAAGCCATTCACAAATAAAATTTATGTGAATAAATATTACATATTGAGGCAATGAAAACACTTCTATTGACTAAACAGCCCCTTACTTTTGAACAATCTTTCACCCAAAAATTTATGGTGGAGATTAGTGAAAATATCTATAGTAGGAGGTTGTAATATAGTTGCTGAAGCAAGAGGTCGCTGCTGAGAGTGACGAACGCAGATCTCGTCACTAGAGCAAGAGGTTCTTGCCGAAAGTAATGAATGCAATGGAAGATTGGTTTGTGAGACAAATGGAAATGGTTTCCCACAAAAGGGAATGCAATTGAAGATTGGTTTGTGAGACAAAGGGAAATGGTTTCCCACAAAAGGGAATGCAATTGAAGATTGGTTTGTGAGACAAAGGGAAATGGTTTCCCACAAAACGTTTGTCCTACAAAGTCGAAGGCGGTGATTGACAAAGAACGGCTAAACGGAGAAGCCATAAGTTTTTCCTAACAACTTCTGGTTTTTCTTAACAAAATAAATCTTCTTTTCTTTTTAAGAACTTCTCTAGAAAAGTGTTTGGTCTAGCTTCTCCTTTCAAGTAGAAGAGAAACTAAAAATAAGCCGGGCCAAACGGCTACTTTGTCAAAAATTGTGCAGCGGTTATGTGCTCCTTCTCTATGATGCTTATGTTTACGTGTGGCACCCCTTTTACATATCCTTTTTATGTTTTCTTGTTCTAACGTTGTCCTGTGATGACTGCCTTTACTGAGATAGTGAGGGTTGTGTCGGCTTAGACAATTTGACACTTTTTGTTTTAAACAATGAAGCCATATCTTATTTTTTTGAATTTTGAGAGAAAAGTTTTGTTAGAGGTAAAAGTACAGCTTGAGGAGGATATGGAATCCTCCAAAAGAAGAAAGTCTAAGTACAAAGTAGAACAATGAAGCCATACGTTAAAAACATCACTCTATCCTTTGCTTTTGGATTAAATACTACCCTTATTACCATGTTCAAAGTTAAACAATTTAGAATTTTTTTATGGTAATTGTAAAAGCATATTGATATACGGAGAACCTTGGAGCAAATGATAAGGTTGCTTCTTTGTGACTATAAGGTCTCATGTTTGAGTCTGGAAAACAACATTGTTACGTTTATAACAGAACAACCCAGTAATTATCACAATCAACAAGGAAAAAAGAGATCTAAACACTCATTTGTATTATTCATCTTGAAGATAACACTCTGAGACAGAGAATTGTTCATATTAAAGGAAAATTACATCAACCCAAACCAGCAAGTAAAAGGTAAAAGAAAAGATAACAGTGAGACAATTCTAGAGGTCCCACACTCTCCCAAGAACTCTATTCTTCATTCTTCTGCTCCCCTCTCCCCTTCCTCCTTCCTCTCCATATAACCAACTCATGACACTTCATGCACCATTCTGTTACGGGGTATTCTTGGGACTTCCTATTGCTGACGTGTCTTCCTATTGCTGACGTGTCTGTATCTGAGAGTTGCTCTTCTGTTTCATTTGGGCCTTGTTTGTTTTGGATCCATACTCGCCTTGATTTGTCCCTTTTGTATGTCTTGGACCTGATTGTATCAAACATCTTTGCAAAATACAAGGTAAGGCTGCGTACAACTGACCCTCACCCGTGCTCTCGCAAAGTTGGGAAGCTTTTGTGTACTGGGGTTTTTCCTTTTCCATTTCTAAAAACCTGTCGATAAATACTGGGAAATATATTTGGAAACTTGTATAATGCAGTGACTGCACTCATGACGGTTATTTCAAAATCAAACAAGAGAACGAAGCAAACAATCCTGTAGGAGTATGACTGATTCTAGGAAGAGAAATTGTTCATCAAAATTGAATCTTGTATGTGAATTTCACTAATGCACGTATGGAGTTATGTCTATGTTCGTATCCATGTTTTTGTGTGCTTCAGGATATCCTCTTTTATTATTTTATTTATTTATTTATTTATTTTTGGGGGGATCAAAGAAGAAGTTCATCAGGGATCCTCCATAGAGAAAAAGGAAGATAGAAAACATCAATGGAGCACAGCTGCCAATCCTTCTGCATACCTGTTGGGAAAACTTCCAAAAAGACCATGTGCTTTAAACACCAAATAGATGCTAATTACTTAATTTGATCCAAATCAACAGTTTAGCCAAAGAAACCTTTGTAAATGTATGAGTATTGCGCTCTAACCAAATGCACCAAATAGTATTATAGACGTCAAATTGCATTAGCATTGGGGATTGTCCTGGTTATAAATACAGTTGTAGAAGACTGTTCGTGAATTATTTTCAGTGTTGATATATGGTTTCTGAGTTGGCAATTTTAATTGTTCAGTGCACTCAGACTTGGGACTCTTTTTTGTCCCTATTCTCTCCAAGAAAGGCTTAAGCTTTGGAGATATTTCTTTTAAGTGAACCGGGAAGGATCTAAAAGGAAAAATTTGGAGGGAAGTTCTAAGTTTCTTTGCTAGGGAATTATAACAAAAGGATGTTTTGGTGGGAAAAAGTGTCCACTAACAACATTAAGAGCACTTGGATTTCTTGAATATATGGGTTTCTGTCAAGCATCCTTTTTTACATCAGCCCCCTGAAAGACATGACAGACAAAGGTGGCCTTAAAAAATACTGTTGATGTGTGTGTGTCTCTAAATATCTATAAACCAAACGCTGATTTTGAAAGTGAAAGCATGCTACTTAAATATGTTCTGACACAAGAAGAGATGCTTGCTTACAATAAGTTTTTCTGTTTTTGTTATCCCCCAAACCCACAAGTAGAGATGCTGGGAGAACTTTAAGTATTGACTTTAATTGCATTGTGTCTTGGGTGGGACGGGAGAAAAGAGGGAGAAAAATTCCAAGGGACTCAAAATATGTATCTGCACCTGAATGCTGATTGCCGGAAATTTCTGTCCCAGTTTAGAGTCTTATCTGCTCTGATACGTGCTTGCAAGGATCATTCTCTGTTGTACATCATTAGGATATGACTACACCTAATGGATTGCTTCTTGCTTTTAGGTAATTGGTGAATGCCACTCTAGTCATATTGGTGATGAAGTTGCTGCAAAGTATAAAAAAGTGGATAATTCTCAAGATAGGGAGCTGTTTATTGAGTTTTGTCTTCATACAATGTTGTATCAGCGGGTGTCTCAAAGGTCCGTAGCTGAGTTTATGCTAAAAGGAGCTTATAATATTTGAATTTTTTTTAACACAAATTAGTGTTCCTATTTAAATCGAATGGTAGGGTTTGCTTTGTTGCAGTAGTGGATTCCCTCTTGGACTTTCCGTTGCTCAAGCCAATCGTGTTACAGGGAAACAACAGTTGCAAAATGATGAACTTTTACGAAGAAAGGTAATCATGGAAAGGTTGGATAGTATATGTTGTTGATGTTATTACCATAGTTCTCAGAGCTGGTAACTCCCTCCACTGCTATCTATCTTCCTTCACATTTATTCTCATGTCTAAAGAAACACTGTTACCTCAATATGTTCATTTTATTTGATGTTTCTAAATTTTCATTTGAATACATATGCTAACTTGTCAGTGTTTACATGTTTGAATGAATAAGAGTATTCCAGTTGTGCATATACTGCAAGCTATCTTATCTTGTTCTTTTGTTGGTGCAGTTGGGTATTTTGAATGTCATTCAAGCTATGGAGCTTGCCCCAGAGCTTGTTTATCCTTTGTATATTGCTGCCTCTGTAGATTGGTATGTAGTAGTTCTCATGTTACTATGTAGAAAATCAGGAAGATTACTTTCCGTATGTTGTCATATCCCTAATTCCTCTCTAGGATCAATTAGAATCAGTTTTTATTTCCTCTCTATTAGGAGTGATTTGTTTCCTTGCTTAACACAAATGTGGTGTCTATATATATTGTAACCTCTCAATATTGTAATACAATTCAAGATTCCGACCTCCTTTACAATTTAAACATACTCAAACAAATCATTTTAACACTTTCTTATTTAACTTGTCTTACTGATTCATATCTTTTTGGTGTTTTATTTGTGGATGATCACGTGTTATTTGATCAATTAACTCAAGTGAAGAGCCTGTTGTTAAGAGAGGCGAGGAGCTTTTAAAGAAGAAGGCCAGTGGTGCTAATTTAGATGATTTAAATCTGCTCAACAGACTCTTTTTGCTATTTAATGGTATGCTATGATAAATCTTGTTGATACAAGGCAATGTGTTTTTGTCAAAATTATAGAATTAAAATATTTTTAATTGTTTTTCTCATCAACTTGTTCATGATCATATGCATATATGTGAAGTTTCATGTGAATCTGTAAAGAACCTTGGGATACACCATCCCAAAAGCTAGCTCAAAGGGTGAGAGTGCCCAAGGCCTTATAAAGGTCACATTAGTTGCCCATACAACGAATGTGGGACTATATATCTCAACACGCCCCCTCACACAAGAGCCCATTGGGCTTGAAGCGTGGATTATGCACAGGCCCAATTTTTTGTTTACTTTTTTGTGCTTTTTTTTATTTATTTTAATTCCACTTTAAAGTGGGGGCGGTGAGGATCGAACTTGTAACCTTATAGTCACTCAAGCTCTGATACTATGTAAAGAACCTTAAGATACACCACCCCAAAAGCTAGCTCAAAGGGTGGGAGTGCCCAAGGCCTTATAAAGGTCACATTAGTTGCCCATACAACCAATGTGGGACTATATATCTCAACAGAATCGTACATGCAAACCTGCATGAGTCTTTTATATAAATTAACTCTTAAAAATATGTGTGCATGAGAGTCTCCTTGATTTAAATGAGGTTGTTCCTAACTTCCTATTATTTTTTCATATTTCAAATAATGTTGTATCTCTTCTGGGTAACTCTGTACATATCTTTTGTGTTTGAACTGGGTCGTCTTGATGGTCTTCGATGCTTTATTACTAGTTGAGTTGCTCTCCCATTTTTCATAATTAAGTGAAATTTCAACTCAAGGCAAAAGAGCCTATGTATTGGCCATGCTCTTGTTTGAGGGGGCATGTAAGAAATATAAGACGATTCTTAGGTATCCACCTGCAATTTCAGTCCTCTTTTTTTGTGTTGATTCTTACTGAAAAAGTGGAGGGACAAAAAGAGGATATAAGGTAACAGCCGCTCTTGTTCGTGGTTTTAAATTTTTGGAATCATCAAGAGAATGTGCTCCACTACATTTGTTTCCTAATAATATTTTATTCATTCCAAAACATAAAAATTAGGAGAATGATGTAATCTTTGTGATTTTTTTTACTGGTTAGCTTCTTCCAAGTCATAACCTATTGTGGAGTTTATATGCCTTTGATAGCTATACTAGACATTTATTGATGTTTTTTGTATGCCTTTTTGCTTGACATTTACTTTTTATGTTTGGTGAACTCTTATTTTATCTTGTACGTCTATTCAGTTTTCTGGCATATCATATAAGAGAGCTGATTTGGTTTTTTCTTGGTTTCTTTTTGTTTGCTCTTCATTATTGATACATGATTGACGCTGAATGTAGGTACTTTTGGAGTTGAGCAGGTTGATTCAGAATCAAGAATCAGTCCTGGGAGTCCTGCTTTAAAGGCAAAATTAATGTCTATATTCTGCCGGTCTATTGCAGCAGCAAACAGTTTCCCATCCACATTGCAGTGCATTTTTGGTTGCATCTATGGTAATAGAATGTTCTTGTATTTAATGATTTTGACCTTATATCTGCTAATATTTTGTGGTCCTCTATGAAACTGGTGGACCATTTTGTTACAAAATGATTGCTTAAGACCAACGGGGGTTGGCTCAAGTGGTAAGGTACTTGGGTTCGCTTAAGCAAGGACTCGAGTTCGAGACCTTGTGTATGCAGAAAATCCTCGCTGGGAGACTCACCTGCCAATGCTAGATAACCTACCCGGGTCGGACTGGACATAGTCGGGGCGAAGCCCCGGAAACCAGTGCAGCAATCCAAAAATAAAATAAAATGATTGCTTAAGAATTGATACTGGCCAAAATAGTTAAGGTTTTACATTTATCCTGGACTCACACATGCACTATAGTAATGAGACTTGGGCATGTGTTAACTACTTAATGGCTTAATCTATTGTGTATATTGTTGTGGTATATATTTATAGATGAAATCTTTGAGGTCATAGTACTTTTCTGTGAGGAAGTTTGCTTTTTTTGTTTCTTTTTGTTAATTTTTGGAAACAGATTATAATATTAAGAGAAATGAGAAGATATAGAAAATGAGAATGAGCAATTCTTAAAGATGGAAAATATAATATTTCTTTTGTGATAATAATTTTTCTTCTATTTAAACAATTTATTAAATGATCCCATTCAAACATGAATAGGAATTATAATCTTCCTTTCTAAATTTTAATAAACCATGGTCTGAACACTATAGGGAAAAAATGGATATCTGTAAAGAACCTTGGGATACACCACCCCAAAAGTTAGCTCAAAGGGTGGGAGTGCCCAAGACCTTATAAACTCACATTAGTTGCACATACAACCAATGTGGGACTATATATCTCAACACGCCCCTTCACACGAGAGCCAGTTGGGCTTGAAGAGTGGACAATGCAACAGGCCCAGCCTACCTGTGCTAAGAAACGCCACAAGAGAAAGTGGGGGGCGACGAGGCTCTGATACCATGAAGAAAAGAAGAAGTGTTTTGTCTGAATAATACTTTCTTGATTCATTGAGAGACCCAATGGGTCCTTTTTATATTGAGTACATCCAACTACCTCAACTACTTTAATAAATATACAACCACCAACTACATCAATAAATATACAACTACCAACTAAATATACAACTACTAACTACATCAATAAATACTATCTAGAATATTCTACATATTCTACACTCCCCCTCAAGTTGGGAGATATATATTGATTATTCCCAACTTGCTGATCAAATTCTCAAAGGTCGGCTTAAGTAATCCTTTGGTGAGGATATCTGCCGTCTGTTCCTTGGTAGGTATATATGTCAAGCATACACTACCGTCTTCTAATTTCTCTTTGATAGAGTGACGATCAACTTCCACATGTTTTGTTCTGTCATGATGAACAAGATTTTGAGCAATGCTGACAGCAGCCTTATTATCACAATATAATCTGATAGGTAGGGAATAAGAGATCTTCAACTCCTCCAGAAGCCTTCGTAACCAAATTCCTTCACAAATACCATGGGCTAGAGCCCGACATTTCGCTCCTGCACTACTTCTTGCAACAACAGTTTGTTTCTTACTTCTCCAGGTCACAAGGTTTCCCCATACATAAGTACAATATCCTGAAGTAGATCTTCGGTCCATTGCAGAGCCAACCCAGTCTGCATCTGTATAGATTTCAATCATCCTTTTGTGCCCTTTTTTAAAGAAAATTCCTCGACAAGGGTATTTTTGAGGTATTTGAGAATTCTATAAACAACACTAAGGTGTTTTTCCTTAGGAGAATGCATGAATTGGCTAACCATGCTCACAGCAAAAGCAATATCAGGACGAGTGTGAGACAAATAGATTAATTTCCCCACTAGTCTCTGGTACTGCTCTCTATCAACATCTTCCCCGTCCTCAACTCCCATCTTGATATTAGCTTCAATTGGAGTCTCTGCCGGCTTGCACCCAAGCATACCTGTTTCTTGCAACAGGTCTAGAATGTATTTTTTCTGAGTTAAAGAAATTCCTTCCTTACTCTGAGCAATTTCCATGCCAAGGAAATATTTGAGAGATCCAAGATCTTTTAGTTCAAACTGGTCAGCTAAACATTTTTTTAAAGAGGTTATCTCCTCGCTATCATTACCAGTGACAATTATGTCATCAACATAAACGATCAGAATAGCAATTCTTCCTTTGTCGGAGTATTTAAAAAATAAAGTGTGATCAGTCTGAGCTTGGGTGAACCCTCTTCCCTTAACAACTTGAGTAAATTTCCCAAACCATTCTCTGAGAGATTGTTTAAGTCCATAGAGAGACTTCTGCAACTTGCACACAAAACCATCCCCTTTTTCAAAACTAGGAGGTGGATCCATGTAAACTTCCTCATGTAGATCACCATTCAAGAAGATATTCTTAACATCTAACTGTTGCAATGGCCAATCAAGGTTGGCGGCAAGAGATAGCAGAACGCGGATAGTGTTAAGTTTGGCAACAGGAGCAAATGTCTCCTGATAATCTATCCCATGAGTCTGAGTAAATCCCTTAGCAACTAATCTGGCCTTATACCTATTGATGCTATTGTCTGCATTGAATTTTATTGTGAACACCACTTGCAACCAACAGTTTTCTTTCCTTTAGGTAATGTCACAAACTCCCATGTTCCATTTTTTGTAAGTGCATCCATTTCTTCTAATACTGCATTCCTCCATTTTGGGTCATCAAGTGCTTCTTGGATATTTTTGGATATCTTGGTACTATCTAACAGTGTTGAAAGCACGAAAACCTGGAGACAACTTTTCATATGAGATATAATGAGAAATAGGATGAGCAGTGCAAGATCTAGTACCTTTCCGAAGAGCAATAGGCATATCAATGTTGGTTGTACTAGTACATTCAAGTGGGTTGCTGGAACAAGGAATCGAGTCAGGATCCTGGCAGTCTAGAGTATCTTCATGTGTTTTGCGCCTGCTTTAAAATTTTTCCCATTTACCAGGAGGATCACAAGGAGGATCATTAGATTCAGGTATAGTTGCTCCCCCTGTTTCCTTCCCAATAACTCCCCCTGTTTCCAAAGGCCAAGGTAAGACAACAACATCATTTGGTTTCCCAGGCTTATCTTCATCCATACCAAGACCAATAGACTCCCCTTGAAGAGAAGTTGGGGAAAAAAAGGATTGTGTCTCATAAAAGGTAACATCCATGGAAACAAAAACCTTACGGAGAGAAGGTGAGTAACACTTATAACCTTTTTGATTAGGGGAATATCCTATGAAGACACATCTGATGGATTTAGGGTCAAGTTTGTACCTTTGATGTGGAGGAATATGCACAAAAACCAGACAACCAAATATTTTGGGAGGAAGAGAAGAAAGAGCTTTGAAAGAAGGAAAAGATTTAGTAAGGCAGGATAAAGGAGAATGAAAATGTAGTACCCGAGAAGGCATCCGATTAATAAGATAAGAGGCTGTCAAGATGGCTTCCCCCCACAGATATTTAGGGACACGCATTGTGAATAAGAGAGCTCGAGCAACTTCAATTAGATGTCTATTTTTCCTTTCAGCCACCTCATTTTGTTGAGGGGTGTTAGGACAAGAACTTTGATGAATAATTCCATGCTGGTTTAGGTAATCTCCAAAAACAGAATTAAAATATTCAGTACCATTGTCTGTTCGCAGAATTTTGATAGAGGTTTGGAATTGAGTTTGAATCATAGCATGAAAGTTTTTAAAGGTGGATGCTGCATCAGACTTATCTTTCAGGAGGTATACCCAACATACCCTAGAATGATCATCAATGAAAGTAATAAACCAACGAGCATCCGAGACATTTTTTTCACGAGCAGGTCTCCAAATATCACTATGAATCAATGTAAAGGGAGAAGATTCATGATATTTTTTAGGAGAATAAGTGGCACGAGAATGCTTTGCAAGCTGACAAATATCACAAAGAAGGGAACTTGGCTTTTTATTGATGAACAAGTTCGGGAATAACTTCTGAAGATAGACAAAATTTGGGTGTCCTAACCTACGATGTCATAACAAAACATCATTACAGTCATCTGATAAACATAGAGAGTGGTTCGAAAAAATCCTCCTTTCACAAGGATCCTCTTTAAAATAGTAGAGCCCTTATTCCTCTCTAGCACTGCCAATCATTGTCCCCGAGTCCTGTTCCTAAAAGGTACAAGCATTGGCAGAAAGTTTAATGGATTGAGATGAGGTTACAGGTAAGAGAGGGAACATGAAGGACTGAATTCAAAATAATATGCTCAGAAAGTTTAATGGATCCCTTCCCCGCAATAGTGGAGAAATTCCTATCAGCTGTTCTTATTCGTGACGGGTGATAGTAAGGGGTGTAGGAGAAAAATAAGGTTGCATTACCTGTCATGTGATCAGAGGCTCCTGAATCAAGAATCCAACGATTACTACGTTCAACATGGAATGCCATACCTTTTTGAGCAACATGACTAGTTGCCTCGGCAGGTTGAGATATCAGTTTCTGAAATAGCTCATACTGGGCCTTAGAGAGGAAAACACCATCAAGGTTTGAAGGGACATGAGACACCTCCCCTTTATCTTCGGAAGATACTTGATTAGCACGATTCTTGTTCTGTCCTTTTGGTTTCCAGTTTGGTTGTTTTCCATGAATTTCCCAACATTTTTCACGGGTGTGACCACCCTTATTGCAATGAGAACACCAACGGTCAGATCGTTTTGAGTCCCCAGAAGGACGAACAATATTCTTTTCTATAAGGGCAGACCCATCAGAGGACTTAGAGTCCTTATTACCCAACATTACTTTTCGGCGAAGCTCCTCCCTTCGTACTTCTGAAAAAGCAGTAGCAAGGGAAGGTAATGGGTTTTGCCCCAATATTCTTCCGCCAACATCGACCAGATCAGAATTAAGGCCAGCAAGAAAATCATAGAGACACCTTTTCTCTATATAATTTTTGAACCTTGCATTAGCTTCTAAACCTTGAAGGTCTGCTTTATCATAAAGATCCAACTCTTGCCACAGTGTTTTTAGAGCAAGGAGGTATTCAGTAACAGTCATCCCTCCTTGGCGTAATTCTTTCACCTTGGTGTTGAGATCAAAAGCCTGAGATGCATTGCCCAGGTCAGAGTAATATTCTTTAACAACTTTCCAAATTTCTTGAGCTGTATCAAAAAATAAATAAGTTTGACTGATAGCTGGTTCCATAGAATTAGTCAGCCATGTCATGACTAAAGCATTTTCAGTCACCCAAGCATCATAACCAGGTTCACGTTCTGCTGGTTTTACTTTTTTTCCGTCAAGATACCCCATCTTCCCTTTAGCCTGGATAAACAACTTAACAGATTGACACCATTGCACATAGTTCCTACCATTTAAACGGTGATTGGTGATCTGCATTGCTGGGTTGTCTCCAGAAGACGAAGAGTTGGGAAGGGGTGAGGCTCCAGACGAAATTTCAGAATTTTCAGCATCCATGGCTTTCTACCAGGTACCCAGAAAAAAAGTTCCTCCAAATATGATTTTGACCCTCAAAACAGGAAGAGGGTTGCTCGCCAAAGTCAATGAATGAGAGCAATCTTGGCCACAGTGAAACAGTAATTGCTACAGTAATGAACGGTACTGCTACAATAATGAACAGTACTGCTACGGGTCTTCTGTGGGTTGGCTCAGAATTTTGTTCTGAACCTAATGGTGGCCTTGGTTTCGTGGTTGGAGGTGTCTAGGTAAGGATTCTGGCTTGGGCAGTGGCTAAAACGAAAAAAAAAGAATAGGAAAATGACTTAAAAATAAATCAGAACGGGGAAGAGACTGGAATATAACCAGCTCTTGATACCATGTAAAGAACCTTGGGATATACCACCCCAAAAGCTAGCTCAAAGGGTGAGAGTGTCCAAGACCTTATAAATTCCACATTAGTTGCACATACAACCAATGTGAGACTATATATCTCAACAATATCTTATCTTTCTTATTGCTTCCAATTCTTCTTTCCTTTTAATAAAATTTCTTCTCTTCTATATAGGTTTTAAAATTGTAACTTTTCTTTTGTTTTTGTAAATTAAAATTCTTCTATCACTATCAAAATATGGTACGCAAACATTTTTGGTTTTGTCAAGAAAATGAGAAGGTGAGGGAAAGAGTGGGAAAAAGAGAGAAAAGAGAGAGATTCTCAGGAAACTGCAGTGTTCTGACCATTGATTTAATGAGACTGATTATAAGAGTTGTATTTATAAGAGAGGCTAGCTTCCATAAGAAGGTATGAAGTATGAACTGATTACAGCTCATCAATAACAACCTAATAACTATTAACAGAAAAATAACAAGCTAACTGAATTATCAGACCAGCACTTCAGACAAGTGCTGTACAATTCAAAGGACCATGTAAAATATACATAAAAACACATCACATAATAGTTAGTGATTGGGATGTCCCTGCGAGTTTTCTTTACTTTTGTCTTTTCTCTAATGTTCTCTCTTATTTTTTATTCTTTAGCTTTTATATTTTATACTGTTGAATTTAATAGGGAGTGGTACCACTTCAAGGTTGAAGCAGTTGGGAATGGAGTTTACTGTGTGGGTATTTAAGCATGTGAGTATGATACTGCTTGACTTTTGATTTGTCATAAATTTTACCCTATGAACAAAAATTACTTTTAGCCCAGTAACTGTCTAGAAATAATTCAGTTGAAATGGTTAGAAAGTCTACTAAAAGAAAAAAAAAACTATTTAGAAATGGTTCAGTTGAAGATACTGCTTGATGTTTGCAATTCAAATACTGGTTTGAAATGAATTGTATAGGTTCTATTTTTATATTTAGATTAGCTTTTTGGTATGTGGTTTTATTTCACTATTGGCTGATGTGGTAGAAATTTAAACATACGATAAACTACTGGGTCAAATAATTATGTACCTAAGTTGTGTGTTAAGTTTTTAGTGTTCCAAACCCCAAGTAGACTGATGGCACCACAACTGATAAAACATAATTCACTATTGAATTAATCACAATCTGGGGTATACAAACCCTACAATATTCATCCAAACAACCTGTCAATCCACTTGGACAGAACCAACAAGGGATGACAATTTAAAGTATGCAAAAAAGACTCAATAAGCAACAGCTGAATTACAATACTAAGACTCGATACCGATAACAGAAAACAACTTCACAGTGACTCTTTAACAGCTGAGAAATCAAAGACTCGACTCAAGACCAATCCCCATTCTCCCTCCACAAGAAACAACCCTATCTTGCAGAGTTCTCTTTCCCTTACCCCAATGTTTGGCTTACTTTTTCCATGCCCCTTACATATATGCAACAGCCTCCCCCATTCTGTTTTCCCCCACTTCTAAATCACCATTCAGTGCTTGCCACGTCTCCACCTCTTTAACTAACTCCTCTTCACACCCCATAACAGTCCCAAGTTGGTTATTCTTCTCAGTTTCATCTTTCCTTATTTCCACCTCTTTATTGCCCACTTCCAAACGGCCCAATCCATTTTCATCTTTCCCTTTTTATCTTCTTTATTGCCCACTTCCACATGGCCCAATCCACTCCGATTTCGGGTCTTCTTCCTCTTAAACACATATTTTGGGGGCCCATCATAGACCCAGTAGTATTTTTGTTAAAATATATTTGCAAGTGATCAGTAACTTTGGCAAGATAAAAAGTCTAATCCTAGCTTTAAATCTTTTTTTCTTTCTTTTGATTGAATTCTTTTTGTTTATGGATGTTACTTTGATGAGTTAAAGATAAACTATCTACCAAAAAAAAAAAAACGAAAGATAAACTATCACTTATACCTACTAGGACACACTCAGAATGATTTCATGTCCTCCTTTGCCCCATATATGCATACTTCTGGGAGTTACACGTTTTACTGTGTTTTGTTCTGTTGTTCTTTATTGAAGCTGTACAAGTTATTGTTCCCTCATCATCTCTAATATCTGTAACTGTAAGTGCAGGCAAAAATTGATCAGCTTAAGTTAATGGGTCCTGTTATTTTGAGTGGAATTATGAAGTCCCTTGACAATTATTCAAGTTCAGAAGCAGGTTTACTTACGTTATTAAAGCTCTTTTAAGTTATTTGAATAAAATTAGTTTATTTCATATTCAATTTTTATGTATTAACTCAGATGCTAGTGCTCGGGAGGTCAAAACTTATGCTTATCAGGCAATTGGGTTGCTTGCGCAGCGCTTGCCTCACCTCTTCAGGTCCCTATCTCTATTTCTTGTGGTCATATTTTTTTGCCCTTTTTGTGGTAAAGTTTTTTTTTTCCCCTCTTTTTTGTTGGTACTTATTTGCAGGGGCAGGACCAGAAAATATGGTTGAGAGTGCAGAATGTTGTAGTACACTTGAAAATTGAAATAAACAACTTATAATGTATAATTTTTTAAGAGATTATGTATGTAGTAGATAGCCGTTGTGCCTTGTAAAGGATGTTGACAATTGTGGCACTTAATTGTGTGCATACAACTCATACAATTTTATTGTTTTCTTTGCCAAACTTACCTTGAACTTAGTGTGACATTAACCCTTCGAATTGAGTGACATCCCAAGCCCTGCTGTTATGCAGAATGGAAGTAAATATCCATATTACTTCACAAGGGAAGAGATAAATATGTAAAATTGAAACAATTATTGAAACTAAACAATAATGTGTGCTGGGGAGAAATGACAGCACTGAATTTACAAAAGGGAAAATGCAAAGAGAAAAGAGAGGGATTTGGGTGATTTATTTTAGGGGAACCTTTTCTCAGTAGAAAAGAAGAAAGAGGAAGCTTTCTAGAGAAAGTGAGTTGGGATTCCAAGAAGAGTAAAAAGCGTGTGGGATATGAAAGCAACTCCTCACTTATAGCTCATTGTATTTTTAAGTTTGAGTAAAAAAGCGATATGTCATTGATTTTCTTATATACTTTTTAGAGGGGCCATGAACAGAGGTTTTTAGCGTGCAATTGCATACAATATGCATACATACATTAGGGAAAAATATGGTTTGGGGGTGCAGTTACCCATCCAATATTTGATTCAAAATCCAGATGTTCAAAGGTTATTGATAGGTCTTTCTACAATGTGATTGTGAACACTTTTGTTTCGACGGCGATGCTCAATAGTATTAATAATTCTGTCTGTTGAAGACTTGTAGGCTTCACAAGGCTCTTTCTCCTGACCGATTACATGTTTTCGAAGGTTGAAAACCACTTCCTGTTAAACCCGACTAGCGAGTGTGGGGTGGAAGAAATCCTTGTACGCAGCCTTACCCTTGCATAATTGCAAAGAAGCTGTTTCCTGGATTCGAACCCATGACCTTTTAGTCATGAAAGAACATGTTTTCGAAGGTTCTAGACAAATATTTTTGTTTTTTGTTTTTTTGCATTGTAAGGATGCTTTATAGGTTTTAAATTTATTTTTCATGATTTCTTAGGGGCCATGGGTTTGTCCAGCCTCTCTTGATTTCCATCCATTTTTGAGGTGTTGGTAGAAGTAAGGAATACACGTTCATTTGGAAGTATGCCCTCCTCTGTGCTGGGATGTGGTGCTTTAGGTTGGAGCATAATACAGTAATATTTTTATAAGAGATTTCTTCCTTCAAATCTTTTATGGGTTAGAGTTGTTTTCTATGTTTCTCTGGGAATGTCTGCACATGGTTCCTTTAGAGCGGTTTCTTCCATGGATTAGCAAAGGGATTGGATAAGCTCTCGAGTTTAATTTTTTAATTTTTATATTTTCTTTGTTTTAATGATTTCTTATTGTTTTTCCATGTTTTTCTCATCTTTTAATTAATAAATAATTCTTTTTGAAAAAGAGAATTGCATTCCTTGAGTTAGGTCCTTTGTGATTGTGAGTTGTGTTACGTAGTTACTGATTGAGCTGTACCCTGTCCTTCCAGGGAAAAGATTGACATGGCTGCTCGTATTTTTCACGCATTGAAAACTGAATCCCAGTCTCTTCGTTTTGTTGTTCAAGAAGCAACAATATCTCTTGCTGCAGCTTACAAAGTATGTACTTTTTCTGGCACTTGTGTGAATTTATTTTTCATTATTGCTCTCTTTTTGGAAGATATATTATAAAGTTTTAATTGTTACTCTATGTGAGACTAGTTTGTCAAGTATAGTCAAGCAGTTAATATTTATTTCACTTGCATATATTGTACAGGACATCTTATTGTAGCATGTGTATTTAGATATTTTGACAAGTCAAAAGTATACAATTGCTTGCCCTAATTTCCATTCCTCAAAATCATGTCCTCTAATTTCACGAAATCCGAAGTTTAAGAGAAGTAAATTAATAGGATGCATTGTACACTTCAGGATACAATTGGTTTTTGACAAGTAAAAAGTATACAATTGCTTGCCCTAATTTCCATTCCTCAAAATCATACCCTCTAATTTCACGAAATTCAAAGTTTAAGAGAAGTAAATTGAGAGGATGCATTGTACACCTCAGCATACAATTGGTTGCTGTACCTCTACTAACCTACCCTTTAAGGAGATTTTAATTGGAGTCTTTGGACTCCCAAAGCTGAGTGCCAGCTGCCTCCGTATTCAACAATTCCATGATTTAAACCTCCTTTTGATCATGACATACAAAGAAAATCAATACAAGAAATTGGAGAGTTATGATGAGCTAATTAACTTCTTTTGTTTTAGGTATCATTTGCCCTTTGTTTTGATCTGGATGGATTCCATGTCTTTAAAAGAACTTCTTGTTTTCTTTAATGCATGAAATTGGAGAGCTATGATGAGCTGATGAACTTCTTTTGTTTTAGGTATCATTTGCCCTATGTTTTGATCTGGATGGATTCCTTGTCTTTAAAGGAACTTCTTGTTTTCTTTGCTTCTAACAAAGTCTTTAAAAGAAAAAAGTAGAGAATATAGTTAAATAATAATAAAAAAAATGTCTTTTCGATTTTGATATTTCAAGTATTTCTGTAGTATATTATTTGGAAAAACTCTATTAGTTTAACCGTTGCCTTCCTAATTACTCGATATTTATTCAAATTATGCATTGGTAAAGCTATATAGTTAATTTATGGTTGCATTGGTACGATGTTGGCTGAATTGAATTGAATTCTTTTTATTGCATGGAAAGTGGAAAATCACTTTTTTTGGGCTCCTTATGTTTTATGGGCTCTTTCCAAAGTTTAAGCTATTTGGTGTTGGCCCAGGAAATATTTGTGGGGCTCTATTTTGCTCTTACTTTTGGACCTTTGGTTGATTTGAGACTTTACCCCCTCTGTACATTATTTATTGACTGTATTATCTTGTGTATCAGGTAGCCCCATTGGCTGTGTTACAAGATTTGGAGACGCTTCTGCTAAAAAATTGTCAAATGGTACACAGACAACTTTCTGGCTTTTTTACTCTCTCCCTAGGGGACTATATTCAGATATAGTACCTTCTCGAGACACGTTCATGAATCTTGATATAGCTGTATTTCTTATTTGTTTTTTCTTAATTTCTTTTCTTTTATGAAAAATTGTGCGAACCTATAAATGGTAATTTCCTTGGACTAGTTCCCAAAATGATGTAATATATTTTTTAAGAAGTTAATAGAATAGGGTCGTGTTTATGGCCTATGTTTGTAGTTCTGGGCATGGTCCCGTTTTGATGCATTTTTGAGTTTGTAAGATTCTTGGTTTTCTTTTATTTTTTTATAAAAATATCTTACCTTTGTCTCTAATAAAAATTTTGAGCTTTCCAAGCTTTGTATATTCTCCTTTATCCATTCAAATAAAATTTATATAAAAATATTTGAAAAGAAGTTCCAATGTAGCACCTGCGTGTTTTGTGTTTGACTTATTTGCTTTATCATCTGAACTTATGACATGTTACATTTTAATAGACGTAATGAAGTTTTGTCACTTAATATATGTGTGGTGTGTCAACTGCACATTTATTTTACATTGTTCCACATTAGTTACAATTGGAATAGGTTTTTTTTTTCATTTTTTGAGAAATTTGGCGGTGTCTGGGGTGCTTTGTAGGACATTTATGCTGTCTTTGGTTGGAGTATAATTTTCAGATTTTTCAATGAATGTCCTTGCTCCGTGATGGGCTTTGGGATATGATTGTTTCGTAGCTTCTCTTTGGTGCATTTCACATGGTTTCTTTTAGGGCTCATTTTATTAGAGGAATTATCAAGCTTTTGTTGAGATATATAAAAACCATTAATGTAGCCTCACCCAACAGCTTAAGCTTTTGGGTTGAATTGGTTCTTTATATGGTATCAGAGCCTCGGTGTACCGGGTTCGATACTCACCGCCCCCCACTTTCTTTCTAGAAGAATTCTTTCTTCGCACAGGTAGGTGGGCCTGTGCATTGTCCACCCTTCAAGCCCAGTGGGCTCTCGTGTGAGGGGGCGTGTTGAGATATATAAAAACCATTAATGTAGCCTCACCCAACAACTTAAGCTTTTGGGTTGAATTGGTTCTTTATAGCTTTTATTACTATTATTGTTACTGTTATTTTTGACTTTGTATTGTTCTTTTTTTTCCCCTATGAGGAAAAGATACCTTTTTGTTTTATTTCTTATTTACTCTTAATAATTTCCTTCATTTATCCAAATATTTAAAGGATATACGGTTTTAACAGTAACCTGCTTTGGGGTGATGACAGGAGGAAAGTGAAGTACGATTTTGTGCTGTAAGATGGGCAACATCTTTGTTTGATTTTCAACATTGCCCGAGTCGTTTTATTTGTATGCTTGCAGCTGCAGATTCTAAATTAGATATCAGGTATTACAAATTCCTTTTGCAGTGTGCTAACATGCTGTGATGAGTTAAATGCATATAGTCATTTTAAAGGAGTTTCTGTAACAGATATGTTGAGGGATTGGGTAGCTTTTTTTCAGTGGTGCTTTTCTTTGTTCTTTGTTTTTGGTGTTGTTAAATATTAGGACCCAAGAGGCATATACAAATATTCATGTGTTTCAACTACACAACGAAGACTCTATTATATAACTGAATGAAAGGAATTACAAAGAGATATATTTAATGTGGGACATCATCCCTCACACTAAACTACTCTATACTATTCTATTTGCAACACTCCTCAATCTGGAGCACAAAGATCATATGTAATCTATTTGACGATCTCTCAAAAACTAACGGAACACATAAGCCAATTGATCATTAGAGTTAACAAAATTGGTGACGATATCTCCCGAGACGACATTTTCAATGTGCTCATGTAACGCCTGGCAACTTGCAAGGATTAACGACTGTCCCCACACACTAACACGAGACTTTTCAGCGTGCTTTGTCCTCACTCGCACACTTCCCGGGAAAACTTCCCAGGAGGTCACCCATCTCAGAATTGCCCCAAGTCAAGCACGCTTAACTATGGAGTTCTTCCATTCCAGGCTTCCGAAAAGTAGATGCATCTTGTTAGTATAGGTAGTACCAATTAATTCTTATAAGCCATTCCCAACTGTACCGTCCCATACCAGCACAGTCTCTGGAATCCCTCTCTTTCAGGTGTTGATTCGATTCATTCATGTACCCCCGTTCCTAGAAGCCTACTAGGAGCCGCTCCTTGTTCATGCCCTTTCGCACCGGCGATCATTCCCCGCTCTCGTCAGCGCCCGGGATGTTACATGCCCACCAGCTTCCGCCTGGTTCGTCCTCGAACCACACCGTACTGGAAGAGAGGCCCTGCTCTGATACCACTTGTAACGCCTGGCAACTTGTAAGGATTAACGACTGTCCCCACACACTAACACGAGACTTTTCAGCGTGCTTTGTCGTCACTTGCACACTTACCGGAAAAACTTCCCAGGAGGTCATCCATCCCAGAATTGCCCCAAGTCAAGTACGTTTAACTATGGAGTTCTTCCATTCCGGGCTACCGAAAAGTAGATGCATCTTGTTAGTATAGGTAGTACCAATTAATTCTTATAAGCCATTCCCAACTGTACCGTCCCATACCAGCACAGTCTCTGGAATCCCTCTCTTTCGGGTGTTGATTCGATTCATTCATGTACCCCCGTCCCTAGAAGCCTACCAGGAGCCGCTCCTTGTCCATGCCCTTTCGCACCGGCGATCACTCCCCGCCCTCGTCAGCACCCGGGATGTTACAGCTCAGTCCTTTCACGAAACATGGATTGGAAGTAATATGCTAAGCAACTTAATTATTGCAAATGAGAGTTAATTTTGTTTTAGTGTCTCCTTAAACAGTTGTCTTAGCCAGATGAGTTCACAAGTGGTTGTGGCCATGGAACGATACTTTGTTTCAACACTCGATCTGGCAACTATATTGTATTTCTTGCTTTTTCAGGAAACTAAGTTATCTCCGACAAATGCACAATACCCAGATGTGGATCTCCTATTAGTGGGGCAACCTGCCTAATCAACATATAAGTATCCCACAACTCGGGTATGACCTTTATGTCCATGGAAGAGACATTTTCCTGGAGTTGTCTTGATGTACTTGAATACGAATCCCTTCATTCCACTGATCGCAAACGTCTGGTTGAGTGACTGTGAGGCAATTCAGCTTCCCAATTAATCTTTTATACCTTTTTGGATCTGAGAATGACTCCCCTTGATTTGGTAGAATCTTGGCATTTGGATCCATAGGAGTGTCGTCTGACTTAGCATTCAAGAAAGTTATCTTCTCAAGAATGTCCATAGCATATTTCCTCTGAGATATCACAATACCATATTTGGATTGAGTCACCTTTATCTCTAAAGAAATAACAAAATCTTTCAAGGTCCTTTGCCGGAAAATGATGACAGAGGTGTTGTTTCACTTGAGTAATGCCATGATAATCACCACCTGGAATGACAATGTCATCAACATACACTACCAAATAAATGGATCTTGGAATAGAGTGGCGATAAAATACTAAATGGTCAGTCTCACTTGAGTTATGCCAAACTGCAGTACAACAATGTAATCTTCAAAACCAAGCCCATGGAGACTTTTTGAGACAATACAGGGACTTGCATTGATGACAAATTAGGCTAGACTCTCCTTAAGCAACAAACCCAAGATGTTGCTCCATATAAACTTCTGCAAGATCACCATGAAGGAAAGTATTTTTAACATCTAATTGATAAAAAGCCCTTAACAAATAGCAATCATAGTAAGAAAGAATCGAATAAAGGCCATTTTCGTCATTGGGGTAACGTGTCTCCAAAATCTAGGTCAAACACTTGAATGTATCCCGTGGCCACTAACCGAGCCTTGAGACGATCCATTGAACCATTAGGACTAACTTTGATAGTGTATATCCATCTGCAATCAACAATAGACTTCTGAAAGGGTGGGAGAATCAGATCCCAAGTACCACTGCTCTGAAGGGGACACATCTTGTCCATCGTAGCCTCTCATCATCCTAAATGAGATAATGAGAGACAAGGAAGAAAGACAAGAATAAACACGGAAGAAATTTCAAAGAGATATACATAATGTGGGATTTCGTCCCTCATGCTAAACTACTCTATTTACAAATTTGTTTTCCTTTTATTTTAAGCAGGATCCTTTATCCTCCCAATTCTTTGTAATTATCTTATCTTTGTCTTGTTGAATTTCTTGTTTCATCAAGAAAAGAAAAAAACTCTCCAAGGCTATTATTGTTGCATGCCCTTCATTGAAAAGCTTTTACACCATTGCTTGCATATTTGTTTTACAAAGGAGGTGCAATCACGGAATGAACCCTTAATACTATGTTTCTTCATTCAATCTAGCATGAAGCCATTGTTTGCCTTGTTTTCATTGGGTACGTCTCATGACAGTTTTTTTTTTAAAGCATGTACACAACATGTAATATGCACATTAAAACATTTGTTCCATGGATTGTATTTTTATTCACGTTTTTAAAGATTGCTTTATCTAGTAGTATTTTTTTATTGACTGTGACTCCCTAAACATCAGACAAGAAAAGGACAAGCACACTTGTTAAGCTTTGACAAACATCTATCTTGAATTTGTCATGCGCTCAGCTTACAAGACTTATTTAATAATCTGTGACTCTACTTTGTGTAATGCATTTTTTTATTGCTGAAAACTAGTTACTTTTATCCCTCAGTGATGATCTTTGAACTTTATTCAGTGAATAGCATGAAAATTTTGATTTGTAATATTAATTCTATTTAGATTTTTTGAGTTATTTATTTTTTATGGTGTCATTGACCAACTATCCATAAATTAAAGCTGCTAGGGGAAGACACATAAATGGTTTTATATTACATCTCTAACATGTCCTCTCACACAAGATCTCTTTGGGCTTAAGCGTAGACAACACAAAAGCCACCTATTTTGTGTTGAAATTCAACTTTTTATTAAAAGAATTGGAACGGCAAGAATCAAATTCTAGACCACTTGGTCATAGAGGATATGATACAATGTCATGAACTAACTATCCCAAAAACTTAAGTTGTTAGGTGAAGACAGATGATTGATTTTATATTATGTCTCTAATAGATTTTTCTTATTACCTAAAGTCTTTTAAATTCATTTAGCTTATCAAATGTAGCTCCATTAACTTGAAATTAGTTTTGTTTTTCTGGATTGAAACAGAGAAATGGCACTTGAAGGCCTTTGTCTTCTTAGAAATGAAAGTCAAACTGTTGGTCTTAAGTATCCCAAACTTGGAATGATGCTGGATTATGTTATTAGACAACAGCCAAAGATTTTAGAGTCCACCGAAATTAGAGAACAAAACCTCCTTCTTCCTGCTAATACATATGTGGCCATGATTAAATTTTTGTTGAAGTGCTTTGAGTCAGAGTTGGAGCAGAACAAGTCCTTAGAAGGATCATCTGAATTTCTGTCTTCAGTGAAGAGATTATGCTTGTTCCTAGATCATTCTATGTTATTTGAAGGCTCTGTTGAAATGCACGTGAATGCTTCCAATGCGTTACTTATAATTGGATCACATATGCCAGAGGTCAGTTGTTGGAGTTCTTGATTACTTTTTTCCTTGCATTTCTTTGTGACACATTTGTTTTTTTAGGTGGTAGCATCACATTACGCACTAAAAGTTTCATGGCTTGAGCATCAACTAAGTCATGTGGATTGGGACACTCGTGAATCGTTTGCACGCTTACTTGGAATTGTGTCTTCTTCTCTTCCTATCCCTGAATCTTCTGCTGTTATTTCTAAATTGACTTCCTTATTCAGCCAAACACACAAGTCAAGGTTTCTACACTGGAACTGTAATTTTTAAAGTTAGTTTATGAGAATCATCCTATTTTTTCACCTATTTTATATGTTCTCATGTCGAATTTTTTTATTGACAGGTTTGAGACTCAGCATGGTGCGCTTTGTGCAATAGGATATGTAACTGCAGACTATTTGTCCAGAGCACCTTCTGTAAGTTTACTTTTACTGCATATACAAACAAGCTAAAGTGGGATCAATTGACACTACGTACAAGATTTGATATATTTATGTTTTTGCATACCTTTCATAGAATTTTGATTTTATCATTATGACCTTTGAGCGTGTAATTGTGAGTTTGATCGTGATCAACATGCTTTTTGGAGCAAATGGCTTTTCTACAATTTACTTTATCAGATGAAACTCTAATCTCAGTTGGGTATAATCACGTGTTTATATTTGATACACATGTTTGCATTTGTGTATATACAAAATCTTGGCAGATGCCAGAAATATTGCTCCAGAACACACTTAGATGCCTGGTTGATGTGGTTAATTCTGAAACTTCTGCGCTGGCTTCTGTTGCAATGCAAGCACTAGGTCATATTGGACTGCGTATTTCATTACCCCCACTTGATGATTCTAATTCAGGTAAAGTTAATTCATATATGCTGAATAACTTGGTTTTTGGACCAACATTTGAGCTATTATAGGAGTGTGTGATTATCTGCAGATGGAATTCTGGTTATTTTATGTGATAAATTGAGCAAGCTTCTCTCGGGTGATGACATCAAAGCAATACAGAAGATTGTTATATCCATTGGACATATATGTGTAAAAGAAACATCGTCTACTCAGCTAGATATAGCCCTAAATTTGATTTTCAGTCTTTGTCGATCTAAGGTAATTCTGATTCTCCCTCTTCCTCTTCTTCCTCTTTTTATACGATTTACTTGCTATGAGTGTGACTTAAGTTGAAATGATTTTTAGTTTGCTATTACTCTTTTTGGTCTCCTTTTTCAATTTCTTTTCTCTATTTCTTTCTTTATTATTGGTGCGGGATGGGTATGAGAATGAGAGAATTGAACTTTGGAAGAAGAACAAGATGGACACTTTCTATTTCTAGAGAAACAATAAAAATATGGCTTCAAATAAAGGCTATGCCACTGGTCCAAGCCTAATAAGAGTCCACCACAATTGAGATTAAAGGCTAGGTTACCCTCCCAATTGATTAAGAACCCGCTTGTTTCACCACTAACCAAAGGTTAGATATAGATAACAAGATTTCAAAATGTAAAGAACCAATTCAACCCAAAAGCTTAAGCTTTTGGATTAAATTAGTTCTTTACATGGTATCAGAGCCTCGTGTCCCGGGTTCGATCCTCGCCGCCCCCCTCTTTCTTTCAAATGGATTTTCTTTGTTGTTCGCACAGGTAGGTGGGCCTGTGCATCATCCACTTTTCAAGCCCAATGGGCTCTTGTGTGAAGGGGCGTGTTGAGATATATAGTCCCACATTGGTTGTATGAGCAACTAATGTGGAGTTTATAAGGCCTAGGGCACTCCCACCCTTTGAGCTAGCTTTTGGGGTGGTGTATCCCAAGGTTCTTTACATGGTATCAGAACTTGTGTTGATTCTTTACACAAAACAAGTATTTGAAAGAACTTGCAACACTTAATTTTCATTCATCAAATCATGCTTTGTGGGTTACAATTATTCCCTATTTATATTTTATAGAGGAAATTAAAAGCAAGAAAATATAAAGAGAAGTGAATTATTAACCATTCTCCAACTCCCTAGACTGATTTGCCTTGAAACTAGCTTAATGACAACATCCTAAGAGTTGAGTTACTTAAGAAGTACAACAATTATATTCTCAAGACACAAGAAAGATGATAGCTAAGGTCTCAAGGCTGATTTACATCGTTAATTGAAGCAAACTGAAGTATTAATGCTGATATCTTGACCATCCTTCATAATTGATCCATTAAGGGAGCCAACTAAGCATAATTTGTCCCAAAACAACTCGGGAACTTGATTGGAATTTGGCCTTGAAGATGGTACACGAATTTGCATCACCTGGGATTTGACATTTGATTTCCTCTTATCAAACTTAGCATTTTTGCTCCTGCATAAATTATGTTGTTGAGAAGCTAGGTATTGGTTTTTTGGATGCCATGATCTTGACTGAGAAAAATTCTAAGTGGTATTTTTTGTTTTGTTTTTTAACTAAGTGTCCATGAATAGTATTTTTCCCCCCATTATAAGTTGCAGCATGGCCCGCAATGTTATATGGAGCTAAATGTTGGCTAACACATAGGCAACATGCACATAAAATGAGAGTAACAGAGATAAGGATGTTAAGGTGGATGTGTGGTTATATGAGGATGGATAAGATAAGAATTGAAGATATTCGATGTAAGGTAGGAGTACTATCGGTTGCTGAAAAGATGAGAGAACATAGATTGAGATGGTTTGGACACGTAATGAGAAGCCCCCTGGATGCTCCCAAAAGAACAAAAGTTTGTTACCAAGATTCGACACAAAGAACGGTAGAGGTAGATCGAAACTTACTTGGGGAAAAGTAGTAAAACAAGACTTAATGGAGTGGGATATAGATTGGCGGACGGTGTGCCTTAGGACAGAATGGAGAAAAGCTATTAGCATGGTGGAGGGTTAGACCCGTTGTTATTCCTATGTTCCAGATGGTCCCTTTTTAATCCTTTTCCTCTTCATCTCCCCTCTTTTCTTCTTTTTCCCTTCTTTTCCTTTATCTCTTTTCCCCTTCCCCATCTTCTTCTTCTTCTTCCTATTCTTCTTTTCCCCTTTTATTTTTACTTTTATATTTATATATATTATATATATTATTATTATTTTATTTATTTTTATTTTTATCCCTTTTTACCTTTCATTTGGGTTCATCTACCACCAACCCGAATTAGTTTGGGATAAAGGTATTTGTTGCAATCCCTAGTTTTCAGCATCTAGAATGTTTTATTTTTCCTCCTTAATCTTAGGAGTTTGTTTCGTTATTTGTTATTTAAATTCCTAGGATTAGTTTGTTTCTGATATTTTTCCTGTTTAGTTAAAATAGGATTCAGTTTTCTAGTTTTATCTCTTTCCCTGATTATAGGGATTTGTTGCACTGGAATATTTCTGGTGTCTATTTATTGTACGTTTTTTTTCTTTTAGTTTTAATGGAAAAACTGGTTCCATCATTCAAACTTTCTATATGGTATCAGAGCTTGATTTTTAAGGGACTGATCCACCCATGGCTACCAATGTGCCACTCTTTGGCACCATGAGAGCCTACCAAACTACTTCTTCCAATACCACCGGTACAAATACCACTCCAACAACAACCCCACTCAATGTTTCAGCATCAAACCAAACCAACAACAACTCAGCAGCTGTCATTACCAACGATAGTCCAGCATTAGTCATCACTGGTCATCGATTCAATGGAGACAATTATTTGTTGTGGTCACGCAGCGTTCGTATGTTCATTGGAGGCCGTGGCAAGGGAGATCATCTCACCGGTACGGGTGATGCTGCTCCTCTGGAAACTAGTCATCCACAATACAAGAAGTGGTCCATTGAAAATAACCTTGTGATGTCTTGGTTGCTGAATTCCATGGTGCCTGAAATAGCTGAAACATACATGTTGTGCTCCACAGCCAAGGAAATTTGGGATGGCGTGAAGGAAGCCTTCTCTAAGGAAGATAACACAGCTGCCTTGTTTCACATCAAGGGGATTCTTCGTGATCTCAAACAGGAGGACAAGGATGTCACCAGCTATTATAATTCACTCCTAAAATTCTGGCAACAATTGGATCTTTATGATCAACATGAATGGACTACTCCAGCCGATACTCTTCAGTATAAGAAAATTGTTGAACAAGACCGCACCTACAACCTTCTTTTGGGACTCAATCCAATCTATGATGGAGCTCGCAGCCGCATCATGGCCACTCGCCCTCTGCCATCCTTGCGAGAAGTTTTTTCTGAATTAAAGTGGGAAGAAAGCCGCAAAGTTTTGACCAATAGCATCCCAAAAGTTGATGCACCTTTGGAAGCAGCAGCCTTTGTCTCTAGACCCAACAATGCAGACTCCAGACCTAGGCGAAATGGTAAGCTCTGGTGTGACCATTGCAACAGAACTGGGCATATTCGGGATACATGCTGGAAAATCCATGGCAAGCCAGCTGATTGGAAGCCAAGACAAAACAGAGACTTTAATCATGTTGCTGCAGTTGTAGAAGATGTTCCGCAAGCAAAATCCGAAGGCCATACATTTACAAGGGAACAAGTGATAGCCATACAACGCATGCTGCAAGATTGCAATAAGGACAAATCTAATCCCTCATCTGATAGTCATCAATCAGGTACATTCCATACAGCTCTCCAATCCGATCTTGATAAATGTGATTCCTGGATGGTAGATTCTGGGGCTACAGATCATATGACTGGTAATTCCTCTCTTCTTTCTGAATACTTTCCCATTTTCAAGGCAAAATCAGTAAAAACAGCAAATGGAGGCTTAGCCAAGGTTCACGGAATTGGTGTTGTTCACCTATCGTCAACCATATCTTTAACTGGAGTTCTCTACGTTCCATCTCTTACCTGCAATTTAATTTCTATTACCAAATTGACCAAGGATTTAAAGTGCACAGTCAAATTTACCCACGTTGATTGTATTTTTCAGGATTTGGCATCGGGGAGGACGATTGGCAGTGCTAGGGTCTCTAATGGTTTATATCAACTTTACACAGCCGCGGTTATGAAGACTCAAGACAGCACATTTGCAGCAACTAGCAATTTGAATAAGGCTCTTTTATGGCATTTTAGATTAGGGCATCCAAACTTTCAATATATGAAAAAGATGTACCCTTCTTTATTTAATGAGAATTCGAATTTTCCTTCATGTGATATATGTCAACTTGCAAAACAAACTCGGTCTCATTATCCCTTACAAATGCATGTTCCTTCTAAACCATTTGCCATTATCCACAGTGATGTGTGGGGACCTGCAACTGTTAAAAGCCTTACGGGTGCTCGTTGGTTTGTCACATTTATTGATGATCATACTCGAATGACATGGGTGTACCTATTAGCCAATAAATCTGAAGTCACATCCACCTTTAAAGTCTTTCACAAAATGATCCTTGCCCAATTTCAAACCCAAATCCTTACCCTTAGATCTGACAATGCACGTGATTATTTTAACTTGGACCTTTCAGCTTACCTAAAAGACCATGGCATCATCCACCAGAGCTCTTGTGTCAATACCCCACAACAAAATGGTGTATCTGAGAGAAAAAATCGCCATTTACTTGAAGTTGCTCGTAGCCTACTCTTTGCCTCAAATACATCCAAAAATTATTGGGGGGAAGCTATTCTTACAGCCACTTACCTTATCAACCGCATGCCATCTCGGGTATTACACTTCTCCTCACCTTACCAAACACTCCTCACTGCATTCCCTTCATTGACCTTAACCCCAAATCTCCCACCAAAAATTTTTGGTTGCACCGTGTTCATTCATAACTCTCAAGGTGGTAAATTGGATCCTCGGGCTCTTAAGGGCATCTTTCTTGGCTATTCCCCTACTCAGAAGGGGTATAAATGCTTCAGTCCAGCCACACATCGATTCTACATTACTAAAGATGTCACCTTTTTTGAACATCAGCCTTATTTTTCCCAAACCGCCATTCAGGGGGAGATCCCTAATTCCAAGGAATGGTTGTTTGTGACTAATACTCCAGAAAACTCTGCTTCAACAGCCCCTACACCGGTCTTAGGTGAATCTCAGGAAAATGACACTTCATCTAATGGCTTATCCTCTTCCGGCCCGCTCCAGAAACCGCCTGAACAGCAGCCCCTGCAAGTCTACACGCGACGGCCCAAATACAGAACAACTTCTGAGATGCTTGAACATGTTGACAAACAGATTACCTTGGCTCCTGGTCCAACTGAAGAAACCATTAGTCCTGCACTTGACCAAACTGAATCCTTGCTGCCAAGTTCTGATGATGCTCTGCACATGCCAATTGCACTTCGTAAGGGGGTAAGGACATGTACAAGTCATTCCATCTGTAATTTTATATCCTATGCTAATCTTTCCTCCAGGATGCAGCATCTAGTCAAGAACATTGACAAGGAAACCATTCCTACATCCTACTTTGAGGCATCTAAGACTACTGAATGGTGTTCTGCTATCCAGGATGAATTGCATGCACTCAAAAAAAATGGCACTTGGGAGATAGTTACCTTACCACAAGGAAAATCAGTGGTTGGCTGTAAGTGGATTTTTACCATCAAATATAATGAAGATGGGAGTATTAATCGCCATAAAGCAAGACTTGTGGCCAAAGGATTCACTCAGACACAGGGCATTGATTACCAGGAAACCTTTGCTCCAGTAGCAAAATTTAATTCAATTAAAATTCTTTTGTCCATTGCTGCTTGCCTAGATTGGCCCCTTTGGCAAATGGATGTGAAGAATGCATTCTTAAATGGTGACTTAGAAGAAGAGGTTTACATGGAAATTCCCCAAGGAGTGGAAGATGGTTAAGGATCTCGAAAGGTATGTAGATTATTAAAATCCCTTTATGGTTTGAAGCAATCTCCAAGGGCTTGGTTTGATAAGTTTACTGCAGTTGTCAAAAATCAAGGGTACTCCCAATGTCAAACTGATCATACTATGTTTGTTAAAACTGCACCTCATCAGAAAATTACAATATTAATTGTCTATGTTGATGATATTGTGATTACTGGTAATTGGGAGGATGAGATAAAGCAATTAAAGGAGACGTTAGCTCACAAATTTGAGGTCAAGGACCTTGGAAAATTACGATATTTTCTTGGAATGGAAGTGGCAAGAACTAAGGAAGGAATTTCAGTTTCTCAAAGAAAATATACTCTTGATCTGCTGAATGAAACAGGGATGTTGGGATGTAAACCTTCTGATACACCAATGGAGGCGAACTACAAGATAGGACTCAAACAAGAATGTGCTTCGGTAGACACTGAGAGATATCAAAGACTAGTTGGAAAACTCATTTATTTAGCCCACACTAGGCCTGATATTAGTTTCCCTGTGAGTGTGGTCAGTCAATTTATGAACAGCCCAAATGAAGAGCACTTGGAAGCCGTCTACAGAATCCTACGATACTTAAAGATGACTCCTGGTAAAGGATTGTTCTTCAAGAAAAATTCCAGCCGTGATATTGTGATTTACACGGACGCTGATTGGGCAGGATCCATTATCGATCGAAGATCAACCACAGGCTATTGCTCATATGTGTGGGGAAATTTGGTCACTTGGAGGAGTAAAAAACAGTCTGTGGTAGCCAGAAGCAGTGCTGAAGCCGAATACAGGGCATTGTCCTTAGGCACTTGTGAGGGAATGTGGATTTTAAGAGTCCTAAAGGAGCTACACCTCGAATACAAGGATCCTATGAAGATTTTCTGTGATAACATGGCCACCATTGGAATTGTCAATAATCCAATCCATCATGACCGTACCAACCATGTTGAACTTGATAGAAATTTCATCAAGGAAAAAATTGATGCAAATATTATTGATCTAAGTCACATTTCCACAGGGTCCCAGATTGCTGATATCTTAACCAAGTCTTTATCAAGAATTAAATTTGAAGGACTAATTTCCAAGCTGGGAATGCTGGACATCTACCACCCAGCTTGAGGGGGAGTGTTGCAATCCCTAGTTTTCAGCATCTAGAATGTTTTATTTTTCCTCCTTAATCTTAGGAGTTTGTTTCGTTATTTGTTATTTAAATTCCTAGGATTAGTTTGTTTCTGATATTTTTCCTGTTTAGTTAAAATAGGATTCAGTTTTCTAGTTTTATCTCTTTCCCTGATTATAGGGATTTGTTGCACTGGAATATTTCTGGTGTCTATTTATTGTACGTTTTTTTTCTTTTAGTTTTAATGGAAAAACTGGTTCCATCATTCAAACTTTCTATAGTATTGTTGATGTTGATTATAAGTTGCAGCAAGTAAAATGTGTCACATCTCTGTTACTAAATTTTCATTTTTCAGGTTGAAGATATTCTCTTCGCTGCAGGGGAGGCTCTTTCTTTTTTGTGGGGTGGTGTTCCTGTCAATGCTGACATAATTCTCAAAACTAACTATACTTCACTGTCAATGGCTTCAAATTTTTTGATGGGAGATTTGGACTCTTCTGGGCCAAAGCAGCATAGTAGTGGACAAAGTGAATATAGTGAAGATTATCATGCTTCTGTGAGAGATGCAATTACCAAAAAGCTCTTTGATGTTCTTTTGTATAGTAGCAGGAAAGAAGAGCGATGTGCCGGAACTGTCTGGCTAGTATCATTAACAAAGTACTGCGGCAATCATCCTACTATTCAGCGAATGCTTCCAGAAATTCAGGTTTTGCATTAAGAAACTAAATATTTTCCTATTTTCTTCCCGTCTTTTTAGTAATCTGTCATTCTTCATTTATGGTATTTTATTGTTTTTCAAGGTCATATACCCTAAGCTCATAAATATTTATTTTGTTTTCCTTTAACTTAAAGATATGTCTGATGGTTCCAGTTGTATAATTTCCCCATATTTTGGTTCATATTCATATGTATGAAAGAAAGCAGGAATTCGAGGGTGCAGTTAGTGTGAAATATAAATTGGAAGATGGTCCGTGATCCTTATAGTTTTCCTTTGGCTTTGTTCAAACTTGTTAAGTATTGTTAAAGGTGTTCATAAGAATTACGAGTCCTTTTCCTTTCAGAATTTGTTTATCTGGTTTCAACTTTATCACTTTTGGTGCCCAAGGAGCGCACAGTCAAGGAATAAAGGCCTTGGTTTTTGGTGTCTATTATGAGATTATCATTATTGAACTCTTACTCCTCAAGCTGGCCTTTCCTTTGGGTATTAATAGTTTTGAATTTGAAAGTGCTTTCATTTGTCAGATATAAAATTCGCCATAACACCAATGGAGTGTCTGTTGATACTTGTTGTCAGGGATTTTTTAAGTTAGATTGCTACGAGGTTTATGATTGGGTCATTGGTTTCTCTACGATAAACTTTTGGGCGCAGGTGGAGTAAGTGGATATGTGGCTCTCTTTTTCTCTGTTTTCATTCATTGTGAATGAAAAACCTTTGATCCTGATTTAGATTTTATAAGGGTGTTACGTAATGGGATATTAAGGTTGTTGAGGATCGAGTCCCATGATCTCATAAGATTGGGAAAGATATAGGTTTGCATGCGAATTCTATGGATTCAATTGTTATCCCTGTGAAGCCTCTGGAGAATTTGCATAATGTTTTGTCCTTGTTAGCAGAGTTGGTTGTATGTTAATGTGAATCATCGTGCCCTAGCTATACTTCTATATGGATGGTTTCGAAATTCAGCTTTGGGCTATTGTCTTTTTTGAGGATTTCCCATGTGTGGCAATCCTAGTTTGCTTTACTTTTGGGACCCTAATATGCAGAGGATTTGCAAGAGATTGGTGGTTGGAAGGGTTAATTATACAGTGTATATATTCTTGGAACCTTACTGATTAAATCTATGTTGAATATTCTAAGTGGTATGATGAGATGGTTCTGAATGTGCATGATTGACTTGTGTCTCAAATAATTTGGGTTTTAGGTTAGTTTTTGTTCTACGTTAATATTCTAAATAAGTGTTGTTGGGATTGTTGTGATGAAGCTTTTCTTATTGTGAGACTGGAAATTTGTCGTGCAACCAGGTTAGTCTGTAACTTGTTTTATATGATGTTGTTACAACTCTAGATTTCTTGGCAAAGGAAAACTTATAGCAGAAGAAGAAAATAGAAGAAAAGATGAACGAATAAAGGAAGATATCGATTTTATTGAAGTATTATGGAAGAACAAACGAGGAAAACCTTTTCTCAAGGGGCACTCCCCTTCCTCTGAGAAATTCTCAGCAAAACTATGAATTAACCAAAAGCTACCCCACTACAATTAGAGCATCCCTTTTATATACTAGGCTGAACCTCTCCCCTAAAGGCCTAACTGAATAACCACCTAATTACAAGCCTAACTGTTTAATACAACTGTTACAACTAACTTGGCCCTAATAAATGCCCTTGACCACTCCCTAACATAGGTTGTAACATATGTTCTCAACACCATATCCATTTTGTTGCAGCATCTTAAGATTAGTTTGACAGTTATTATGTAAATGCAGGAGGCTTTTTCCCACCTTCTTGGTGAGCAAAATGAACTCACACAAGAGTTGGCTTCTCAGGGCATGAGTATTGTGTACGACATTGGAGATGAATCTATGAAAAAGAATTTGGTGAATGCACTTGTGAATACATTGACTGGGTCCGGGAAACGAAAAAGAGCCATCAAAGTAAGTTGCTTTATTAGAATAAGGCTTGGTGGGTTTTTTTTTTTGCTCTCTTCTTCCTTTATTTCCTTTTTCTTTTTAATGTTATATTCCTTAAGTTTTGTTGTGCAGCTTGTTGAAGACACAGAAGTATTTCAAGATGGAGCTCTTGGTGAAAGTGTTAGTGGAGGAAAAATGAATACTTACAAAGAGTTGTGTAGCTTAGCAAATGAGATGGGACAACCGGACTTAATTTATAAGTTCATGGATCTAGCTAATTATCAAGCTTCTCTGAATTCGAAGAGGGGTGCTGCTTTTGGCTTCTCTAAAATAGCAAAACAAGCTGGGGATGCTCTTAAGCCACATCTACGTTCATTAATTCCAAGGCTTGTACGCTACCAGTATGATCCTGATAAAAATGTGCAGGTAGATGCCCTCAAGGAATGCAGGGAGGGGCAGCTACCTCCAAGTTTTTTTAACCTTGCAATGTACCTACACAAAACAGAAAAGGAATGCATGAAGTCAAGTACAATAGCATTGGCATCGCATCTCCATTTCTTTATTGATTCGGTCAAAACATTAAAAAATGAAGCTAACTTTAGCTTTTGCTTCATGAATAATTCTTTTTTATTCAGCACATACACAAGAATAATTCTTCATGAATAATTATTGTCACCAAGCTATACCTCTTGATATCACAAACTCTCAAGTTTTCATTTATAATTCGGTATTGAATCTAATCCTTATTCCTTACCAAGATCAACTCTAGTTGAAGCCAAAAATATGTGTGTCTAATTTCCATCTATGAATAGAACATAATATTGTTACATAATGCATGCCAACATCAGACTTAAAAATATTATTTTTGCCCCCTAAAATTTTTGCTAGGTTCTTCTAGCGTGTGCCTTGTGTGAGTTTTCTTTCTAACTCACAAATAGATCATTTTTAGTTTGTAATTTTTTTGCCTTTTTCAGTAAACAACTCCTTTTCCTTTAGATGGCCATGTTATGCATGTTATCCATTAAGTTCATGAATTCTCATTTTCACGTACTAAATTTCATTTGTTTGTTGCATTTGTTAATTTTCTGTTTAGGATGCAATGATACATATATGGAAGTCACTAGTGGCTGACTCAAAGAAAACAATTGATGAAAACTTAGATCTCATCATTGAAGATTTACTAGTACAATGTGGATCCAGGCTTTGGCGGTCACGTGAGGCATCATGTCTCGCCCTTGCAGATATTATTCAAGGACGAAAGTTTTTTGAGGTCATTAAGATTACTTATGTTTTTCTTGAGTTTAAATAGCACTGTCAAAGTTCACAGTGAACTATTCTTTATAGAAAATAAATCCTCAAAATTATAGTAATTGCATTTGGCAACAAAACCCCAAGTCACTATTTTGGTGAGGTTCTGTCCGTAAAAAGCTGGGGTAGATTTGGGGGTTGTGGTATTATTGTTGGTTTGTGATGTTTGTCAATGGAGAATAGTGCCTGTGCTTCTGGTCACGTGTTTCTTCCTTCCAATTTTTGGTGATAATTGTATTCTTGGCTTTTGTTTTGGTGCTGGAGTATGGTTTATTTAGGGGGCTTTCAAGTGTTGGTTTACAGAGTGGTTAGAGAGCTCTTTACATTTGATGTACTATTTTTTTGTTTCCTATGTTTTGTTTTTCCTTTTTTGTTTGATCTAGTGGGATTTCATGTTCTCCTTGTATTCATTTTCTTTCTCGTAATGAAATCTCCTTTTATCAATATATATATATTAGGTCAGTATTCCTATTTTTAGTTACAATCGTGCTTGGAACATAAAGCAGAGTCAGAGTTGTGTATCTTTTGTGTGGTAATATAAGATGTATTTGTGAGGAAGACCTATGATCTTCTAATAGTCAGGTTCAAAATATAAAACTGTCATACTTTAGATAAATTTGTTAATCAAGATGTGTCTTTCCATATTTATATCATTATATGTGTTGATAAAGATTCAGTTAGAAAATAATATAATGCTGAAAGGAGAGATAATAAGTAAGAAACTGTGACCATATTAGTATGTTGATTTTGATATTTCTGGAGCATCTCAGCATGTCTTTTATGCTTTTCTTTCATCTTGCTCCACCCACAGGTTGGAAAGCATCTAAAAAGATTATGGTCAGGAGCATTTCGTGCAATGGACGACATAAAGGAAACTGTCAGAATTTCTGGTGAAAAATTATGCCGTTCTGTAACTTCGTTGACAACAAGGCTCTGTGATGTCTCTCTAACTGACATGTCCGATGCACACAAAGCAATGGATATTGTTTTACCTTTTTTGCTTGCAGAAGGTATATTAAGTAAAGTTGATAGTGTCCGGAAGGCATCAATTGGAGTTGTTATGAAGCTTACAAAGGTTAGGAATGTCACGTGCTTTCTTTTCTTTCTTGCTTTTTTTTTTTTTTTAAAACTTTTTCTGCCACCAGATGGTGAATGATTGTGTAATGTGTTTTGAAGTTCAAACCTTATTAATTGTTGTAGGGATGTATTATGTGTAACACCCCGTTCTAGAACCGAATTGTTATCATTGCGTACGGCATTAAGCGCAGTTACAATCACATGGTTCAATTAAATTCCGGATAAATTTTTCCTTTTAAAACGTGCCGAATTTAATATAACCAAGTGTGTGATCATAACCATATTTGCTTTGCGGAATAATGGGACTAAACTTAATATTATATTCCCCGTATATTAGACAATACGTCGTTGAATGTCTTCATCTCTTTAATTATCAAATTAATTCTACACTTCTTTTATGATTCCCATCTTCTACTATGTTATAGGATTTTTCATTAGCTACGCGTAGGTTCAAACCGCGCTCAAATCGGAGCACCGTAGCCAAAGTTAGGCATTTTCTAAGAAAAAGGGTGCAAAATCTCCAGAACCCCGTGCCCGTAGCGTGGGATCCACGCCCAGAGCGTGGGAAAACAGAAAGTTGGCGCCCCCAGCGTGGGAGTGGCGCCCTCAGCGTGGATGCTACTGTCTGGTTCTGTAATTTGGCGCCCCAAGCGTGAATCTGGCGCCCCAGGTGCCATCCACAGGGCTGGGTGACCCAAAACAAGGTCATTTAACCTACCTATGGTTTTCCACTCATAACTTGAGCTATACTCACTCAAATTACACCATTTTGGTCTCTATGGAAAGCTAAGAGAAATGTCTACAACTTACATAGAGACATCAAAGTCCAATTCCATCACATTGGGTATGAAAATTGGTCAACCGGACATGATGTCTTTGTTTTCTCAACATTTCCTAATTTAGCACTAGGTACCTAATTTAGTTTCCAGTTCAACAATCCAATAGTTAATGAGCATACATATATTGAACTTAAAGTAATCATCAATTACAAATCATGTTCATTACAATTCATGGAACTTAGCTTACAAAACGCTATGATCACTCCCTTGGCTCCCATCAACAAAGAGATAACCAAAGGCATGAGCATAGGCTAAGTCCATTCCAAATAAACAGAACATACATCTATTAATTGTCTATTAATTACAATCCTATACATGTGAGCTACAAAATAACATGTATAATATCAAAATACAAGATCCTCATGCATCACTACTAATCCAAGTATGGCCACTTGCCACTGGTGGCTCCTGCAGCATCCTTACCTGAAAGGGGGTCCCCACAACACGGGGTGAGATACACGAATATATCCAGTAAACCAGGGGTCCTTGGAGCATCTCTCCACCCCACAGTTCCATATCAGTGTAATAGCAATAACAATAATAATGCAGTAAATACATATCTATGCAAAGTGCAATAACATCTCCAGGAGAAATCCCTCGAGCTCTCAAGCTGTCCTAAGGAAACTCAGATGCAAATAGTCCTACTGGCTAGCTAAACTACCAAGTATGATTTACGCATCGTCATGCAACATACCAACATAGGGAAACACCATCCTATGCCACACCAAAGCATACACATACGTATAACAAAGCATTACACTATTTCATTGCATTTATATACACTATCACAACCACTACCCAATCAGGGCTTGGTGGAACAATCAAGGGAATTACACCCAAGGTCCGAAGGCTTACCTCAAAGCTTCCGTTCAACCTTTGTTCACCACCAACAGGTTCAGCAACCAATCAACTTTGGTTTCAACAATGACTTACAAGTAACACACCTACACCAAGGTGCCATAGCATCAATCATACTATCCAATGAATATTTACTTATATCCATTACTACCACATCAACTCTGCATATTAACTTAGCATGAGCTCACCTATTCCAAAGAGCTAATCAAGCTCCATAGCTTGCTCCAATGGTTGATCACTCACGGTTGGTCCAAATGTCTCAATCTTAGACATCACAAGGACACAATCATCAATCAACCAAGCCAAACCATTGATCATAATTGCAAGAAAACTCACAACCAAGTATCATATTCTTGCAATATTCAAAGTATAGTCATATAACTATCTAAGCTCATTTTCACCGATTAATCATCATTCCTAGCATTTCTCATAACATACACTAAGCTCCATTCTTCCTAGAACATAGCTAATTTAATCACATTTCATAAAAACCCCCAATTCACTATTCATAACCCTAAACTAATGCAAATCTCCAAGAATCATGTGAAAGAGAGTGGAAACTTACCACCAATGATCACACAATAGAGGAATGAGCGTTCCTCAAGCTTCCATGGAGGTAGAACTCTCAAACACCTCAATTTCTCCAATGGGCCGAATTTTTGGAGGAGGATATCCCACTCCACAATGCTCCCCACTACAAACTAAGCTAGGATTATGAAAGAGGGGAAGATTCTAGGTGGTTTAGGCTTTTGAATCACTCCAATCGGTTAAGATTTGCTCACTCTAGGGTTCTCTCTCCCTCTCCCTCTCCTCTTCTTCTTCTTCTTCTTCTTCTTCTTCCTTCCTTTCTTTGGCTGTTCGACGGGCAAGGGGTGGGAAATGGGTTCCTTTTTGTGTTTTATGACTTAACATAGGTTAAGTGGAATCAAGTGGGTATTGGTTCATTTATCTATTCAACTCCATTAATTACCAAACTTTACCCAAAAGTCTGGAATGTTATTCTAGGAATATTTTCATTTTTATTTTTATATTTTGGGCACTTTTGCCTGTACCCATTTATACTCCTTAATTTCCACTGAGTACACTTTTTAACTCAGAATTGACCCCATCTCACTTAATTAAGACTTATACTTAATTTTCCTCACTACTACATGCTTAATTAATTAATCACACTTGATTTACTAATTAATTAAGCTGGGCTATTATATTATGTTTTGCTTGGCTCTAGTGTACAAAATTGGAGCAAAGCAGGAGTATTTAGATTTTTTTTTTTGGTTCTCATCTTTTTGTTGCAAATGATGATGGTTATTGTTTTTTGGCTTCTTGGTGTGATATGCAATGATTTATGCAGTACTTTTGAACACACAAATGTTGGGACAGAGGGTTTTGGAGGGAAATGCAAGGCAGTATAAACTTTTCATTTCAAGTAAATATTCTATAATTTAATGATATTTTAGAATGAACAGAATAAAATGATAGATTGTCATGAAAACTTCCAATCATCCCTTATTCGATTTTATAAAATTAAGTAACTCTCTTTAACTAAAATTGAAAATTTTACCCTGCCTTCCCTTCCCCAACCCTCCCTCCATCCAAAGAGTGATGGTAGGGCCTTCTCTTCTTGATGTTTCTCATTTTGGTTTTAGTATTTTTGTTTAACTGTTTTAGGGGGATAGGTTATCCCATTCTCTTGTACTTATTTATTTAATTTTTTACCAAACATAAAATAAATAATTAGAATAATAACTGTTTGTAGAATTTGTTTCCCGGTAAGCTTGATTGTTGCAGACCTGCACATATAATACATTACAACAAGTATAATAGCGTACATAATTTTGGCTGTGTTTGTTGTCTGTTTTGTTATTAGTTGCTACAGCATGAAATTCCTGGCAATCTTTTGACTTAGTTTATATGATTGCGATTGTATAAAATTAATGTTACTATTATGGAAGTAAGCTATAATGTATTGCTGTTATTCTAATAACTTATGCTGTTAAAATGAATCTTGAGTGTTTCTAATTATTTGTCTCTTTTCAGCATGCTGGAACTGCAATTCGTCCTCATATGTCTGATTTAGTGTGCTGCATGCTTGAAAGTTTATCAAGCCTAGAAGACCAAGGGCTCAATTATGTCGAGGTGTGGTTGAATGATATATTCAGACCCTTGCATGAGTTCACTTATTAATTATTGTTTACATATGTTTTTATGCTGTCTCTTTCTCAGCTTCATGCTGCAAATGTTGGAATACAGTCAGAGAAGCTTGAAAGTTTGAGAATTTCCATTGCCAAAGGCTCTCCTATGTGGGAGACCTTAGACTCATGCATAAAAGTTGTTGATGCAGAATCATTGGAGAAATTGATCCCACGGCTTGCTCATTTAGTGCGGTCTGGAGTGGGCCTTAACACTAGGTCTTTTATTAACTTATGATATCTTATGCATTGTATCCCTACTTAAACTGTCTAAATGATCTTTTTGTTATTGCATTAACCCTTGAAAATTTGAGGAGCTTATGTTGATTCAGAAAGGGTTTAGTGGTTAATGAGTTTAGGATTTGTGTAGACCATTAGATGCTTGATGTTTACAATGTTTGCCATATTAATATATTATCGTCCTTATGATGCTTTGATACTCGAGCTTTATTGCTTTGATGTACTTTGTTCATGTTCCTTTGCTTTTCCTTTTTCTTGTTGTGGAGGAATATTCTACCCTAAAATTAAGTAAGTTCATCTTTTTGTACTTTTACATATTGAACAAGGAAAATAGAGAGAATAATGTGTGCTTGCTTGCATGGCCTATCCCAAGTCAAGAGAAAGGAGGAGGGTTGGCATCAGGCATAGTGAGCTGACCATAAAAAACAACTATTTTTATGAAATGAACCCTTAAACAAGGAAAATAGAGAGAATAATATTATAGATTGATGGGATAGGAAGCTCACGTGAGGATTGCAAGCCTCTTAATTATTGGGTCATGTCATTATGGGTGGACACACTAAACTCGAAGAGTGTGGAGGAAATAAGGGAGTTTATTGGATTTAATTCACTTGCTTTTCTGCGATTTGATAGTTTGAAGAAGCTGTTGGGTAATGACGGTCCTAATTTTTGTTATGCTTGTTTCTCTGGGAAATACCCTGTTGAGCCCAGTGAAATTAAAAGTGAAGAGGGTTGGTGACATCGTGGTTAATGGCTTAAATCTATTGATGGGGTTGGGTCCAAAATCACCTCTTTCCACCCCGTAATGACATGACCCAATAATTGAGGGGCTTGCAATTCTCATGTGAGCTTCCTTGGGACCAGCTTCCTCGAGTACCCTGACTATTTTGGATGTAGTTCCCCTCACAATTGAGTCATCCACAACCACAACTCTTTCCTTTAAGCACACCACAGATAGGTGAGAGCATTGACCTCACCCCATAGTCCCTAATTTTTTGGGTTGGCTCAATGAAAGTTCTGCCTACCTAGTGTGACCTGATCAGACCCTTCTAAAAAGAAACCCCAGCTTTGGAAGCATAACCAAGATCTGAACTGCTACGACAATCACAATCCACTGGGATCTCAGTGGGCCAGTATTTCCCCAAATTGCCTGCGAGATTCATACACTCACCTCCCATAAACCACTAAATTGGGCAATGCAAAGTATATATGTTCCAAAATGCATTGCTTTGGCTGTAGATGAGACATGAGGCAAAGTAATTGAACCCGTATTCTTGTCCACCACCAAACCTCACCTGGATACACCCCCTTCTCGTATGTGGCTTCAAACAAATCAAGGGCATATGAATGATTTTATTATATCTCTTAACACATTCCCTTACAAGAGACCTTTTTTTTTTGTCCTTGGCTTTGAAGTTTGGACAATCCACATGCCCTTTTTTTTGTGGTTACCTCGTGCTTACATTCAACTTCTTATATGATGAATTGAGGGTAACAATGATCGCACTCTTGACCATTTGGTCATAGAGGCTCTAATACCATTGTTATGCGGCCAGAGGGAGCTTGTGGCGGGAAGATCATCATCAATGGACTAAACTACACCAATCAATAAGTGGGTCCAACACCATATTTTAACTCAAAATTTTAAGACGTTAGGTTCATGGGTCATTTCATAATCAATATGGAGCTTCATCACTCTAACTTGAATTCCCAACATATATTGCATGCATCATATAGTATAAGCTTATCTAGATAGTACAGTTTAACAAAACCAGACGTAAACTGTGAGAAAGTGAGAGAAAAAGGGGGAGAAAGAGAGAGAAACTGAAAACATGTTTTGTTTTTATTTTTATTTTTTTTGTTTAAATCTATCTAGCTCATGTTGCTCTCACCACTTGTCCAACAAAGCCACCGCTACACAATTACTCTCCCATTAGTGTCATCATGTTACGATCCCATTTGCAGGGTATGGGACTTGGAGTCCCACATTGGTTGTATGGGCAACTAATGTGGGGTTTATAAGGCCTTGGGCACTCTCATCCTTTGAGCTAGCTTTTGGGGTGGTGCACCTCAAGGTTCTTATCAAATGGTATCAGAGCCTTCCACTATGCCTCCCGGTTGCAATCGAGCGGCGCGGGTGGTGACGCCGGCATTGCAGTGTTCGCCCGGGGCTAGTAAAAGACTAGCGCAAAGCCAGCCCGCGTGGGCGCCGGGGCTGCGGAGCGTGGTGGAATGTTACGATCCCATTTGCAAGGTATGGGACTTGGAGTCCCACATTGGTTGTATGGGCAACTAATGTGGGGTTTATAAAGCCTTGGGCACTCCCACCCTTTGAGCTAGCTTTTGGTGTGGTGCACCTCAAGGTTCTTATCACATCACCACTTAACCACCTTACCATCATTGCTACTACCACTATAACCCCTCTATTGCTACTAACTCTCCTGCCATCCCCACCATGACTCAACAAATGCATCATTCCATCTACTGTTGCTTTGGGTTTCAATATAGGAAGAAAAACAATTTTTCTGAAGTAAATATGTTTGTGCTTGTTAGAGATGCTGATATAAAACTATTAATGTGTTTTTACCTAACAACTTCAGATTTTGGGAAAGCTGGTTCATGACATGTTATTAGAGCTTTTATGACCAAGTGATCTAGAGTTCAATCCTTTTTTGCCCTCATTTTTTTTTTAAAAAAGTTGAATTTCGGCACAAGGTGAAAGCTTATGCATTGTCCATGCTTCAAGCCCAAATGGCTTGCATGAGGAGACATGTTAAATGTAACATCCCCAGCCTCGAGCCGGTTCAATTAACATACATATGATACTTAACAGAAACAGCGGAAGACTTAAACTTACGAAAATACGAGCTAACTTTTTCTTTTTCATAATCCTTTTTCACATGTCCTAATCACATAGCACACTTCTCCTAGTTCAATTCTTATTCGACGAAGACGAAAATCGGACAGAGTAACCTCTTTAAATTGGACAACTGGGGATTTGCAAATCCCACGCTCAAGGAATCTTGATAAACAGTTTATACAGTATATATTTTCAGAAGTACCAGATATCCGTATAGGATCATATACCCATCCATGGGCGCATGAATAACTTAGCTTTGTGCCACTATAACAGCATACGTATTTCAGCACATGCACATATCTGAATACACAAATGTACATGCATCGAATATGAACACTATACAACAATACATCTTTTCCAAAAATACGTCTAAAATAAATAGTAGCCTCCAGCCACCCAGAACTCCACATCCTCATACTAGTACCTCTAGCCACGGTTAGTGTCCTTGTCCCATGAGGCTCTTCAATTAACTGTGTTCCTGAAATCATATCCCCAAACGGGGTTAGAGACGAATCTCTAGTAAACTCAAGGTTTATGGAAAACTCTCCATACCTTGGGCTCACTTCCTGCATGACAGTCACATACATAATATACAAAACATCATATAAGCAATTATCATAACTGAACACAACATATATACCTATCTTATCAAAGACATACGCAGTCATTCCCAAGGGATGGCCCCAAGCGGAAATCAACGCACGTAACAAATATCATTTACAAAAATCATCACAATACTCACATCAGAACAAAACGTGTTATATCAGAGACGTACACAATCGTTCCCAAGGGATGATCCCAAGCGGAAATCAACGTACGTAACAAATATCATTTACAAAAATCATCACAATACTCGCATCAAACATGTCATATAATCAAAAATCATAACTAAACAAAACATATACACATATCTTATCAGAGACGTACGCAGTTATTCCCAAGGCATGACCCCAAGCGGAAATCAACGTACGTGTTCCCAAGGGAGTACCCCAAGCGGAAACAAAAACATATCAGATATGTACACAGTCAATCCCTAGGGATGACCCCAACCAAAAACATATCTTCACCGAGCAAAACATATATACAAATCTTATCAGAGGCGTACGCAGTCATTCCCAAGGGAGGACCTCAAGCGGAAATCAATGCACGTGTTCCCAAGGGAGGACCCCAAGCGGAACCAGAACATATCAGAGGCGTACGCAGTCATTCCCAAGGGAGGACCCCAAGCGGAAATCAACGCACGTGTTCCCAAGGGAGGACCCCAAGCGGAGCCAGAACATATCAGAGGCGTACGCAGTCATTCCCAAGGGAGGACCCCAAGCGGAAATCAACGCACGTGTTCCCAAGGGAGGACCCCAAGCGGAACCGGAACATATCAGAGGCGTACACCGTCAATCTCAGGGGAACCCAAGAAGACATCAGTGTACCATACAAGTCAATTCCAGCCAAAGATCAATACAGAAATCATATCAGAACAAGTCATATAACAAATGTGTACACAGTCAATCTCAGGGGAGGACCCCAAATGGGAATCAGTGTACGTGTTCACAAGGGTGGACCCCAAGCGGAACTCAACAAAATATATCATATTAACACATATTAAAGTAAACACATCAAAACAAAACATATCATATTATCATATAGCTCTATATGAATGCATCTATATCATATATCTCCTACATATCATACAACCTGACCACAGTTCGTACACTATGGCGGAACACAAAGTAGGAGCGAACCCCATAAACATAGAGCTTACCTCTTGGAGCTTTAACAATAGTCTTACTTGTCACACAAGTCACTAATCTTCCTCCAAAAGAATCCAAATGTTCGAAATCCCTAGGCACACCTAGAGAAAATTTCAAAACAAAACTCAATAAAATTATACAATGCCATGTAATTATACAAGACACACACTTTATTGCTTTCACCTTTTCTCACAAAGCTTATGCAAATTATATGCCAACCCACAAGTCAAGACCATAATTCTTAAACTCACATATTAGACCATTTTAGGGTGATTACTAATTCAACAAGTAACCACATGGTTTCATGCTTACATAGGGTCTTAGAATGACATAACCATGCCTCTAAAATACTCATTACAATTTTTAGAACA